AATGACTCAGGCACAACTCAAGCTAGAAGCTACTCCACTCTCCGTACATGTCGATAATCTTTGAGAATTTTGGAGAAGACACCGACGTCCCCGAGAATTCAATCCCATGACCCCAGCTCAATGACGGAGGCAATCACAGGACAGTACGTCTGCTCTTTCTGCAACAGATGTTTCCGAAAGCACGAACATCTGCAGAGACATAGACGCATACGTAAGTGTATCCGCTAATTCCTCGGTTATTGGGCCTTGGTCAATGTAAATTGCCCCGTAGCTTGGTTCTCAGCCACGGCAGGAGCCCGGTGCTAATATTGAGAGAGTTTTCAAGACACGAATGAAAAGCCGTACAACTGCGAGTGTGGCCTTTCGTTCTCCAGACAAGATCTACTTCAGCGGCATAGGCGTGTTTCTCCATGTGGCCAGCGACAACATGCTACTTTGCATGGGAACATTAACACCCTTGGTTCGCATGACCGCTTGCGTGCTACTCGAAGGGATCGCAACTCACAGGATCAGGCTCCACAGTCCAGCATAGGAGAGGAGCGAACTCTTGGCTCATCTTCACGTGAGAGATTGGAACAGCGGCGGGTGAGTCCCACGGCACATCAGTTTGGCCAAGAGCCTATCTCGACCCTCGAAACAACCTTGCCCCTGCCTCCAGAATACGCGGATCTAGGTAATTAGATAACTTTAACGCCATAGATGTGTTCCTGAAGCTGAATACTTATTCTCCAGGGTGCTCATATCTGCGATCGCAACCGGAAAAGCATGTTCTAGCCGACTTTGAAAATTTCTTCCGCAGTAGTGGACTGCAGCAGATAGCAGATGATTTGAGCCGGACGCAAAGACACGGCCTCAACGAGATGAGGAGCTCACTTATAGAAGAAGCGCTGAGCAATACATCGGATCACTTCTTGTCTTTGCCAGCTCAAGATACAACCAGGCCGGCAACGCAAACCCCTATGACTGGTAAGTCGCCTGTTTGGTGTGCTCTTGAAGTGCATGTACGATCTACTATGAATCTAAACATCCCGTGGTCAAAGAAGGCTCAACGAGACAAGGAACGGGACAAATTCAAGGATCGTGGTCCAATTATGAACCGAAATACCCAGACTTCGTACCACCATCCGCGCGGGCGTGCGCTCGATACCTCACATCTTATGTCAAGAACAGCAGAGTCCCGCTTTTTCATAATGAGGTCCAGATGCATGAGCTCGATTCAGTCACAAAGTTGGCTTTGTACGCGTTGGGAGCAATACATCTGTACGAAGTTGGAAACGCTATGTCCCTTTTCACAACGAGCAGACAGCTCGCTTTCCAAATATGGACCTCAGATATGGACAGTTCGAGAAAGGAGCCTTCACAGTAAGTCTAGCGATTCAACCCATTCTAGAGAGGCTGATAGCGGCGTATCTTGACGACTGGCAGATCTAAAACTCCCTTCGACTCCCTGATCGCCTACCACACCCTCGCTGAGTTTCTTGCAGTGACACTGCCTGTTGATGTTGTTCAGGAACTTGAGGTTTGTGCTACTGCAATCTCCTTTTACTCTAGGCCCTCGAGAGTCCATGTCCCGACAGACCAGCGGTCTGTTAAGTCTGATCCAAATTCAACTCGAACCTTTCAACGCAGTCGCACTGTTGTGCTCTGCAGTCTTGTCGTAGACAGCTTCTTGTTAGGCTTCTCTGTCGCCGCACAGTTAGATGACTTAAAAAGCACATTCAAGTGCCCGTTGAGCTCACTACTCTCTCATGACTCTGTGGGCGACGAAGGAGAGCAATCACGGGGGCTGTCTCATACTGGCGATGTAATTGCTCTTTTCGATGTCTTAGCCCATGAACATGACAACGAATCTGGCAATTACACTTCTGATTCTGAGTCGATACTGAGCAAATTTCCTCCCGATGTCCATTTCGTCTTGCTGTCTTTCATCATAATGCGCATAAGAATGGACAAAGACGCATTCATGCTTGGAGTATCTTCAGAAATTCTCGCCTTAGGGCACACTCGACTCATGTGAGTAGGAGGCATTGGAGACTGGACTGATTGTATTAGTTTCTAACTCACACAACCTCGCAGAGTGACATTGGGTAGGATTGTCCGCCTTTTGCGGCTTCAAACGTCTTCGATGATAGCTTCGCCAATCGTATGCAAAACACAAAGCAACTGTAGTCTCGCTTGTCTCGTCCACCTTCGAGCTATTTGCCAATTGGACCTGAACTATGCGGCTGATCCGTCACACCTCGTGGCATCACTCAAGGAGATTGAACCAGAATTTGAGGAACCCCTTTCTGGGTCTTTGCGACAATGTATTGAGCACTGTCTTGAGTTTCTGGAAGAGCCTTCAACTACCGGCCTTCTGCACTACGTCCGTCAACAGGCAAGCTCATGGGAACTGGAGACCGTTTTGTGGGCATTCGAATCTGCCGTGTTCCTCAGCAAATGGCTTGAAAAGAATACTACTGCTGCATCTTCTCTGAAAGAAGGTGAGTTCAAGCCCGCTTTCCAGAGCATCAGTCGATCTTACGTAGCTCTTTTTACTGATTAATTCCCAAGATGAAGTATATCAACGTGCAGTTAAATTACTCGGCATGGCCACATCTTCTTTGCCATACGTCGAAGAGCTGCCAGCTGATCCCGACGCGAAAACATTATCTTGGTCGACTTTGAAATTCTGGGGGAGTGTCTTGCAGGGGATCGAGACAAAGGCATTTGCAACACGTTTGGGGAAAACTCTTGACATCTTGGCTGAGTTTCAGAGCGAGTCTCCAGTAACTCCACTTTAGACCAAATCGTACTCTGCATCTCACAAATGAACCTTCAACCGGGTCTTGACACAAGAGGGACCCATTCATTCCGTCAAAGAGCAAAAGTTGCCAAGGTACAATTGTTGTCAGGTTGCAACAGCACATCATGATGGTACGCGGACTCCCCACAATGTCCACTGCCCATGGATTGAACATTTGAGGAAACAAAGCTCCCGACCCACTTCATCGGCGACTTCTCCAAGTCGGTGACCCCTTCTCCAAACACCCAATGAATGAGGATGAATTGAGACTTTCGCAAAAGACCTACATAAATGCCTAAACTCACTGCGCTATTGAAGGGTAATTTGACAATGTTTAATATTCCTCAGCACCAAAATACAGTTGCTCTTCCGCATTTACACATCACCTGGAAACGCTCCAAGAACCCGACAATTTGAATCTCGAAGACCCACATCTCTGTTCCCAGTCAACAGTAGGATCAACCCCTTCAGCGTACTATCTAAGCGTAAGTCCATGAGATATCCCATTACTCATAACCTGCAAAAATTGAAATTCTTCGCGCATTGGCGTCCATAAAGTTAGATACTGATGATCGCGTGTTTCTCACAGAATCCCCGCCGCACAACTAGAAACATGTCTTCAATCAAGTTCAACACCCCTCCTGGTGCCGGCAAGATTTATGGCGAGGCCTGCCACTACTCACAGTCTGTGGACCTCGGCAACGGCATCGTCAAGTGCGCCGGACAAGGAGGCTGGGATCCGGAGACGGGTGCGCTCGACGCGAACGACACCAAAAGACAGGTTGAGCTGGCGATCGAGAACGTCGATATTGTTCTCAAGGCAGCGGGCCTCCGAGGGTGGGAAGACGTCTACTCACTGAGGTCATATTCATGCGATATCCGGGCCTCTTTCGATTTCATCGTCCAGGGTTTGAAAGCACGGATTCCCGATCATCGACCCATCTGGACAGCCATTGCTGTGCCTCACTTGGCCCTTCCCGGGATGTTGATTGAGCTGGAAGTCGAGGCCAAACGTCAGGCTTAGGTGCATGCGTTCTACAAGTAGCGCAACAGGTGTATAGCTTAGTCCATGAATATTCAGATGTCGATCCCCACGTATTGCAATCACAGCCCTTTCAGAGTTACAACATCAATCAAGCCGGCCCGTACCGGTGAAACGGGGGATGTAAAGTCGACCAAGATCTCCACTTCATCGCAGGTGAAAAACTCCGACTTTGGTTTTCGGTTATGTCGTGGCCTCAAATCCAAGCTTATTCAACATCTTCAAATGACCTCGAAAGACGGCTGGCTTTGTCGACGAAAACCAGGTGATGCACTCACGCGTGTGGAAAGTATTGACCTTATGCTACGCTTTCACGGCACTGAAGGCGTTTTCTAAACTCGCTTTTCAGAAAAACATCTCTTTTCGCAAAGAAAATCTAGATAATTCAGAACGAGAAGACGGCCCCAAGGAGTGTGCTTGGCGCGCAGGGTGTTGGTTGTCATCATAAGGTAAGGTAAGACCAAAGACTTGATTACGAGGGCTCTCACATCTAACACCATCAAGACCATCAAGCACGTCATTGTCGGCCTGCCGGTCCACGACGCAGACAAGGGATAACTGCAGCGGATACTCCGCAATTGCCACTTAGAATCCTTCGAAAGGTCCAGCTTCCGGCTATATTTTTCACTCCAGATCGAGTTGGTATCGGCACACTCAATAATCCATACGATGTTGAACCGACTCAAGCTTAGTTTATCGAGTCTAGACACACCACACGATCCTGCCAGCCACGCGCCCCACGCGCATCCCATTCTTTGGGTAGACCCCCGCGCATGCTGAGGATGTCGGCCAACTCCCGGCAGGGTCTTTTCATATGCAACCACTCCAAGCACAAAGTCCCCCAGCAAAAAGGGTTCATTTTGGCGATGTCGGATGCTCCCCGACTTCCGGAAATGCTCGGCGGGCGGGACTCTTCCCACAAATCCGGGTTTGGTTGATGGGCGGTTCGCATGGCACAAGTCCGAGATGCTCTGGCGCAATCGATAGTGAGGTTGGATTTTGCCCGGCAGGGGGTCCGCGGCTGGCAAGAATCTGCTGATATCTATCGACCTGACCCGGAGACTTGGGTGACTTTGGATCAGAGTTTCCAGCTCTCAACTTAGTTCTTTCCACCCTGAGAGTCAGTTCGAAGACACTTTGATACGAGAGTGTGCTCATAGGAGTCTGTCAACAATGGCGACCGCAGACAACACCGTCCCCAGGAAGAAGTGGTGGAAGATCCAGTGGTACTCGGACGACGACACTCCCGAAGAGCGCAAGTTCATCATCAAACTCGATCTCATCGTCGTTCCCTACGCAGTTCTGGCGTACTGGGTCAAGTATATCGGTATGATTAAATCCCCTCCATCTATTACTCGCCAGTCTGCTAACACGTACCCACAGACCAAGCAAACTTGAGTATGTTCACGACCGTTGCTAAACTCTGCCTCCTCTACTCGGCAACGCCATGCTAATCAGAAACAGACAATGCCTACGTCGGAGGAATGAAAGAGGAGCTCGGCTTCAAAGGGAACGAGCTCGTCGAACTCCAGACAATGTACACAGTCGGCGCAGTTGTTGGCATGGTGCCCTTCATGTTCTTGTTCACCTATATCCCCATGTACTGGACTATCCCCGCCATGGATATCCTTTGGGGTCTCTTCACACTGCTGCAATACCGAGCACACTCTTTCGGGGAGCTGGCGGCGTATCGATTCATGGTCGGCTTCTTTGAAGCAGCCTTTTTTCCTGCCATGCACTACGTATTCGGTAGGATTCATCACCAAACCTCTTCCGACGAGAAAAAGTCGAATGCTGACCTCAACACAGGCTCCTGGTACCGAGGGCACGAAATCGCACGACGAGGCGGCATCTTTTACACTGGACTCAACCTCGGAACCTTGACAGCAGGCCTCATCGCAGCTGGAGCATCACACCGCCTCGAAGGCGTCAACGGGATGGCTGGCTGGCGCTGGATGTACATCATCTGCGCAATAATCACTATCCCCGTCGGCATTCTCGGATACTTCCTCCTCCCAGGCACCGTGGAGCAACCAAACCGCTGGATTCTCAATGACCACGACATCAAGATTGCAAAATCACGCTTGGAACGCGGCGGACACGTCACCCGCGGCAAGTTCAAGCTCGGACACCTCAAGCAGATCTTCCTCAGCCCGCAGTTCTGGACCGTTGTGCTCGTCGACGTGCTGTTCTGGAACGCCGGTATCCACAAGAGCACAGGCAGCTTTCTACTTTGGATTAAGAGCTTGGGTCGCTACAGTCCGGCGCAGGTCAATGAGATGGGGACTATCGCGCCAGCTTTGGGAATCCTATACAACATCGTGGCGTGCTTCCTTTCTGACTTGGTGCTTGGCCCCGCATGGGCCATTACATTCTCCTCGTTGTGGAATGTCACAGGCTTGATTATGCTCGTCGTCTGGGATGTGCCTGAGGGTGCCAAGTGGTTCGCCTTCTCGACGATGTACTGGTCCAACGCACTCTCCAGTGTCCTCCACGGCTGGGTCAACACCATCCTCAGAGACTCTCCGGAACAACGGTCATTTACCCTCGTCATGATTACTATCATTGCCCAATCATCGACAGCCTGGACACCGCTGTTAACATTTCCGACGGTCGAGTCTCCGAGCTATCCCAAGGGATTTTCTTTCTGTCTTGGGTGTGCTGTTGCGCTGATCGTTGCGACGCACGTCCTTGATGTTTATATCAAACGAAAAGAGTACGTCTTATCTTACAACTTCAGGAGAAAGAACTACCTAACATGTTCGTCACAGAAAATCGAAACATGCGCAGCTCGAAAGCGGCAGCAGCCACGATGGTAGCTATGTTGATGCTCCTACTAACGCTACCGGGAAGACTACGACCGCCGAAGTGACGGCAGTGGTCAACACTTCAGAAGAGTCCATAGCACGACACTGATCGGACGAATCATTCATGTTATAGAAAGAACGATAGCACAATTAGAACATAGTACCATACATGTCAACTTCGTTTCTTGATACGTCATCACTGAACTTGGATTGTGTGATGCAGCTGGTCCTACTTCCAACACGGAGTAGATACTATCACTATCACCTATTCAAACAGCACTGGAGAATGTGCCTTCCGTGAATTCGATACTAGCAATGAGTACGAAGAGTACATTGGATTGAATGGGCGGCATTTCATTTAAACGTCGTGATTGAACTGCCCTTTCCCCCCTTTTAACACAATAGAAGGCTCCTCGGGAAATGACTGCTGTCTCGTCATCATCAGTGCATCATTATGGGCATTGGTAAGTCCGTATTCCTGCGCTTGTAGCACTGCTTAGTATCCAGGAAGTATACACAGTCAGATGACACGGTTGTCAACACCTTTGGTCAGAAAAGCGAGCTAGTCAATAGCTAGCAAGTCATCGGGGTCCTTGACTGCAATAAAGGGTTATGCAGGGATATCGAGAGCGAGGCACTCATGAATATTTCCAGTGGTATATGGATTGTTCACGTGCTTTCCGTCCAGGTAGCTTTTGATGACTATGCCTTGAGACTGTGGAGCATATGGCTGAGGTGAATAAACCGCAATGGTTGCCAGGGCAGCCACCATCCACATCACCAACGCCGCGCCTTCCTCAGGTTCACCCAGCCACACCGCAAACTTTCATCCGATAGCCTTTGTTTACCACCAGAATACACAACAAGCCCTCATATACCCCTCCAACGCGATTCCTGTCACCAGCACAGCAGGCGCCCCCTTAGGCCGGGGGTCAGGTCAAACTGTGGCGTGGTGGTGGAATGGTTAATGGTCAACATCAATTATCTTCGCCAACCAGCCTACTCGACGACAGGCTTAGCGCATACGAGTAACCGAGTTCGAATCCCAGCATGAGCACCAGAGATGTAGCCCCCAGTTCAGCACCGGGGGGGTGAACTCTTTTGCCTTTTGGACCTTTTGATATCTATGTTGTTCCTCTACGTCTCTTCAGTACGCCACGCATACATTACTTCCTTATTAATTTTCGGTTTCACAAAACCTAAGGGGAGATATCAAGGCTTAGAATGGTCGTGATGGCGCCAACTCCTCTAGGCCCTACCGAGGTCACGTGGTCTCAATCAGACAGTCACGGAACACCGCCTGTGGTGTTTTTCTTTGGCCGACAGCATAAATGTATGGATGTCGGCTCTATTTTCTACTTCTTGACCTTGTTGGGCAAATTTATGATAAGTTCGAACGACTATAAAATATGTTTACATTTCGTTATTGGATGCCCTTGATTGGCAAGAGTAGTGCGAGGGAATAGAAACAGTCATGATTGGCTTCGAGTACCTTAGATAGACGAATGCCCAACGACGAACGTGTGTGGAAACAGAAATGTGTAATTACATGTGATACCTTGCTTTCCCTAAATATGAAAATAGAAAAATCAGGACACTCAACGACTCAGTTGTCAGATGCGTACCATATGTGCATCGCGCCCTTATCCGCGACGTCTTCTACTCTCAATCCAAGTTGAAAGGCCCGTTTTTCGAGATGCGCTTGCTGGTCCTTTGAGAGGGGAGCTATGCACTTGATGGCTGCTGTCATCACACTGCGTGCATTTGTCAGCTCATCTGAGAACATCTTGAGACAGTTCCCACATCCTTGCGGAATAGTAATCTTGATTCCAGCGAGATGGTCCACAATCAGCTTCAAGTGCCCTGTGAAGTTAAAAGGTAGTCGAGGGTCCCAGATATTGAAATTGTCTGTCATGCCCGCCAGAACCAAAGAACCGACGCCGCTCGGAATGCAGTTCTTTACGCAATTGTTTTTGATTGCATTCTGGTTCGAGGAGTGAGTCTTGCTCTTCATCTGTGATAGAATAGTGCGGTAAGGCTTGACAGCAGCTTCGATCAACATGAGACGAGTAAGAGAAATGAGGTCTAATACACCGAACGCGTTAGCAAGCTTTTCCTCTCTCTAGGCAAGACATATTGCCGTTCTTGTTCAACGATTAGTGTAGGGTAAAACAGATGCAATATATTACCTGAAAGATCATCTACGCTCATGTTCTGGAGACAATCAAGTGGAATCATCAGAAACTCGTTAATCTGGCCACTTTGAGGTGTCCAGTGCATCCGTTGTTTTCCATACTGCACCCCCATCACATTTGGGTTGTTGAGAGCCGAAATCGGCACGCCCTCAGCTATCCTGACCACCATGTCGCGGAACAGCAAGACGTCGCCCATTTCCCAAGCGACCCAGAGCACATACGGCTCATCCAGGGTCGAGCGCATCGCGCTCAGCCAGTGCCAACTCCAAGGTCGCAGAAGGGACAGCACATCGTATTTGTTACAGAGGACGAGAAGGTCATAAAGCCTGCGAACTCTCAGGCTGAACGGTACGCGATCGAAGTGGCCATGAATGATTTCGAGCATTAAAATCATCTTCTCGAGCCCGTCTTCTGGCAGCTCAATGATCCAGTCGTTTATTTTCTTTTGCTTCCGGCTGATTCGCCCTCGCTTGCTTTGTCTTCCCTTGATTCGTCTTTGCTAGCTTCGTCTCCACCTGCTTCGTCTTTGCTTACTTCGCTTTCGCCAGTTTTGCTCTCGCCTGGTTCGTCCTTGCTTGCTTCGACTTCGCCTTCCCCCGCTTTGTCTTTGCTTTCTTCGCCTTTGCTTCCTTCATTCTTGGTGGCTTCTACCTGCCCATTCGCAATCTGCGGGCAGGACTCCTTCCACCCGCCGAAAAGCATTTTGGCAAAAACTGGACAAACCTGGGCTAGGGACCTCGAGCATACCCGGAGCGGCGTCGGCGGGTTGCCCACATGCAAGTACAAATCGCCGCTCATCCAAGATGACGGGTTCGGGCATTCGCTTCTTTGGCGATTTTGAACGGCTTGGGCGAACTGGAAGAATTGGTTTTGGTACTAGTGATTTTTCGGCGGAGAACGTGAAGATGCTGTTCTCGGTCTTCGGGAAAATGCTGGGCGGCTGATAATCTGCCATTTTTGAGGATCACAGAATGTCGTGCTGGGGCGATGTGTGAAACTGGTCGTATGCGTGTGCCATAGAGGCTTTGAGCGATGAGAAGTTTTCAAATTGGAATTCTCCTGTTTTTCTTATAGACATTGGCACAGGTTGTCATAGAAACTCATTTCCGAGTCTTAGCCGGCGAATGTTGCTTTTTCCGTCTGCCTTTGATTTTCCTGATTAGAATACACTGCATGCGACTGCAATCAAGTAAATTTGGGAAGACTACGGGCATCTCATTCATCTGAACTTCAGAATAAGCATTATTGGATGGCGTACGCCACGGAATAGGAAGTTCCTTTGTCAGATGTGTAAAGCGCCCAAAGCAGAACCAACAAGTCTTGCCCGTCCGAGCCGAATAAGTGGGGCCGAGATTATGCCTCAAGATCCAGAAGTATCTCAATGAGGTAAATGCGATATCACTACTTACTTTTATCTATTAACTCAACCCTTCATGAAAGCTAGATTCCACATGATCATGTACCTTAGCCTTCATGATGAACCATGTATCATAGCTTGCCTTGACTTTGAATTTGTTGCTATCTTCGCTAAGCTCAGATGGAAGAATCAAAGAACGGTAGACATTGTATCGCAAACACCTTTGGGTTCAAATCGTCCTTTTTCTCCTGTTCACGATCAAGTCGACATCCATGAGACACGTTCAGGTCTTCGAATCCGCACTCAACTCCCAGACATGTCCCATAACACCGTGACCTAGGCAAAGATCTTGGAGAAAACTGATCACCGCGAAAGAGCGTAGTTATCTCATCACTCGCAGCAGATAGAGGTAGAGGCGTGAAAAGCGCAAGATGTTTGAAGCGCATTGATTTACCTCTCTCTACACCTTGGGAACGTGACCTGGTCGCATGACCAGCTTACTGAGACGATCGCGCCGAGGTGATACCGCCAGCGCCGAATCTTAAGACCGCGGGGAATTGTGGGGTTAGTGCCGGCTTACGGGTCGGGAGGTCCACCAAGTGCCGGCCAAGTGACCGAGAGCTGCTGACTTGCAACTGTCATGAAGCAAGGTGCTCTTTAGTAATGAGAAGGCGACTACATGAATCATGAGGCTTTCCCCATGACGCGATGTGTCTGAATTTTTCCAATCGTCAGATTCTTCCATCCCTTTTTTCCTTTCTTCTATTGCAACCCTATGTTGATGCCACGCACGCGTCCAGTCCAATCCACTCATCCACACACTTCTACCACACCAAAAAGATTTCCCCTTCAGGATCACGGTCCCCCCTTGCACTTTTAATCCCAACCAATCAGGCTCCGAATGGCATCCAACCTAGGGAGTTATTCGCATTGGCTTAAGCGCCTCACCCGCACTAAAGCCGTGTTGGCAAGGTGCCATCGAGCGTTTTTCACATGCCCTTTTAATCCCCCAACTTGGACGAATAGCCAGTCAGAAGAGAATACTTCGGGCTGGCTGATTGATGGGTTCCCTGAAACTGGCCTTGTTCGGACACAAGTAACGTCAGGTGCAGAACGGGTTATGCCCACAAGAACCCCATCTTCCCCCTTTTCCCAAGAGGACATGGAGAGTGACTGGCTAAGACACTGAACCTGTCAAAAGCGCAGCTGTCCACATTTGCTACCTCGTGCGATCTTTTGGGGCCTGCAACGTCACCTCTTCCGACACCAAGCACTTGGTTTATTGCGCCAAACATGACAGGAAGTAAAAGGGGGGCAACAACTAATGTGCGCAGTGCAGGTGTCTAGATCTTGCAGCTTACTAGACTGATTTGCACAACTGCCGCTAGCGCGGTGGCGTTCAGGTACCGCTATTACCAGATGTTCTCGCTGGGCTCCGTCGCACAAAGGTCACCAATATCTCTCGCCTGATGTCTCTCCAGCAGTCTTGGGGTCCTTCTGCACAATCACTGGACGTGACGAAAACAATATACCGCTTGGCGACGGGATCCACCTCCCAAGACCCCAAGACCGTAGACGAGAAGGGAGCTCAATATGACAATAGCAAAGCTCTGCCGAAGCGAAGCAGGCCCAGACCTTGGAATCATCTGCGGGTTCCTGGGGGTTTTCCTCTTCCATGGACTAGGGAGGGCGGCCGAATGCCACTTCCCGCGTGGCCGTCGCCAGGGTCAGTTTGTTCAAGCCGCAACCAACCACAAGCCTCGGAGCCGCGCCGCTGGTACCGATCCCTCGACATCCCCGTGGTCCCCCTTCTTTCCGCACGCGGGGCGCTTTTAAAGCCTTGCCATCTTCCGTCGCCGATTGGCAGATGCCCAAAATGAAACGAAGTTTCTCCCGAGGGGACACTTGGGGGCCCAAAAGCCATCCCAGTCCTCCCGGTGTTTCTTAGAACAGGGACATACTCGGCTCAGTTGGTCCTTCTCGACTTCTATTGGCCACTCTTAAAGAGCCTTAATCTTTCTTTTTTGCCAAACTACATGTACTATGCACGTTTGTCAAGCCAGCCACAAGTCTCTGCGCTCCGCTTATGCGCCCGCCTCATCTCGGAATATTGGCCGTGCCAACCGCGAATCCGCGATTGACAGACTGGACGGGCCGTGATCACAGCGCAAGGGGGCACCACCGTCCGAGATATTGGAGCCACCGAGGATGTGGACGTGTGTCCGCGGCGGACCATGTCTCAGAGTAGCACGCTTCCTCCGTCCATCACTCCTACATCGCGTGGTGCACCCATTCTCGTGGGCTTGGGGCACGGTCTTCGAGGCGAGTAGCGGGGACGTACATGTGCCATCTGATATTCTAGACCGGACACCCAAGTCCGATTTGACCTGCCCTGTGCAACACTAGACGACGGAGAGAGCACAGGGGGTAAGCATATATGAACCAGACTACCATCCACCCTCCTTGAGACCTCCGTTCTCTGCTGAAGATTGGACGCAGCTCTGAGACTCGGGGACTCTTGTCATTAAACAGGAAAGAAAAAAGGGACAACGCTCCTCCCCGTAGCCCACCGGGCGGCGGTGACTACAGCACAGTACCACTACGCCTTGCAAGATGCAAGTCTAGATTCGACATGCGGGTTGCTCCCGCCGCTTAGGTAGCCCTTCTTTGTTCCAAGGGCTGGGCAGAGGAGAACCCTTGGTCCTTGGCCAACGCGGCACGCATCGTTCAATGTTACATCTGCAGGCTCACACTTGGCCTTTTTCCTATTGTATATATACAGCAAGTCCCATGATGAATGCTTCCCGTTCTGTCCCCATGGTCTTCAACCCGCTCCTCGTGCGACCTTCCCCCCGACGACAACATCCACCATCGTGATCTTGTGCTCTTCCCCAAGACATGCCTTTCCTTTTCGAATAGCTACAGTCTCTCTCTCTCTTCTCTCTTATAAACCTTCTTCGTCACAGTCCTTTCAGTTTCACTTTGGATAAGTAGTTTGCTTCAAACTTTATTCACTCCTTGGAGCCATCTTTGCAAGACCAGACATCCAAAACACCAACTACGTTCCTTAGCTCCTTGAGCTTTACATCATCGCAAGAATGTACTCAAACTCCATCCTCTCAACCCTCCTCCTTCTCCTCCCGGCCGCCACCCGGGCCTGGGACTCTCCAAACTACTCCGGCCTCACCCGCCTCTGGCAAGATAGCTTCCCGGGCGCCTCAGGCGACCCCATCAACGGCGGCAACTGGAACATCATCACGAACCTCCATGTCAACAACGAGATCCAGGAATACACGACCTCCCGCTCCAACCTCCAAATCTCAGGCGGCGGTACCGTCCAGATCGTGCCCCAAAAGGACGGCAACGGCGCCTGGACCTCGGGCCGTATCGAGTCCCGCTACGTCTTCACCCCCGCCGCCGGGCGCCTCACCGTGGCCGAGGCCCAGATCCGCTTCGGCGACAACGCCATCGCCAACAAGAAGGGCATCTGGCCGGCCTTCTGGATTCTCGGCGACGCTATTCGTAACGGCGTCAGCTGGCCTCGTTGCGGCGAGCTCGACATCCTCGAGACTGTCAACGGGCAGCTGACTGGGTACGGCACCGTCCACTGCGATGTTCTCCCCGGCGGCGCGTGCAACGAGCCCAACGGTATCGGTGGTAACATTGGCATCCCGGATCAGGGGTGGCACACTTGGCGTCTGCAGATTGACCGTCGGTCTGGCAACTGGCAGACGGAGACGATTACGTGGTTCCGTGACGGGCAGCAGTTTCATCAGATCAGCGGCGCCAGGATCGGGAGTGAAGGCATTTGGAACACGTTGGCTCACGCGCCATTGTTCTTCATCTTGAACGTTGCCGTCGGTGGTAACTGGGTAAGTAGATGTTTTCACAAAGCTTATTCAACGTTCGTTTGACTGACTATCTGCAGCCTGGAAACCCGGATGGCTCTACCATTGGCGGCTGGGGAAGCATGATGGAGACTGCCTATGTTGCCGTCTACCAGTCCACCTAATCTCAATCCTCATGAACCTAATTGGGCTCTTGAGCTCATACTGAATATCGTCTTGTTGCTGCTCCTGCAACTACGCCGTTCGCTGTACATATGCCAGCAGCATACTTAGATACCCATTGTCCACTTTATAGTATATGCACACAACCACGCTCGCTAGATAATTTCCATAAATAATCTCACCGTCAAGATACATCACAAGCTCTCCTTCTTCACTAGTCAAATGGTTTTGAATACCTTGTTTTGTCGTGTTCATGTCTCATAATAAGCCATCTCTCCTGACTCTCATCAACTGTACCAGGTAACAGGTCATGATCTAAGTACAATGACATAGATGTCCGTGCTTCGATGAATGGTCTCTACTCATAAAACACCAAGCATCTAACCTCTATGCTTTGTCTTCCCTTCGCATCTGCGGGGGTGTTGGGGTCAATAAAGGCCGTGTGAGGCGTGTAATCGGCCCGTCCCGGCTTGCCGCCAGGCCGCCCTTGGCTCCTCGAGTCGAAGCACTTGATGAACATGGCTTCGTCAGGGGTCATATCTTTGGCGTAATACAGCTTGTGCTTGTCGCTTGGTGCGACAGAGAAAGTCTCGCCTGCATTGATGTTAGCAAAATGAACGTGCTCGTAATTCTACTACGGTGAGGGACACACTCACCCTTGACATCGTAATTCTCCGTCGACCGCGCCAAAGCCGGGTCCGGAAGCACCTCCTTGCCCCGATCATCGTCATCGGTATCCGTCCTCCGGGGGTACAAGAGATCCACAGCGATCAGATCCTTGGGCTCCGTAGTCCGCCAGTCAATCACCGCAAGCGGGAAGTCACTCGCCGGGTGTCCGATCGGTCTCCAGACATTGATAATCTGGTACCGTCCATTGACCAGCTCATCCGCCTCAGCTCCCGGAACATGCCTCCTCACACGCGCTTCCGCCGCGCCGGGCGTCTGGTCGACATGCACCTGCTGTACGGGCTGTCTGGGGCTGCTCTTCTCCCTCCTCCGGATGGTGTGGTCAAAAATCACAACTTTCTTCACACCGGGCAACTTCTCCCTCAGGAGTGCCTCCACTTCGGTATAGTAGCCGCTTCGCACTGCCTCATCGTCGATGAAATCCTTCTCCTTAGCGGGTGAGTTGTACACGGCGAAGCCGGAGACGTCGGTGCCGAACTCTTCCGTCGACTCGCGGATGTTCACCACTGAGCGGCGGCGCTCGAGCCGGCTAAAAGAGGTTACGTCTGTATCGACCTTTGCCCAGGGCTTGCTGCCCTCCAGAGTCGCGGGGTCTAGATAGCGGAAGTTGCCGGTAGTCATTGTTGCGAGGGGTCTAGTGTGGTTGATGCGGGGAATATTGCTGTTTCTGAAACTGGTTTTGATAGATGATGTGAGCTTCGAAGTTCGTCGTAGGATTGTGCTCATAATAGTACCTTATATGTACGTCAAATGGAGGGTTGATGTTGAATTACACAATGCCGTGCGGGGGTCAGGAGACGGGAGTTTAAAAGGAGGACTCGTAGGGCGCAACAGGGCGCGCGAATGAGACGACTGGATGATTGCATCACCATGAACCCGCGGCAGTGGCCATTAGTCATTCAGGATTTCTAAGCTGTTTCTCGCAGTGTCCGAGACCCACTCCCGGGCTCGGCATCGATTGTGGGGCCTTTTGATTTCCAATCGCCGACATTCCGCGATCCGAATTGCTGCCGTCCCGAAATGCATGCGTCAATCCCGCGGGGTATGCACCGCTCGGCGGCGGGAAAGTCAGCTTCACGGGGTTTAGATCAAATGCCCGACCGCTCAGTACACCAACAGCGGCATTCTGATCTATTTGCTAAACAGTGCTTGCCTTCTCCAAAGTGAATAAGCCGTTGATTTTGACTCACTACTTCGCGAGCATAGCGAGACTTGTAAGTGTGTTAGATAAGATACATGCATGGTCGTAGTAGTCATTATCGGCAAATACTTTCATCTATGAATTACACATGAACACGTAATTCAGTGAATCCAGTCGGGTAAGTCAAGTGTAAGTTATCCAGAAAAGGCATGGATAAATAATGAGACATAGAGTGGTTTCTACCGCGAAAAACAAAAGTGAAGCCGATCGAGACACGTCTTGCTAATTTCCGAAACCGAGAATCGAACTCGGGGCTATGCCTAACCTCTCACAAGATGAGAGGGCATCATGTTGGCCACTACACCATATCGGATGTTGATGGAAAATTCTGCAGGTATCCAGCTGATACTCAGTTGCCATTGTGCGTATCCACAGCGGAGACGCAGCCATTTTGACTACCCTAACGGCTCCGCAAGGTTTGGATACACGAAGTCGCGATTGATGCAATTCAATTAAACTACCTAAGTGTTCCATGTCACAAAGGGCTGGTGAAGACGTCTTATGACTACTTATGAAAGTTGGCAATGCACCAAAGGAATTCATTGTACTATGTGCAGGTACTCAATGCTACCGGAACCAAACTAAGGACATAGAGTCGAAACTCCTTCACCGACCAAGTTTCAGTGGCTTCAAAAGAAAATGTTTCGTATCATAGGCTTGATCAAGTCTTGCATCTCAACATGCAACAGGCCATTTCACGTGCCTCCGAGCCTCTCGCCTACTGATTCTGACTCTTGAGTCTGGTCCGGGCTTTGGCCTCCCTATGCCAGTCGTTGCCCAAGGGACTTGGGCTTTTGGGACTTTAACGGGCCCGCCATCAGTACCTTCCAAATCAATACTAAGTATCATTTGCGCAGCAATGCCAAGAAGAAGTCCGTTTGCAAGGTGGCGGCCAGGGCTTTCACAAAGATGCGCGGTCAGTGTATGTAATCAACCAGAGAAAATCAATTCACGTACCAGACATGTTTGCCTCCTCCAAAAGGAAGGAACCCAGGCGGCGATGATGCATTGTAACCCAGTTCCAGAAACCTGTTACCCTGCCAGCTTTCAGGGTTGGCGCCCCATACTTTTTCATCGCTATGTAGTATGCTAAGCGGCATCTGGACGTTGTTCCCTTTCTTGAGGAGGTACGAGCGGCCGCCGTCCGATATTGTCGTGTCTTTCATTACCGTTCGTGTGATGTTATCAACAATATTGTGTCGTTCCGTCTCTTGCGCAGAAGACAGGAGTAGTGGACAGTGCTCTTTGATTTTCTCCAGGTGAAGTGTCATCTCGACGTGGTCTTGATCAGTTCGCTTCTCGGTAACCGCGGCATTGAGAAGCTCGGTCCGAATACTGGCCAATAGGTCTGGCTGGCTGTAAATATTCGAAAGAAGCCAGAAGACGAGCGTGGAGATGTTGGCGAGAGCGGTGGCTAGGAGAATCTCAATCTTTGCGCTGTTGTGGATCGACATTCCGAACTTTTGTTCTGCACCGAATCTGTCCTTGGTGAATTGAGGAACTTCGGCGCCAAAATCATCCTCACGCTTGATGTACGCTTCCAAGGCTTCAATTACCTCGGTTCTCGCTTTGAATGCTTTAGACGCGATGACAGAGGGTGCAAACCCAGGGAAGAGTCTGTGCATGTCATCGTGATAGATCCTGGGTGTTGAGAATTAGCCTGGCTTCCGTCAGGGTAGACGCGCCTGTAGCGTGGCGAGGCCGGGACAGATATAAAGATGCGGTGTAGTTACCAGAAACTCTGCATGACTCCGCTGTTCTCCCAAGGGCTCAACTTCCCGTAGAAGCCTCTCATGATGGCCCTGGACACTGTCTCACGAGTCCAGCAGTAGAAGTCTCTCGGCTCGAGCTGTTCGAAGGGTATTTCGTCAAGAGAGGTGGCTAAATTGCTGACCCCTGATCTAGCAAGATCAATCAACGAAGGCCCGGCCAGTCCTTTGTAGAGAACCTTAAAGATGGCGGTACGAAACTCCGGGTTCGTCCATAAGTCCATCCCGTGGCCCTCCATGCCTACCAAAGTGCGAACAAATGTGTCAATCAGGGGTTCAAAGCTAAGAGTCCGCTTCTGGAATATGGACGATGCCAGTTGTGGTGAAGATGCCACGTAAAGCTTGCTTCCAAGGATGGGCAACGAGTATGCCGTCATATTGAACTTCTCGCTAGTATCGTATCAGCTTACAATGAGATTGCACCATCTTTGCCCGCCCGACTCAACCGTCCCTCAAGGTTCAAGCGAGATGGCTCTCAAGACTTACTGATTCTTGACATGTTGCTTGTAACCCATCTGGATTAGATCAATCAAATGACCAATGAAAGGTATCTTTGGTTGTAGGGCTGGAGGCTCCTGCGAGTCTAGGACTTTTGGCCAGAGAACATTACGGACAAGGAATATGACCAGGCAACAGGCCAAAGGAAACCATATCACTTGTGTTTCGTCCAACGTGCTTGTTAGCATTTTGAAAGGGCGTCTTTCTGCAATTCCGGTTCCTAGAGTTTGTCTGTAAGTTTTGGTCACTAGACATCTCGAAGCAACTCAGACATTCTCTTCCTTCATTTTATGCTACTTTTTGGACTTATCGACGCAAGCAGCATCCAATTTCGTTATCATCAGCTGCAGTGCACAACAATTAACTCCGCCACATTTAAACATGGGTGCATCATCGTAACGGTCTCACGTCTTGATTTGGATCCAAACTCCTCCTGAAAACGTATGTCGAGCTGCGGCGCTAACGTACAGTAAGCAATATTGTCGTGAGAAGCCAGAACCACCAATCAAATGGGTGTCTGACTTGCAGATGATTTGAGCTGAAAACCACTTCGGTACTAGCACGATGAAATAATAGACGTGGAGCATGACAGACGTGAGATTATGTGGTGAGCTTTTAGTGCAAATACCCATCAAGATGGGTTTTGCCGTGGTCAAGATAAGCGATGTCTTGGTTTACAAAGTAGGGCCCTTGGCTCTGGGGTGTTGCTGACAACGTCGGCCAGGCTTACACCGCTTGTCAGTTGTGTCACGTATCTGAGACCTTGAAGGCATGTCTAGCGGTCCGCGTGTAAGTCTTTGAAAAAATTTGAAATGTTTCAAATTGGAATCAATTGCCCCTTCAGTTTTAGGTTCATGCAATTTCAAGACCCAAGCGAGTGTTGCTCCCAGCTCGTGGTTTGGTCAAGTTGGGGTTGCTCATGGAGGGACAAAGAATGAAGACAATCTTCAACTAAAAGCACTTTATCTACCCCAGAACAAGTAGCAGTCAATTAAATATTGCAAAGCCAGAAGAAATCGATCTTCCCGTGTCAAAGAAGAGGATAATAGGCAAAAATGGCAAAAGGATGACCAACGTGGGGCTCGAACCCACAACCCCCAGATAACCACAACTCTTGATGGAAGAGATGATAGAAGTCTGATGCGCTACCATTGCGCCAGCCGGCCAGTTGCTTTGATGGGATTTTTTTCGACGGATGCGTATTCATAGACCCCGCTTTGTAAGGGCCCCGGACAATTCGTGCTCCCTGACTCACCTCGCCCGCAGTGGCACACACCAGAGCAAAACCAAAATTTTCGCGATCCCGTACGTCGTTTGCCCGCTAGTGGGCTTCTGACGTAACGATTCTCTACTAGGATCAACGTTGCATCTGCTTTTTGAGTGTTTGCATGCAATTTCTTCTTTCTTTCGGCGTCCCGCACACAAAAGCAAGCCAACGAAAAACCCAAAATTCAGAGACCCCCCCGTGGCGATCCATCGGGGAATGGGGTCTGGCGCTGTTGGAGAAAAAACTCACAGAAGGTTGATGGAGCTAGCGATGGGGCAAGCGGGTTCGATGTGGGCATCGCTTCGTGACAAACTTCAAGAGTGAATGAGACAGAAAATTCTTCAGCAAGATTCTTCTCCCCAGACAGTTCCAACTTCCAGGGAATGTGAAGCGAGCATGGAAGCCTATGTAGCATGCATAGACGACGAAACTGTACAGAGCCTCCACTCTTCCGTCTTACACGGAAGTAAGTAGACAGAAACCCTGGCGACGGCTCATGAGAGGTTGATAACCAGAACGAAACGATCTGAGGTTCGGAGCTCCACCACACGCGCCGATGTGCAAATTCGTGCCGCCGGCTAGATGGAAGCACGCCGAACACGCCTTGGAAGTTGGACCTGCCCTTTTGCTCTTCGCCTTGGAGCTGCCCGAAACTCGTTGCCTCGTAGGCTCAGCATCCAGCCAGGCCGCCTGCGGGCAAGTCATCCCGCCTCCCGGGAGCGCCTCCGGCAAGTCCCCATCAATCACGTAAGAAAAACCACTTCTTCCGTCGTCCGTAACTTGCCTCTGCCACCCCGGGGGGCGTTCTCCAACACGCCCCTCCACCCTCTCCCCCCTTTGGACCCGGCTGTCACCGATCCCGAGCAAAAGACCTGGAGCGCGGTCTCTCAGGCTCTCCCCCTCTTCTGCCACGGCTCCTTTCGCATCTTCGCACCTTGCGAGACGCCCTCTTAACCATTCCAAAACGGGCCGGGTCCGATGTTCGCATACCGTCCCTCTGACACGGCTCTCGCATGACTTTCGGTCTGGCTTGACTCATAGAAAACGCCCCAAGTCACCACTGAGCCCGCCTCCTGCCCCTACCTACCGGATTGCCATCCGATGGCGCGTGGGCGGACTGGCCACGACACACCCGGCCCGGTGCGCCGGTTACACATCATCCCCCTTCTCCTGCACCCTACACCGGCTACCCATCATGCTGCGCACGGCAAACCGACCACCGCCCACCGTCCGCCAGGGGGCGCTTAAGAGCTCGTCCGCACACCGCACTATCGTGAGATGACCTTGGAAGTTGAATCATCCATTTCGAGACTATTATCGCGCCATTCAAACCACGGGGCGGACGCGAGCTGCCCTTTCGAGCGACGTGGCATTGCTGCTTCCGGGGAAACATGCCGAGCAGGGAATTACTTTCCGTTTCAACTGCCTACGTAGTAGTACTATGCGTGATGTGCAAGTGAGCAAGTTTAGGAAACTCACAGCAGCGCATTAATAACTCGGCAACTCAACTCTACAGAGCGTATGCCGCAAAGTCACGATACTCCCGGGATCTCATCTCACCGGTACTCAATGTCCCGAAAAAGACCCTTCACTATATCACTTCAGAGCTCAGATCAACCGCTCGCCAAGGATATTCGCCGTTCGTCGGCGGGCGTTCTAGACTCTCTTGAATCTCAGAATTCCGTCCCAAAATTTCTCCAACTCCCACCCCAACACACCCAACTAGTAGTTTTCGTCAAGTAATTATTTCCTAAGATTAACTGAATAGCTTGAAGCTTGGGACATTCCCGTCCCAAAAAACCTTGCATCGCAGCGGGTAAACGCAATGCGAGAACAAAACTAGCAAACAGAAAACGTGGGATGAGCCGCAAGGTAGTGTACACATCGGACAAGTACCTGCCAATAGCCTATAATTATCAAGGGTCGTGACTCGAAAGGGATTTCACATGTTACCATCCCACGCGTCGTGGGTCGCATAGTCTGTGGCTTCGTTGGTGAGGGGCAAATTCTGTTTGAAGTTCTCTCTATGTCCACTGAGTAGTGATACTGCCGCACAATTTGCCGTCGAAGCGCACTCAAAGTATGGGATTCAACTAAGTCATTCGTAAAGTCAGTCCCGACAAGTCACATTGAAAGATGGAGAGGAAGTGGAAAGTAAATTTATAGTGATTTGTATAATAAATATTTGCTTCAATTGTATGTTTCCATATCGAGCTAGCTACTGAGAAGCCATGTGACGGGAACCTTGGCATCATCGATGATGCGCCTCTTCCATCAGCTCTGTCCAAAGTCCCCGTAGAACGCCTCGCAATGCAAAACACTTTCTCATGGTCATTTCACTCAATGCCATGCATCTCTTCAAAAATCCATTGTAAAAAAATCCAACTGAGTTGTGACACTGTCTTTCCCGCCAAAAAAGTTATAATCCTATAAGAAAACAAGCGCCCGGTTCGGAAACCAGGGGGTATAATGCGGTTGAAAAAAATAAGCAAATCCTAAATCCATTAACTTTTTGTTTTCCTTTTCATCCCGTCTCTTGAATTATTGTATGTGATTTTTTTTGGTTGTGTTGATTAATTATCTTTCATGACTCTCCTCCTCTAGTGGTGGTGGTGTCATGACGTGGTGGATCCGCCGGTAACGGATCCCTCCCGGCTATGTGCCAGTCCGTTGTGCGCTTGGCCGTCAAGGTGCTCAAGGCTCATGTAGTCGACGGGAGCCGCTTCGTCGGGGTACGCGGGCGGCGAGGGGGGAACGTCCTGGTAAACGGGCGGCGCCTCGTTATCCCAGCTGACGCCGAGACCGGGGCACTCGGTGAGCATCACGTGGTAGTGCATCCTCAAGATGCGTCCGGTGCCCGTCTGCGTCGCGAGGTGGGGCTTGCCGACGGGCGCCCATTCCTTGGAAACGACCATCTCGATCATGAGTGCGTGAGAGACTTCGGTGCCGTCGCTCGACTTCATGTCGCAGGCGTATCGCGGGCCGTGACTGTGCTTGCTGGCGACGACGCCGTAGTCGAACTCAAACTCGACGTGGCCGTCTGTACTGGTGTAGTCGGACTTCCAGCCGTCGTGCATGTACTTCTCACCGAGGACGCGGGTCTCGGTGCGGGCGACACCCTTCTGCTGAGGCTGGGTGTTGTTGTTGGCGTTGCCGGGGACCGGGGCGTGCTTCTCGCAGGCGGGAGCCACGGTCTTGATGGTCTCCTCAAGCTTCCACGTAACCTTCTTGAGCTTCCAGAACTCGACCGTCTTGTTGGTGGCGTTTGCGCTGGTGAGGCCGTCGAGGCGGAACGAGACGTTGTGAGTGCCGGCCGGGTGGATCACCTGGTTGTAGTGGGCGCTGGCCTTGATGTTGGTGGGAGGGAAGACGCGGACAGAGTGATGCGGGAACTCGGGTTGAGGGAGGGAGCGCTTGACGTCAAAGTTCTGCTCGAACTTGATGGGCGTCTGCGAACCGGGCGTGCCCTTGACGAGGATGGCCTCGGCCTTGAACTCGTAGGCGATGGACGTGATGGGTGTGTCCATGGACGCGGGAAGGTGACCCTCGAGGAGGATGGAGAAGGGGAATTGGTGAATACCCTTCTTGAGCGTCGTGGGGTGCGTGAGGAACGTCCAACGCTTCAGCTCGGTGTACTGGTTGGTGCACTCGCCGCAGTGGTTGGTGAAGGGGCGCTTCTGCTGGACGTGGATGTTGAGCTTGGCGCCAAAGGTCTCGATCTGCAGCTGCTCGTCCTTGACTTCGAGCTGCATCTGGCCCGAGACGAGGGCGCCCGTAGATGACTCTGCATCGCCAAAGAAAACAATGGGCGGGCTCTCGATCTTCAGGTCGAGGCCTGCGTGCGAGTTCTCGTGTGAATCCTTGTTGGAGCGGCCAAATGGCAGAGAGAGGCGGTGGTGGTGGTGCTTCTTCTCCTTGAGGTGGTCTGCGGGATCTGCTGCGAACATGTTGTGGTAAGGGATGTGCTCGCCGTCATCGGAGGAGTAGGAAGAGTGGCGGTCGAGGGGGACTCTGCGCAACAAGCCTTCGTCCTGGACGTTGTTGTGACGGGGTTGGTGATGTTGCTGGTGTTGCTTGGTCTTAGTCTTGAGGTTTGCAATGGCAGAAACACTGAAGTTCTCAGTGGAATTCCGCAGGAAGTTTGCTACGCGGTGGGGCATGATTGGGTGCGGTTGTGTGGTGCGTTCCCCGGATTTCGAGGGCTTGCTGAATCTTGGAATGTTCGGTTGCGGCCCTCAAGTCTTCTTTTGTAAATCTTGGCTGGCTAAGATGGGCCAACAAGATGGACAGGGGTTAAAGGGGGTGAGGGGGCGGATGAACCGCAAAATAAGGGAGGTGGTGTGACGTTTTTAGGGCGTAGGTTCGTCCAAGAGGATAATGGGTTCCGTCAGAAATTTTTGGAATCCTAAAAAGGACAAAAAGAGTCGATTCGCCGGATCCCGAAGGATAGGCGAGGTTGATGCGGGCGCGCGCAGGTTCTTTCGGGTGGGCGTGTGGTGGTAAGGGTGTAAGGCGCGAGGCCGAGGGCGAGCGGCGGTGTGTGTAGTGTAAGTGCGTTGATGAGCTGATGGACGGAATGCGGCAGGTCTGCTGATGTTCCCTGACTGACTGACGAGTGATGTGTGGTATGGGTCTGATGGGCAGACCAAGATGTGTCCGGGGGCCCTTTTCTCTTTGTACTTGGACAGAGAGACTTGGAAAAGTGAGAGAAGAGAAGAGTGTGGAGCGCGATGACTTGTTTCCTCTTGCTATTCTCGAATCCTTGCAAGGAAAGGTCCAGGTGATGTGGGTGGTAGGAGCACAAGGTCTGATTCTCGTTCTGTCCTTTGCCCGTTTGGGTTTTTCTTTCTTTATGGCGTCGAACAGCCAAGAACGAAGCTTGTTTGGGCTGGGTTGCGGTGGTGGTGGACGGGATCTACTTCCGCTATGCGCGCTGAGAGGAAGAAAGATGGGATAAAAGCGACCAAAGCGATGGATGGTAGTGAGGTGCGGGGTGTTGTAGGGCAGATGATGTAGACCCTTTTCGTTCTCTCGTTCGCAACAGGCGTGGATGGCTTTAAAGAGAAAACCAACTGTTTTGGAATCTCGGGTTGATCGAAGTCGAGATCGTAGAGTGAAGGGGTATGGGAAATGAACAAATGCAGACTTTTTGCGACTGCGATGACTCCTTCTCTTGTGAATTTCCCCTTTTGGGTTTCCCGTTCCTTCGTGTAAGTCGTTTGTCGACCGGGGTAGTAGGTAGGGCGCAAGAAAAGTGTGCTAATGTGGGATGGATGCAGCTGCAGCGTTGCGCTTAACGGCGGGCTTTTCGGGTGAGATGAGATGCAGAGTGCGGAGGAGGCAAAAGTGGCCGGGATTCTCCAGAAAGACCAGAGTTCTTTTCGGCTTCTCGAACGAAAGGTATCGTGAGGTTATCGTCAAGTTGGAGTTGTCAACGAGGGAAGATCAGAAGAAAAGTAGATCACGGTGGTAGTTGACTCTTGTAATATCAGCCTCTTATTACGCAAGACGTGAAGCAGGACCGTCGCGTTATTATGTCTTGCCAGCTCGTGATGGTCAAGCTTTTCATAGGGTAATTATGTGTCATGAGTTGGAAGGGTACCTGGCGACACATGCTCCGCTCCAGCGTTTTGACACGGCCCAGCAAGCGCGGCATCGTGTACATCAGCTCTTCATCAGACACCCACATGGGAACTGTGACTGACAGAGACGCCCGTACTGTTACTGAAAGTGGACGTGGATCCATCACAGAGGTGTGTGAATCAACCAAGGATGGGAAGAAAGAAAAAAAAGTGTGAAAAAAAGAGCCTGGACCATCTCCACCGGATGGGTCCATTGCGCGAAGTACCTGCTCCAGTTTGTTCCAAGCGCAGCTGTACATTGCGCCAACTGACACTTCTCGAACATGACCAACGCCAACCAGTGACTGAGCCCACCAGCTCCCTTCGACTGGCTGAGAAGGACGGATGCTGGCCCGAGCTGGTTCATTGTTGCAACTTTTGCAAGGCATGGCGTTGCCTGCTGTGGCATGGGTCGAGTTCCTTGGTGGCCGCCTGATCATGCGCCTGGCTCCAGGACTCGCAACCACTCTCTTCAGTCCTGAGCCATGACACTGAGAAATGGTCCTGGCGGGCCCACGTGTAGGTACGTAGGGCATCCGTAACTTGTATTCTATTCCTAGGAACCAACATCGAGTTGAGGGCCATCCACCGCGACAGGCGGCGCTGCTTAGGAGGGAGATGCCACCGCCCGATCGCGGTCCTGTAGCGCGGCGGTCAGGTAAACTCGGTACGTATATCTCATCCCGGAGCACCATCGCCGGAACCTGGGAAGAGAGCCACCAAAGAGCCAAGACAACCTGGACAAGAGACAGCTTGTTAGGTACTTGTAATTGTGGTACTGTACAGTCTGTGCCTGACCACTACAGGGAACAGCCAGCCTCAGCTTACATTCTCCCTCTCGCCGCCATCACGATTTGCGAACCCTTGAGGTCGTGCCCGGTAGTCCACAATGGCGCAAGGCCAGGGGCACGGCGTCGTACTGGATGATGCAACGGAGGGGAAGCCAATTATTCCTGCGTCCACAAGCCAGACACGTGTAGCAGCAGTAGCAGAAAGAGGAAACAAACGCAATGGAGACAAAGGGGTTCGCAGTTACAGCTAGTTACAGGCTTACAGCACACCAGCTACTGTGTGGATGGCATCATGTTGGTGCGACCGTTCGCAACAGAGCCGGTTACGGTCCATGGAGCCGCCTACCATCCAGGTGTTTCCAGCGCATCGTAGTAATAACGCAAGACGGGAGGATGATGCCAGCATCTCCCAGATTGATGCCAGAGAGCAGATCGGGCGGCACCTTAAACTTAGCACTGACCCGACTAGGTTGTAGCCGCCGCCAGCATAGTCCTGGGAAATGACACCATTGGCCAAGGGCATGAGGAAACCAGCAGAACCAAACCGCATCCTCCTCCCTCAGGTGCAGTCGCACAATGCCATGTGGTACGATTTTCTACTGTTGCCCAGGAATCGCGCTGCGGGGTCCCTCAACCTCTTTTTAGAAGACCAAGAACCGGAGCTCTCCACGAGGTGCGGTCGTGCCAGATGACATTGCAGGTGACTCGGTCAATAAGGCCATCACAATGCACCTGTCGGCAGAAGCAAGCTGCAAACCTGATGTTCTCCGGTTCTCTCTGGGGAAGGTTTCCACGGCCCACGAGGCGTCTGCCCCGGCTACCCAGCCGGTGACATATCGTGAGATCCAGAAACGGGCCATAACGACGACAGGCAGACGTGGCCGATGAACGGGTAATTGCTTGAATGTGCCAAGGAAATCGGCCTACCAGCCTATTTCTCTCATCGCAATGCGATTGTATGATGGCATCAGTCATTAGCGCCATCTGCTTGTTCTCAAACTGACACGCATAGGTAGTGGCGTTGGGGCCTGGCGTGGAACACGTATTCAACGCCGGTGTAAGTCCAGTTCAGCAAGTGGCAAGCAGCCTAGCAGTCTGTACTCTGTTTCCATAGTCAACACAAACGTAAGCAGTCCATGTTGAGGCGTAACGAGCGACGAAGAATCGAGTACCTAAACAGCAAGGCTTTTCGTCACATCTCGTAAACCAGTCAACGGCATCACCGTCACCCACATATCACCGCCACAGCATCGCAGTTGAAACCTCGTGTTGCACCTCTACTCCAAGACAAAAATCGATCTGAGATCCCTATTCGATCGTACCACTGGATCTGAAGTCCGGACCAAGCCGCAATGGAAAAGCGTTGAGAATGTCAACCCGACCGTCCGACCGTCCGACCGGCCGATCGGGGTACGTCTCACAGTCTCTCAGCCTCTCCCATTGCTTGCGGTCAGCGCTCTTGAGGCTCTGGACTATCACTGTTCACAAAGGTTTGCTTGACCGACGGAGCGCACCGTCACCGTCTTTCTCTCTATTCCGATACTCAGCAGTGAGCCGCGCGATTCCCCACCATCACCACCACCAACCATCCTCAAAAGTGCCCTTCCGTCCCCGTAACGGAATGGCATCCCGTAGACTCAGTTGACCTATTCCTAAACCGAGAGGAAGGGGTGCGGTCCGGTGCCGAGCGGGAAGAAGTCCATCCATTGCCTATCCGCAAAGGTTGTCATTTAGCCGCGTTGACCTGCCAAGCAACCCCAACCCATCGTCTTTTTTCCAATATGGAGCCGCCATCGTGAAGTTTTTTCCTTCAGTCTGCTCGATTGCGTGCGAATGTCATTCCTGGCTAGGAAAACGTGCTTCTAGACTTGGCCTAGGATCGTGAATGGAAACGAACCGCAAGCCACAATTCCCACTCGAGGAAAACAAAAACGGAGAAAACGGGGACGGGAAGCAGGGGTGGAATATCCACTTCCAAGGCCACTGGGCCACTCATGAAGTTTCTCTTACGTATAACCGGAGTCACCTGCCCATCCATTTTCGACGTTTTTTTTTTCTTCACTTTGCGTGTCTGCTTCCACCCAGACGCGGAATTCCTTTTGACATTTTCAGTCTTGTTCGACAAATTCGAAAAGCACGCCTCCAACGAGCAAGGAGTCAAGGACCCCCTCCTACAGGCGGCTACAGCATACCCAGTGAGGCTAGTTTCCGTATATGTGCCCTTGACGCTTGGGCGCTCACTTCTCTGTCCCCTTTCAGACAAGGAAACGGAGCTCCAAGGGGTTGGAGCACTCCATAGCTTCATGCCGGTGGCTGCTGGCATTCACATTTGATCCCATCGTGATATCTCCAAAAATGAACGAAGCCGCAGCAAGGAGCTAGCTGAAAAACTCTTCCCAACCCCGTGGGCAGAAAGATTCCTACCATCACTCTTAAGCCACCCCGGCTGGTGCAGGCATTGGCATCCACTGCATTCCCACACATGTCACTGCCACGGCTGCAGACTGGATGGAGCTTGGAGCTGGAGAATTTGCTCCATCTGACTCTTCCAACATTGCCCATGGGAAAGTCTTGATGTACAAGATCCGCACGCCCTGGGCAGTAAGAGACCCAAAGGCGGATGACCTAAGCTCAGAAAAACGAGATGGAACACTTCCATCGCGATCCAGAGCGGTCGTCCAGACCCACGACTCTGACCACCATTCCCAACTTGGGCAAAGGACCACAGTTCCTGCAGCCCTGCTACAAATGTGGGTTTTCAGTCGTAAATGCACACTTGTAGCCCAGCATAAATTTTCTTGTGGATGGGTACATCGAGCCAGGAGGTCGCCAGCATGATGTCAACAACGAACTCACGAATATTGTTCCTGAGTTGCTATGGAGTATTTTCCCACTCATTACCATGGTTTTTCTGTGGTGTCTTCTCCACGAGCGTGTTTCGAGATCGCCCAGCTCCGCTGTTTAATGTTTTCCATGATGCTCATCTCCTCTACAACAGTAATTAACCGCTCATACGCCAACAGGCGTCATCCAACGCCGAAGTGTCATTCAGGGGAAGAATGTTTCCGTCAAAAGTCACCACCGATTCACCGCTAGCCGCCGGTCCTCATCGGTGACCGTCGCCTCCAATGCCCAAAAACCGAGCAAGACATTTCCCACCCCCTCCCTAGCTTAGCCCCCGGGTACCCCTCGCGCCTCAGGGTCCTTCTCGGTGATCCGGGAACCATCCCGAACCCCTCCAAACCCCCCACCTCATCGCGCTCGCCGACTTCGCTCATGGGGAGTCATACTGTCATATCGTAGTGCTCTTGGCCGGCATTCTGTTCTGCTTGCCGGTCACATCGTGACATTTCCCCCAATTTCGCTTCACTTTGTGTCCTTTCCTGATTCAATAAGATGGCGCAAACTATCCCGCAACAGAAAACCTTTTGCTCATCCCCCCCGATACCGGCGCGGCGCCCGCTCACGGCTCCCACAGCGACAGCGCAGGCGGCACTGGTACGGACGCGGCCAGGCCGGTTTGATCTCACGGACCGTTTTAGAAGGCTACCAGAACAGCCAAAGCCACATGCATCCTCAAGGGCAAATAGCTTCTCACAGACTCATGCTAGGATCCCTGGAGAGTCATTCGTCCCAAGGTTTCTGTAAGTAGGGACGGCAACAACCAACGGCAACGGTTAAAGACAGGGCAGCCACGCTTCTGATTCTTGAAACATTGCGACGAGCGCAAGTCTGAACTTGTCAATTGGTTTTCGTAGAAAATCTTAAATGAGCCGACTTGAGCGTCACCCAAGCCCGTCGTCAAACACGCCAACGGGCGCGGCAAGTCAAAATTGTACAGCAAGGTTTATACCTGTGCCCATTCTCACACGTGAGCATCGAATGCTCTTTCTTGTTGAACGTGCGACCCTCGAGACAGTGAAGACACCGAGCTTGAGTTCTCGAGCCAAGAGTTCGTTGTGTTGCTCTCAGATCATTTCGTCTTCGCAATCTGTCGATAGTCGCTGTAATGCGACAATGGGCTTAGGCACTCCATCCCATTTCGCCAGGAGAAAGAAAACGAGGTCACGGCTAGGCCGCCATTGGCCAACTCAAAGCAGTTATCGGATATGATCTCCCATGTTCGCCGTGCCCCTATCCACGTTCCTGAGCCCTGGGCAGAGGAAACAGAAACAAACGGTCACGAACACGAGCGGCAGGCTCGAAGCAGGGAGATAATCGGATATCAACATGTTTTACGAGGCTGATAACGCTTGGCCTTCTTTATCTTCCCCGACATGGCACCAGGTGCAGCAAGATCCAGGTGAAACCCCGCGCGGACGGGACCAACACTCCTTTGACCACTCAACCTCGAGATCCTTATCGCAAGAAAGCCATTTCACGCTTTCCCCAGGTTTTCCTTTTCCAACGCGACCTTTCCACCCCGCATTCTACTAAATCTGAGGCGGGAGATCGCTTCATGGTAAGCCTCAATTTCTCGACTACATGCATTCCCTTTTTGTTCACATCATCGTGCGCGCCGCAGATTCGTGGCTTTCCATTGGTATTGTGGTGGCCATTCGTGCCCACAGATCATCATGACATAGGACTCGCGCCCTTTGGATGTCTGTATCTACTATCTCCGCGGAATGAGACGTCGCGTCACATGAGCCCTGTTCACGTGGACCATTTCCTTAGGACGGTCGACTACACCAAATACGCCTTAATCTAGAGAAATGAGGGGTAATAAAGAATATCATCGTCATAATCACGCCTTACGCCAAGCGCTGGTCGTAGGCATCGTCGACGAGTGTAAGTCGCAAATAGGACGAAATGCCTTATTGAAAAGGACAAAATTGACTTTGTTATTGGTGGTCCGTCCCCTCCCCGCCGGATCGACCACGTCCCAGTTCACAGCACAGCTCTGAGCTTCCAGTACCCCGCCGCGGCGTCGCCCGGCGGCTGAAGCTCTCAGTGCCCTGGCGACCCTGGCCAGGACTTCAACCCCTTTGACTGCAATCCTCCCTCGGAGATGTCCTAGACAAAGCCATTCACGAAAAACGCAGCACAACCTCTTTTTTGCTGAAAATGTTGTCATCCCTAGCGCTGACGCCTCAATTTCTTGGCCGTCTCCAATTGGGATTTCATTCAGCTTCAATGTCGGACCCCCAGACCCGGTACAGTACAATCGGGCCTGGCCCGCCATGACCCCAGTCTCACTCATCCTCACCGTCGTCCTAATGTCCTCCACAGTCCAAAGAGCTTGAGAACTTCCTCATCCTCCTCCGCCGCCGCTCCGCATTCTGCTTTTCTCCATCCCGCCCCATCTTCGCTTACTGGGCAGCACAAAAAAGCTTTTCCAAAGCCTAGAACCTCTTTGCATGTCTTCCACCTTAGCTCAATGGGCCTTTGGGGAACCTCTTACATAATGGCGTCGGACTGCGCAGACAAAGGTGGAAAAGAGCATGCTGGGCGAAAGTGCCATTGAAACAAATTTTCTTCCCCTTCCCTTTTCTTTGTGACCCAATGTGCTTACCTCACTAATAGCTTAGCCGCGCTGCGAACGAGGGAAGAGCCGCTGCCGCCACTAGCTACATAGACTATAGTCGTTCGCTAACTGGCGGAGAGCTGAATGGACCGCAAAGTTACATCTCCATGGAGAACGGCGAACCGCGAAAGATGGGCATCGGAGGTTGCCCAGTCATACTGAATGGATAGAAATTGTAGCGTTCTAACTCTATACCGAGGTATTCCGGACGAGAAGTGGCAACATGGGAATCTGAAATCACAGCCTTGACTCCTCGAGAGTTCCCTCGAGTCAAGTGTTTTCTCCTCCTTGGCCTTGGCTATCGTCAATTGAAACCAAATAATTGAAGATGAGCTCGTTATCCGTTGCTTGGACAGCACATGGCTTTTCGCAAAAGTGGCAAAAGTCTTGGTCTTTGAGCCCATAGCGAAACGTGACTCGATGTCTTTCTCTGTTTGGACGCAACTCCCAACAAGGAAAGCCGATCCGTCAAAATGTAGCTTTTTTTTGTCGTCCCAATCTTGCCGCAGCGGAAGCACTGCATACTGACCTTCCGTCCGTGTGACATGTTACGGATCCATCTCATCACCAATCCTTCTCTCGGGTGAGGCCAGGAACCGTCTTCTGCATGCTTCAGCTTGGACATTTCTGTGCGTTGTGGGCAGAGAAGTTTCTGTTATTTGATCTGGAAGTCACATTAGCCAAGACTTCAAACTCTGATAACGTTATTGAGAGTTTGATTGGTCGTGTTGGACGCTCATGTCCCACGAGCCTTCCGGGATCTTTCGACCTCTGCGCCGGGAACCGGCTCCGGGACCCATAGAACGCGGTGATCCCGGGTGGCGAAACACTGAACATCGGAGACGGACTCGGCAGCCGAAAATTCGGAAAAGACCCGCTTCGGATAGATATTCCGTCGCTCGGGGTGTCCATCTATCGGAGGTCGCCCCGTACGGCTTTGCAGGCCCTGCCGGAGACAAACTCCACAACTTCGCTCCCGTCCACCCGGTCCTCCTCGGGCCGACGATGCTTGTCCCGTCGGCTGGTTCGATCGTTCTGGGCCCACCAGCAGTAGGGACTGCATTCCGGTGCAACATGAGCTGGTCCCAAGAATGCGGTTCAATGATCCATTGTCGTGCAGATGAATTCCAGTCGCATCGGCCAATCTCGCATCTCCCGGAGCGATAAATCCGTCAAGCAGGTTAAGGTGAAATGGCTACTTGTCGAGCTGCCCATCGTCGCTCGTATCCGTTTCTGCGGACTTGGTGATCCCAATCGTTCGGTATCCCGCAAAGCTCCCGAGAGTGTCAGGGTTGCTCCGCACATAAATTGAGTCGGGGGATTTTTCAACGCCAGCGGCACCTCGGCAGTAGGCGAGGGCATTCCGAAAAAAGGACACGGGGAGAAAACTCGGGCGAGGGGGCGGCGGCGGCGCTGTCTCAGGGTTCTATTATTAACAAACTTCCAATGGTTTGTCTTGCGTTTTTTTTTCCTGGTCAGCTGGTCAGTGCGTGGCTCGTCGTGAGTGGGAAGCTCGAGCACCACAAGGCCCGTTTAGCGAAATGAAAGGCGCGGCGGTTGGCTCTTCCCGTCGGCCTTATCGCCGGGATAACTCGTTACAATTCATGCGATGGGTTGTCTGAAGCATGTCACAAGATGATGTTTTTGTTGGTCGCTGAATCGCTGCCGCTGCCTCGGTGAGGGGGGACGGCAGAGGGGAAGGGAGATTAAGAATGTGCCGTTGTTCCGTGTCAAGAAACCTGGAAGTGACGATTGTCGTCTGGTGTAGAGAAAATGTCAATTGACGTCGCTGTCATCATGAACTCTAATAGAGGGTAGTTGATTGCCCAGGTACGGATACTCAGTCATCAATGCTATGCCGAGTTTTCAGCGCCGTAATGGCGGGACGAACGCCCTTGAGATTCGTAGAGTTCGCGCTGCCAAACCCATCAGATTCGAGGGCCGTCGCGCGCGCATTTGTTTTATCTGCCACAGTCTTACCCGACCTCGAGAGAAGGGGATGGATGACATGCCAATTTCTCACCGGGCACAGCGAACAGGGAGTTTGGAATGTGAAACACGAGACAAGCATTTCCCCGCAAGACCAATTCTCTGGCAGCCACTCTAATCACGAGGCTCCCACTCTGTCCGTTGGCGATGCCCACGATAGCCCACGAAAGACTCCAACTGCCCCTCTCGGACCCTTCTTTAGCAATGCCGTCAGCTTTGTGTTTGGCTTGTGCAGTTCGTAAGGAGGCAAAAGCCAGAGTCGAGGAAATTGACTGCGGCAGTATGTTCGCCCGTATGGACCGTTCATTGGCCGTATTCGGTTGACTCGGATCGCAGGACCATCCCGCCAACCCTTTAATTGGGGCCAGGGTTCGTGTTTGTTCCTCTTCAGGACCGTTGTAAGGGGAGGCCTTTTTGGGGAGGGCTTTCCAAGAGCCAATCATGACAGCCAATTCCGGCACTCTCGGCCTCATTGAAAACGAAGATGAGTGAGACACAGCCACATTCTTCCCCCAGATTGGAACTTGTGTCTTTCCTCGCGAATGCAGAATATGCAGAAATGCACGGCCGCTAAATCGACTGAAGGAGCGAATGCGTTCCTGATGGGGGATGGTATGGAAGGAATGATTGAAAATAGAGACATTTGAGGCAGGCACGTTGTTGTCGAATGAGGGAGGAAGGAGGGGCGCCTTCTTTCCTTCCACTGTCACTCTGTCACTCTGTGCCTTCTGTCTGCCCACGGGTTCCTTCCTGTTCCTGCACCTGCTCCTGGCGTACCTGCGTCGGGCGTACTTTCGTACGTGCGGCGGTGCCTACCTCTTTCCCCCTGGACCCTGAGACGACCGCCCCCCTCCCCTGAATAGGTAGGTAGGCAGATTGCCTCACCTTCCTTCCCTCCACTTTCCCCGTGTTTTCAAGGTGTCGGGTCCCTTCCTAAATTCCATCCGTTCCTTCCATTCCTTCCAGGTTGCTTCCCGTCCCTGCCCGCCTCAATCTCGCGCGCTCTTTCCCTCCTCGCCCCCTTCTTGCTTTCTCTCGCCAACAAGCACAAACCCTCCCGGGTATTCACTCTTTTGTTCCTTCCTTCCTGCATCTCTTCTGGGCACCGGCCACTTTTTCGTTGTGTCTCTGTCCCGCCAAACTGTTTTCGCCCTTCCTCACACCAGTCACTCCTTGCATAAAAAAACCGTTGGCAATCAGAGAATGCGATAGCAGGGGCTCCGAATCCGGTTTCACAGAAGCGACACAGGGGCGAATCCACTCATTATAGACGAGCAATCCGCAACCCGCTTGCCGCAACCGAACGATAGGAATTCGAGGACGACCAAGGCGATAGTTGCGACAGGAAGCAGACGGCTCAAGCCAGGGAATTAAATACGAAAGGGAGGATTCCATTTTACTCGACGCGACGTGACGAAATTTACAATACTATCGGAACTCGAGGGTATTCCATCGTCATTACAAACGATTATCCAACCGTTACATCAAATCCACAATAATCCGATCCCTCCTCAGTCGCATCATGAGTTCCTCAACAACTGCCGCAAGCCTCCTGGCACCCGTCGCCCGCGCTGTACACTACCTCGCTGCGCGCGATGATTGCGCGGATGGAGACAACAGCTCCCGCTGCGAAAAGCCCTTTCAGTCCTCCAAGATCATCGGCATCACTATCGGCATTACTGCGTAGGTCTACCCGAACTATTCCGTACTCTGCTTCTTGGCTTCTGCCTTGATTCTCGTGTTGCCAAGCCACTCCAAGGTTTACCTCAGCACTCATCGTTCAGCCAAGACTAACATGATCCTTTTTAGTGCTGTGCTTATCTGCGGTACCCTTGGTGTCTTGACTGTGTTGCACATGAGAAGACAAAAGCAGGAGCGCAAGGAGGACGAAATCGACCTCGAGATCGACGGCGACGTCTACGACCACCCGACCATGGGCAAACCCCCGCGCGCCTGGCAGCCGCATGGCCAAAATAACCAACCTGGTAACGACAACCCCTTCGAAGCCGAGCGCCAGCCTCACCAGCGAGCCGAGAACCCTTTTGAGCCGGAGCGCCGGTAGTTACTCAACTCGTCCCGTGATAGGGACCTCTTGGGTTTCAGATACCGCACTTTAGCTGCACTTTTACACGAATGGAATAATTCGTCAACAATTATTATGGGTTTCGGGATATGTCGGATTGGAGACTTTCTTCTGCTCGTTGGGTGAGGGGATTGTACATAAGCCCGCTCCCTCGAGGACCCAATTTTGGTCAATCATCTTTGCGAGCATGGCACTGCGTCTTCGAAACTGTTCATTTTCTTCGCTGAAAGGGTCGGATACGTTACGAAGTCATGGTTTCCGATGTTCTACGTCACTCGGACCCACCGCCTAGACTTTGGGGAACGCGACAAATGACTGGGAGGATTGGCAGAGGATGGGGCATAGCCTCGGCACAAATGGTCAAGGTTCAACTCTTCTGCTGCTTGGCAACCTTGGGGGATACAGTCGGTTGTGGGGAGGTAACTTGCATATTGGGCTTGGTGAGGCTCGAGCCCACCAGCCCATGGGAGGATTCTTGTCTTTCGAAAGATGGTCACCAGGCATCTGTGATGCTGGCTAGCCCAGCATAATACAAACATGTTAAATCAACATCTTCCGCCATCCTGCAGTGGAAGGCAAGTCCATGATCGTGGGGGCTCCGTCAAGCACGTAACCCCCTTGAAGTTCTGCATTGCATGACGTCGGGTTCAGCAAGCAGTACCAGATTCTCCAAGCTTGTGATTTGCGGGCGGAAGGGTTCGCTACACGGGAGCTACCGATGCGAAGTTCGTAGCTTTTGCCTATTTGTCGGCCGGTGGGGTTTGTCGTTGCTTGTGATCTGTGAACCATCCGAAGTCTCGTTGCCAAACTTTGGCATATGCACAACTGAACTTGGCCGTCTGATGTAGGCTCCGCCTGTCCCTGTATGATGTCAGTCGCGCTGAACTTCCAGGTTAGGGCACGCTCGTGCTGTTTTTCTAGAGGTCCGTTCGCATAGCTTCTGGTTTTGTAAGCATCGCGGGTTGATTGAGGCCACACGACGATGGGGCGCGCTATCAATAACATGTCTTCCACGGTAGGGAGGCTGTTGTATAGAAGCATCGTATCTCACGACTACTTGAAGGTTCCAGGTGAGCTCATGCCATCGGGGCACGCTCTAAGCGATCCACGCCGGGTTTAAGTATCTCACTCGACAACCTCTAATCACAAACGTCTTCAAAGTGACTGAATGATATTGCTATGAGCGATTTTGTCAATCGAGTATTCTGCTACGCTGCGCGCATAGTCTCGCCGATTCTGCCTTCTGTTACCCTGCCTTATGATCGGTTACGTACTATTCATTACCCGTTAAGAAGGGTGGATGGGGGCATCTTGGCTTCTCGTATTCTCAAGCGGCGGCCGCATGATGGGCCGGGTTGCGGTACGATGTGTACCGCTTCATTCGGACATCATACTGCGTAGTTCAGGCACTCGTCGGACCGGTCTGACGCGGGACGACGTGATCCTGCTACACCGAAGCGGGATGAAGTCGGGGTAGCTGTACCGGGCCGTAGCTCCTAGCAACACAGATATCAACCGATTGGTACACTGCATAATAATACAGCTCGACAGATGCAGGTCGTGCCCAACGTGGAGAGTCCCTATGCGAACCCCGCCTTCTTATGTCGCCTTCCGGGCGGCTCGTCCCGGAATGATCGACGAGGCCCACCATTATCGTCCCTTCTTTTGCTCATTGTTGCGTAGTCGAGTTGGCGTATCGCCTGCATGTCTCAAGATCTGGACTTTTGAGCGGTTAAGAACTTCACCGAATGCTATTTGCGTTCATGGGCACCTTCTCGCTTCAACCAACATGGCATCACGGTGCATCCGAAAGTTGTGTGCCGATAGAACGACCAGCAAACCGAGGGGCTCCAGGACTTGGTGAGAATACCTCAGTCACGCAAGATTCCTGTGAATTATCCAAGCTGTCGAGGAGTATAAAGACCGCCTTGTCATCGACCTCCAACTTCTCTCTTCTTCTATTGAGTGCATATTCTATGTGCTAGAGAACTCCAAGCAGTACGATCCATCTTCACATCGTCTTCCTCTTGGTCCCTGTTTTCAACTTCACTACTTTTTGCAATGGCCTCCTACTTTCCTGAAGGCGAATGCTTCTTCGTCCGATCTTCCCTCAAGTACGGAAATACTTGGTCCGCAGAGAACGAGGAGCAGTTCTATAGCCATGTTCTCATCGAATATCAGGTACGCCTCCCCTTCTGTCCAATGTTTCTTCTCGAAGCTCTGTAGCTCACAAAACACGCGCAGTGGAATGGCTGGATTGGCAGCGGCAGCGCGAGTTCGATGCCAACCCACCTGCGGTCGAAGTCTCAGAGCGGAACGGCCAGTCTGTATAACACCCGCTTCTGGCAGTGGGACAGATTCTTTGTCGGCGAAAGCAAGACCACGGATCCAAGCAGCCTGACGGCCATCACCAGCTACCCAAACAGCTTGAACTGGAACGAGATGCGAGACCGCGACAAGGGCGGTCCGAGGAAATACATCCTGCGCCCGGTCAAGATTCGTCGCAAAGACACCGAGTGGCTGTGGATTGAGTACTCTACCCCGCTAACTACTATTTCCATGAGACCCTGCAGAGTGCTAACTTGCACCCAGTGCCACGATCCCAATCCGCGCCATCTACTTCCCCGTCTGCCAGCAGACCGACGAGGCGTACAAGCAGTACTGCACCTACGTCGTCATCGACTTCAAGGCGCGTGACACCATCAACTGCTTCAACATCGCAGGAGAGCCGCGCACCTACCCGTCCACGCGCGAAGCAGGCCTCGGCCTGAACAAGGACCTGACATGGCTCTTCAAGGTCCCCGACCTCATCACCTACCTGACCATTCCGCACAAGCTGCGCAACCCGGAGTACGGCGTCTACAACGCGACGACGAGGACCGACGCGCTGTTCCTCGTCGGGCACGCGGGGCGTACCTGGACGGCGAGTGATACCGTCCACACGGATGGGTTCATTCGCGAGATCGACCTTGCGAATGTCATCAGCGCTACGTTTGGTGTCGAAGTTGGTTGGCGCCCGTACAAGTATTCGTCTTTTATCCTGGACCTGGTCACGCACGTGGTTCAGCTCGGCCTTGGCTTTATCCCTGGGGCGGGACCCCTCTTGTCTGTGGCCTTTGGAATTGGACTGCAGCTTCTTAACGATCCTGAGACGTTCAAGGCGGATAATGTCCTGGATATCAGCGCCGCGGTCTTGTCGACATTGATCGCCTCGGCTGGGAAGTCAAAGAAGTATGTTGCTCCGGGCTTCTTGCCGGGTGCGACCATGTCCACGAGAATGGCGAGTATGCGGATGGCCCCCATGGCTTTGACATCGGCTTCGGAGGCTGATGATATGGTGGCTAATGATACGGTGGCTGATGAGGTGGACGTATTCGATGAGGGGGGCGCCGCTGAAAAGAAGAAGGCTGGAGAGGAGGAGAATGCACGGATTACCGCGAGTATCCAGGCTCAGCGGCAGGTTCTTGAGTTGAAGCTGGATGAGGCATTCCGGAGAGCGGGTTACTAAGACTCGTCTGGTCATCATTGCAGATATTGTTCCACAGAGGTATCTTCTACGTGTGTGAACAACACAGTCTGGCTCTGAATAAGGGGAAGGCCGAATAGCTGTCTAATGAGGTTTGATGATTCATTCGAGCTACAAGTCCGTCACAATCCCCCATATAGTCAGTCTCAGAGACAAAAAAATCAGCAGAAGTACGATCCCTCAGAGACTATAGATATCCTAAAAATGAACCGAGAGCACTAGTGAAGGCGAAAGAGCTAGGTCCCTTGAGGGAAAGTAATGATTTTAGGCTGGTTATCTGAAAGGCATTTCCAACAATTTCATTGACGAAAGACTTAGTCGAAGGGCCTGATATCTCTTGAGAACCCCATTGTATAGAGCTCGCCTGAGGGACCAACCCAAGCAACAACGGATTCGCCTGCAGCCACCTGGTTTCGCCTATCGTCATCATTCCAGCGAGGAGAAGTCAAATTCGAACAAGGGTTGATGTCCGCTGGCAAAAGTATAAGGTTGACACCGTCCCAAGTGATCCATTTACCACTTACATCGATTCCATAGCCCTGCCAGCGTGGCCCCTGAAGCATGGCAGACGTGTCTCCAAATTCGGCATCATCCATCGTAGGACTCGCTACTTGGGATGGGCGAGTAGACCTTTCGATGGCAATGTCCCCAAAACAAGTCCGCAATTGAGAGTTGTCGGTCGAGAAAGACAGGCTTACAAGACTACGTCCCACATCTAAGACGTGTGTGCATTGCCCCGAAATTGTCGACCAAATCCATATGCGTTGAGCCTTGTCCGTTGATGCCACTGATTCCGAATTGCAAGAAAACGCGATTGCAGTGATGCGAGATTCGGGTTGAAAAAGGGCTTGGCGGGAGCACTTGCTTGCTAGCCATAGAGTGAGCTCTTCACCACGATATGGTACTGAGGCTACCCATTCCGAGTTTGGCGATATGGCGAGAAAGCTGAATTCGTCCGCTTCCTCGGGCATATCGACGTATTTGCCTGTATTAATGCTCAAGTACCTGACCCTGTGAGACATCTGATCTGATCTGGACTCGCCATTCTCTTTTGGTGCCTCTAGGCATGGGATTTCGACTGTGTAGGCCGCGTGTTCCCAATCAGGCGTGACTGTGATGAGGGTCCCGGCACAGGTAGAGTCTCGGTATTGCAACCCCCCCTCTATTGTCCAGAGACTAAAGTCGTGATATGCACCAAATGCAAAGGATTGTGAATCTGCCGAAAACAAAACCTCGCTCTTTTTTGACTTCTTGTATTCGAGATAGCTAGGTTCACGAGGACACGGAGGCTTCATGACCTGAATGATTGTGCTGTCTTGGGTGTTATGGATTGCCGGCTGGCGAGGGAGGAATACGTATTTTGAGTCAGGCGAGACCGTGGCATCTCCCGAATCCCAGACATCCCCATCATTTTTGACTTTCAAGTCTAGCTCGCCAGTGTCAGACGACCAAATATTTACCTCGTTGGAGTCGTCGATTACGTCCATGGAAATAATTTGTGCCGTTTCCTCGGAAGCTCTCCGATGTATGAAACAGTTTTCAGTCACCGCAGACACTGGCTGTATTGGCTGATTGCCTCGACTGCCTAGCGTTCTGGGCTTCCGAATCATGGATAAGAACCAGATGGCAACTCCGTTGCTTCGAGCAACAATGAGAAACTTGCCATCGGGTGAGAACGCCACTGCCCAATACTTAGCTCCAAGTGAAAAAAGGCTGATTGGGCTGGCCCCGAAAATGCTGCTGAAATCTAGGGATTGGTAGTGTTCGCCAGTATCGAATGACGAAATCGAAACAGCGTCGCTATCGGAGAGACTTTGGTGCGCGATGAGCCTTGAGTCGTGTGAAACAGCGAAAGGTCCTCGTGTGGCCTCCCCCCCTGGGAGTTTAGATTGCCAATGACCGGTGTCGATGTCCAAAGTTCGAATCTCTCCATCAGCCTTATTCACGATCAAGAGATTGGTTTCTGGTATGAAGGCGAGCGGGCTCACCACAGGCCCATTTGTGTCAAATGTCCGAAGGCAGTTACCCGTCGACACTTCCCAGAGATGGACACCTCCACGAATAGATGAGGTCGCTACAAGCTCAGAATTCGGAGAGAAACTGACAAATGAGCCCCATCGTGGTACAGAGCGTGAGTTATTATTCCTCTGCTCTTTGTCTTTAGGCAGGAGCTCCAGACTATCCCCCGTGGAGATTGTCCATATCGCAGCGGTAAGATTGTTATAAGACGCTGCAATCTTATCTGAAGTGCGGGAAACGTCAAGTTGTACTGCGTCAAACCGAAGCGGAATACGGAATGAACATAATTCCTCGCCCGTTTCAGCGACGTAGATGTAAATGAAGTTTTGTAATGCTGATGCGATTCGCTTTGAGTCCTTGAAAAAGGTGACTGGAACGTATGGACCAATAGAGTGAAGCCGAGGCATGCGGATGTTGGTCATCAAGACACCCAGGGACAGCGACCAAACCGATATGCTCCCGCGAAGCTCACTTAATGCAACAAGCCTGGAATCAGGAGAAACAACAGCGGAATAATAACCTTCATAGGCATTCTCAAGACCTGTGTTCTGGACCGGAGGTGTCCATTCAGACTTTTGTGGTCGTTGGAAAGTGATACACTTTGGGATGCTTCTCATGGAAGTGTGTCGGATAGAGCTCGTCGTGGGAGAAAAGACTAATGCTGACCAATACAGTTGCAAAGGATACTCGAGAATGACGGAGATGTATTTGGAAATCAACATCTCCGAGTCTTCCAAAAGATTGTAGAGCTTGGATTTTGGTTGCTGCCATATTAGTTAGCAAAGTGGGCAATTTAGAAATATTGATTGATTCTTTGTGATTTGTTGCTGCGCATATACAATGACATTGTATTGATCTTATGACGGAGAAAGCCCTTAAGCTCACCTTGACGAGGGGAACTAGTGTGTCTGTCATTTGAATAGCACGATTGGTTTCTCCGAGAACACAGAGAGCCTCGACCCAATAGAGAAATCGATCTTGGAGGAATTTGTGGACTTGATCGTCATCATCGAGAAGTCGACCTGCGTATTTCAGGTGAAGAAACCAGAAGCGGCAAGCATATCGTGTGTGTGGCGGGAGCTGTTGTTCCAGGACGTCTCTCGCGATCGCAGACCGTCGATCGGCGGGCTTGAGGCTGCAAATATTGTAACGCAAAGACCTTGAAAGAGTTCCAAGACAGGCAAGCGCCATTCTCCAATGTGTTTCCTTGAAATTAACGGAGAATTCTCCGGCAACTGGACTCAGTAAAAAGTCGCGGAATGACGAATGAAAAAGTTTGACCTCCAGGCCTTCCTCCCTCGGAAGATCAAGAACAGACCTGAGAGGAACCAAGATACCACTAACTTGCGAAGGCTTGAGACCTAGCAAGCTGGCGATCGAGTTAATCGACAAAGGCTGCTCGAGGAGTATGATTGCGCCGATGACTTCTCTAAATCTTCCAAGCAGGATAATTCGCTCTGACGGAGTTCTTCCGCCTCGGAACTGTCTCAACACTGGTTGATACGTCTCATGAAGTTTGTCGCTGACGCCTCCATCCCGAGCGGTCTGGACAAGCTTCAAGAGCTGTTCCTCTGGACTGCCAAAAAGCTCGTCTCGGATGAAGCGGCATGCTATTGCCGCGAACAGAAACAAGGGTATGGCGATGCCGACAAGGGCGTTGATCTTCTCCTGTCCAGGCCAATCTAGCTGTAGTTTCTGATTATCGATGCATCTTGTGTTCCACAAATTTCTGATCTCAGTCAACTGATGTCGAAGGTACAAGGAGATATCTTTGGAGACAATCTCATTTGGTGTGTCATGTAGTCGAACTTCCCGATACAGTCCATTGTTGGGAGGACCACATGCATCGCGCACTGCCACCTCTGGCCTGCTTGTAATAAGTAGCTTCAGACCGCAGCCATCGAAACATGCAGCCTTAATCAGTAGACGCAACAAAACTTCAACGTCCTTCTCATTCGAACATTCATCCAATGCGTCGAGTACCAGGATCAAATTTCTGACCTCCCCTGGATTTGACGCTGCCTGTTTGAGTGGGTTGAAGACGAGCTTGGTGAATTGCTCCTCCATACTCTTGGAAGATATGTTATCCGTCTCTTTGATCGCCTTTACTATGTACGGGCTTAACTCAGGTCGGCGCTGGGCTAGCTGACGGGCTAGTGTGCCGAAGAGCAACGAAGCGCTGCCACGATCAACTTCTCCCCTTTTGAAAAAGAACGTGGCGCCAAGTATGTTGGCCTTGTAAAGGTCATGAGCAATTGTCCGGGCTATGATCGACTTTCCAGTTCCAGCCATTCCACTGAGCCAATAAAGTCTCTGGCCAGTAAGATCGTGAAGAGCCCAGGTTTCAATTTCGCGAAGAATATCAACTCTGGTGCTTGGATGGCATCTAGGTTCATGCTGATTTTGATAGCTGTCGAATTCAGCACCCTGAGCCGTTGGCAATTTGTCCAGAGTGTCATGATCGATTGTATCTTTTATGGCGATGACATCTTCCTTGACTGAATTGACTGACGTGCGTTGGTCAGATATTGGGAAGTTACAAGTAACGACTTGCAATGAGATTATCTGAGAGCTACTTACTAGAAGACAGTACTTTTGCTACAGATTGCTCATGCTCGAGGCTCTGACGCGGAATACAACAGACCAATGATTTGGCGAAAGAAGCGGCTGCCATGGCGGCGTAGCCCTGCCATTGCTTGTTTTTATGAGAGTCGGAGTAGTCACAGATTCCTCTTATAACTAGACAGGGGAAATGATTCATCAAACCAGCGGCTTCCATCTCGAAGCATAGCACGTTCTTTTCCTTTGCTAGTGCATCCCGTTTCTGAGCATCTTTCATGACCTGATTCGCAGAGGCTATGAGTCCGTAATGGACGACGGGAAACGAATCTGCGTCTCGTTCCGGGCGATCCACTAAGTCGTCGGCGCAATAATCAGCCACGGTCTTGTTTGTGTCATAAACGATGTCGCTGCGGAAAAGTACGTCGGAGTTGGAATTGGGACGACCAAAGTTCCTTTTCAAGATGTCGGTCTTGAGACGTTTTACGATGTGGTCTTCAAGCCGGTTGCCTTCTATCTCCATGTCAGAGATTAGAATGTTGAGGGCTGTTCTGAGAGCAATCGGCGGTTGATTCAAGAACCCAGTCATCTCGAATTTCCCGCCCTCGATGGATTTGCCAAAGTCATACTGAAGCACGCCCCCATTACCATCAGCCGGTGAGCTAACAACGATGTCGCCTAGACGAACATCGTTTCTGGGACTAGGAGCTCCGCCGCCGATGCCGACCATAAGCCCTACCCTTATGTTCACAAATGTGTGGACCATGTCTCGAGCGACCATTGCCGCCGAGGTTTCTCCGTATCCACCATGTGGAAGGACCGCGATCGCAACGTTGTGCTTGCCCATGCGCCCGAGCTTATACGAGTTGTTGTCATTTCTGGACAGCGATCGAGGCTCTTCGTGGACCTCGTCGAGGAAGAGCCGGGCTGCGACGAACTCAGGGACAATGGCGCAGATCCAGCCGATCGTGTAGATTGATGGATCGGACATAGCGACTGATGATAGGGGTTAAGAGTACATGCGTGTGATGCGACCATCTGGCCAAATGATGGCGCGCCAACGTGTTTGACGAAAGATTGAATGTTGCGACATGCGATGAATATGCCTGCCGCGCCCTCATAGGCACCAACGGCCTCTGTTACTTAAGGAAGAATGAACATGAGAAAATCAGAGTGAGGGGACTCAGCCTAGATGTGCGCGGGGAAGATGCTGACTGCATGTGCTGCTGTCAGCCCTCGGTTTAGGACCAATACTTTATGATGTGGCACGGCACATAGGCTGCGGCTGATGCAGCTTATCGAACATGATAGCTTGGCGCATGTTGGGTTGCGGCAGTTGACTTTAAGCTGTGAAGAATGTCTGTTCGCTTGGCTTATAATCTTCTACTCAGTGCACCCTTTTGAAGCTAACCCCACGAGCTTTGAATAAACTTGAGGCTCATGATTTTAAGAAATGGTAGAGCGTGAGGGTAGCTTAGGTCAAATTGTCTAGCCTGGGCCCATGCCTCACCGAGATACCAGGCCCTAGTTTTCGACACTATGTGCATCGCCTACCTTACCGTATATATCACCATAACGACCGAGACGCCATTACACAATTTTCTAGGCCGAAAACCACTGTCAACAAGGCAAGGCAATGAACAATCACCATGTATTGCCTATGAGGTTGAAGACGCGAGTCAGTTATCGAAAGACACAACGGCCGAGTTCCCTTTCGAGAGCCTCGGTCTGCGAGAGACGCGTACGCCGCCAGTAACGTAACGAGCTCGCAGTGAATGTGGATCAGGACCCGCTTAGCGCAATGGCATCATCGAATGAGAAATCTCACCTTCCCGAATCGAGTTCGCGATAAGACGACAAAATCTCTTCGATTCCCTTCCCCCCAGTCCGCCGATTGTCCATCCGAACCCCTTTCGCGATCTTCTGAGCGAGCCATGGCCCTTTGAGCATGATCTAGGTTTCAGCGCTGCATTCAACGGTTGTTCATCATTCCAATGAGGTGAAGATTTGGTTATCAATCGCGTTGCTCGTTTCCTCAGCATCGAAACCATTTGTCTCGCGTGTGTTACCTTACAGGTTCAGACGATTACCTAAGGCAATCTCACTGAGTGTCGCGAGAAAGAAAAAAGAGGAGGGCAAACGGGGCGCTTTATCAATCGCTGTTCTTTCTTATCGCTCGCGGTCAGCTTTATTTCCCTCACCTTTCTTCTCACCCCGACGCTCGGTGAAGGAAGCACAAAGGGCACGAGTTGAGGACAAAGGGGAAACATGACAAAAGCGATGAGTACCGACACCATCCCGTTCCCCGGCGCCAAGTCGCCTGGCATCACCGATGTCACCCGCCACGCCTGGATCACGTCCGACGACGTCGAGGCCGCCGAGGCCTCTCGGCGCGGCCCGTTTGAGCCTCACGACGACCACAACGGCGATTTTGTCACCACCACCGAGGACCGCGACCTGAAGCGCGGCTTGGAGCAGCGCCACTTGTCAATGTTGGGTATCGCGGGCGCCATCGGCACCGGTCTCTTCCTGGGTCTCGGCGGCGCTATCCAGACCGGCGGTCCGCTTGGCGCATTGCTTGGCTATGCGACCGTCGGCCTCATTGTCTGCGCCGTGCAGTTCGCTCTCGGAGAAGTTTCGGCACTCCTCCCCGTCACTGGTTCCTTCGTCCGCCATGCCGAGTTTCTCGTTGACCCGGCCTGGGGATTCGCTATCGGATGGAACTTGGTCTACGGCAACATCTTGTCTATCCCCTCCGAGATTACGGCCATTTGCGTACTCTTTCAGTTCTGGACCGACCTGAACCCCTCCGTCTTCATCGTCATCTTCATCATCTTGACCTTTGTTGTCGGTATCGCCTTTGTGCGCGTCTTCGGAGAGGTCGAGTTCGTCTTCGCCATGCTCAAGATCCTCCTCGTCATCTTCCTCATCATCCTCGGTCTCGTCATCGACCTCGGCGGCGTTCCCGGCACCCCCCGCATCGGGTTCAGGTACTGGCAGAGCCCCGGCCCCTTCGTGGAGCACATCGCGACCGGCGACTGGGGCAAGTTCCTGGGTTACTGGGGTGTCATGACCAGCGCCGTCTTCTCCTTTGCCGGCGTTGAGTCTCTTGCCATGGCCGCCGCCGAGACCCAGAATCCCCGCCGTGCCATCCCCCGCGCCTGCAAGCGTGTCTTCGCGCGTATCGTGCTCTTTTACATGCTCGCCGTCTTGGTCGTCGGTATGCTCGTTGCCAGCGACGACCCTCGCCTCGACGACGCCTACGGCACCGCTGCTCAGAGTCCCTTCGTCATCGCCGCCTCCGCTGCTGGTATCCCTGCCATCCCCAGCGTCGTCAACGCCGTCGTCATCACCTCTGCTTGGTCTGCGTCTAATCAGAGTCTTCTCGCCGGCACCCGTGTCCTTTTCGGTCTCGCGCTCAAGGGACAGGCCCCGAAGATCTTCCTCCGCACGACTGCCTGGGGTACTCCCTACGTTTGCGTTCTGCTGTTCACCGCTTTCATGTTCCTCAGCTTCATGAGCTTGTCAAATGGTGCATTGACCGTCTTCTGGTGGCTGGTAGATCTGACTGCGGCCGGTGTTTTGGTGTCGTGGTCGGCTATCCTTCTGAACCATATTCGTCTCAAGACAGCGATGAAGAAGCAGGGCATTGAGTTCAGCAGGTTGCCTTGGAACAACTCGTGGACCCGTAAGTTGATAAGTCTCGGATTACCTGATAAGACCTGCTAACAAAAGTGTGAAATTAGTCTATAGCTCTTACGTCGCCCTGTTCATGTGCATCGTCATTCTCTTCACGAGCGGCTTTGAGGTTTTCACCAAGGGCAACTGGAGCGCTAGTGGCTTCGTCTCGTCTTACTTGTGAGTCCACTCCCCGTGCTTAACGAGCATACCATGAGCGAGTTTGCTAACTACCTTGCAGAGATATTCCTCTGGTCACTGGCGCGTTCTTGATCTGGAAGTTCGTCAAGAAGACCAAGGGCGTCGTTCTTGAAAACATCCCGCTTCACGATGCTTTCGAGCAGGCCGATGCCTATCCCGAGGAGCCCGAGAAGCAAGAAACTGGCCCTATACGGTTTGTCAGCTGGATCTGGAATTAATGGCATACGCTTTGATGGTTGCCCATACTTAATTAGCACCCAAAGACGTACCTGCCCCGTAATAGTGTACAAATACTTCAACATTCAAGTTGTATATATAATATGTAGAAGCCGGCATTATCAGCCTGGTCTCCAACAAAGACGGTTCAACACTGAGAATTGGTTCTAGGATTTTCGAAGTGCAAAAGACGTGAGGTATTGTTAGTTTTGTGACCGTCTTAGTCCCTAGTGCGCCTCCGATTCCGCTGAACTACCCCGAGCACTTAGCTGGCAGAGGAATCCGGGGCCTGGCAATGGGGATTTTGCAACCGGCCCTTCTTCCCCAGGTATTCAGGGAACCCCCGCAACACTTTGACGTGTCTCGCGGTGATGTGCTTGAGGTGGGCCTTCAATTTTGGCCTTGTATGGTCGTAGCGCAGGGTATGAAGAGCAACTTCGGGCCTTTACATAGTGCACAGGTGCAACACCGCAACGTGGACACCCGGAACTCTAAACGAAGCTCGATGCGATGTTGGTTCAAGCCAGCTATCCGTAACTGATTGCGGTCCCCGCATTGGCACAGTAACTTCTCAAAGAGCTGTTGTAACGTGATCTCTCGAAATTGAGTTGCATTGAACGGAAGCACTTCATCGGGATTTCCAAATGGACATGCCTTATGACTGCCACCTTTTGGCGGAGACGAAGAACCAAGTCTTCGATCCGCGTTACTTACCTTAGGTAAGCTGAAGCCTCTTGGTTGACCTCGGTCCTCATATTACTTTGGACAACTTGCGAGATCACCCTTATGCTCCTTGGTCCCGACAACTCGGTTCATTCATCAATCATCATCGCATTCCCACGTGCGGTGTGGAGTCTAAGCCGGTAGTTCGCGTCGGGTCGCTTCTCGGGTCGCATGTCGGAAGCCATGGCGCGCAAACTTGGAACTATCGTCAGCCCAAAGTGGTGGGGCTAGCATAAACCAGTTCCTGGTCGAATGTCGGCAAGACCAGCTGACAGCTTCCCTGGAGCACTCTAGCAGCAGTACTGTCAGATGAACGAACACGGCAGAAGGTAGCCATGGGCGCTAACAGTTGCTACTTGGAACAAAGGCTTTTCAGTGTTCTGTTAGCGCAAAGAATTAGGTCCCACTTGATCGGATAAGAAATCCGTTCATGACATCGTTCCACGGACGACTTCCGAGGAGCGCACCCATGAATTCTTCTGGCGCAGGGCGCACCAGCGCGAGTCAAACTAGCAAGCATTCCCCCCCATCTTCCCACGCACCCACCAAAGCCCGGGCAGAGGCGGCGCCGCGAATGAGCAACTCCTAAATCCTCCATGTTTTCTCCACCGGGTACCCCGTGGGGATGCGCCATCCGACGTGGTGGTAAAGGAGGGCAGGATAAATACTCTTTGACAGCCGGAAGTGTGTTGAATGTGACTCCAGTGTGCGCGCGTGTGTCATCGATCAGATAAACCGATCATTGCAGACTGCTCCGCCGCTCGAGCTCTATCGAAAAATCCCAATCAGCAGCAGCAACGTTTCATCGCAATCATGGGTGGCTTCAAGGCTGTCGAGGATCGGCCCACGCCGAAGGAGGTGTACAACTGGAAACTCTACATCGAGGCGGCAATCATCGCCATGGGTTCTTTCCTGTAGGTTTCGATACTGTTGGTAGCTATGGCTATGACTAAAAACTGATCTTTGGTAGTTTTGGCTACGACTCGGCGTTCATCGGAACCACGATTGCCCGCAGCAGTTTCAAGAGAGACTTTGGGATCAACTCTGGCAATTCGAATAACATCTCGAGTAACATCACATCAGCATTCCAAGCTGGAGCATTGGGCGGCGCAGTCCTTTGCTTCTTCAGTACGACATCCGTGAAAAGAGTTACTTGCAGCACACTGACTTGAGCCTACTTAGTTACCGAGCGTCTGGGCAGAAAGTGGACTCTCCAGGCTAATGTTGTCATCTTCCTCGTTGGCGCGATTTTGATGACTGCTGCTACAAACCAGTTGTCATTCATCTGTAAGTCAACTCTTCGCGTACTCGGACTTGATGAGAACTCCGGCTAAGACCTGTGACACAGACGCGGGTCGCGCCCTTACTGGCATCGGCTGTGGTGGTATCACAGCTACAGTACCGTCCTACATCGGAGAATTGTCGATCCCCTCCATTCGCGGTATCCTCACCGGTCTCTTCGAAGTCGCATATCAGATTGGCAGTGTCATTGGTTTCTGGATCAACGTAAGTTGAAATACTTATGACTCGATACTTGGAAACTTTCAAGTACTTGACCTAATCATTCGGGTAGTACGGCATTACGCAAACCATCGACCCGAGCCTGCCTGTCAGCTGGAGAATCCCAATGGCATTCCAGCTCGTCCCAGCCGGCATCCTCTTCGTCGGAGTCTTCTTCATTCACGAGAGCCCCCTCTGGCTTCTGCGTAAGAACAAGACGGAACGCGCCCACAAGGTTCTCGAGGGTCTCAGGGGGCTGCCAATCGACCACAAGTGTAAGCAATCTCTTGTCGTGAATACCTTGCTATGAACCATGAGAACTAACACGAGGATACAAATAGACATGCAAGAGGAACTCGATCAATTCCAGAAGAAACTCGACGAAGAAAGAGCCGTTTCATCCCAGTACGGAACCGGACAATGGGCATACCTCCGTGGCGTCGCCAACATGCTGGCCCGCAAGGGCATGTGGAACCGCCTTGTCCTCGTCTTCTGCGCCTTCGCTCTTAACAACCTTTCCGGAGCTGCCGCTATTAACTATTACTCAGTAAGGATCATATCCTTGGACAAGTAAGCTGTCAAGACATAACTTGCTAACTCTGTCATTAGCCCACGCTTTTCGCATCGATCGGCATCACTGATGTTTCTCTCTACACCGGTATCTACGGACTGATCAAGGGTGAGCTATGGTTAGCATGATGGCTGGAGACTCTTCGCTAACTCGAATTACAGCCATTGCATCTATTATTTACTTCATCTTCCTCATCGACCTCCTCGGAAGACGTTGGCCTGCTATCGTCTCCTCATTCATCTGCTCGATGTGCCTCTTCATTGTTGGTGCATACGTGAAGATTGGTCACCCTGCCGACATCATCGCCGCCGGAAAGGAGCTATCCGCCTCTACCGCGGCTGGTGGTAAGGCAGCTACTGGCATGATCATGATTTACTCTATCTGGTAAGTTCATGAGTTACCACAAAACGTTTGAAGATTGTAATCTCTAACAATAATAGCTGGTCCTTCGGCTTGAACGGTATTCCTTGGATCGTTAGTGCCGAAATTTTCCCCGGTGCCCTCCGCAACTTCACCGGCACCTATGCTGCTCTCGTTGTCTGGTAAGTCGACAGCTCCGCCCCTCTGACAGCTCACCGCGTAAGGCATCTAACACATGTTCAGGGCTACCCAATTCGCCATCACCAAGGCCATGCCCTACATCTTCAGCTCTTTCGGCTACGGAACTTGGTTCTTCTTCGCTTCATGGATGATTATCGCCACGTTGTGGGGATACTTCTTCTTGCCCGAGACCAAGGGTCTTACCATGGACCAAATGGATGTCATCTTGTACGTCACTCTCGCATGGTCAAAATTCTGCAATGAATCAATACTAACGTTTCTGTTAATAGTGGCTATGCTCATGATGCTCGCCCTGAACCTTCTACTAAGTTTGTCGACGCCACATTCGATGACAATAAGGCGAAGTCGAGCGAGCACACGGAGGCTGTTTAGGGAGAGAAGTATCGTAGTTGCGGAGATCACACGTGCTAGTGAGTCCAATTTGATGAGATAAGGAAGTAATTTTTATAGCTAAAGAGGACAATTTGAGAATTCTCTAAAAATGTATTGCGACTGCAAAGACTGAAACTACCACAAGCTGAACCATTCCCGATCGCCATTCCCTGCTGCAGCTGCCCTGTCTGGGCCCCCTTGTGCGCTGTTGACAAAGGCCTCTCCGACTAATCTAAAGGTGTGGTCTAGATCGAACAAATTGCTGTTGTCAGCCTCGCTGGGGCCCTTCTCATCTTCTTCTCCTTCACTACGTGCCTTTTCTGCTTTGCGAAGTTCATCTTGTTCTTCGACACCATCCTTGTCAATGTTCTCTTTCCTAGCATTCTCTTTTTCGGCCTTTTTCCTCGCCAACTCTTGCTTCCGCAACTCTTCAAGTTTCAATTCCTCTTTCACGCGCGTTGAAATAGGAGCCGGCCGTAGAGCCAAAAAGACTGCATGTTCTTTCACCCAGATGATCAAGTCGCCAACTTCAACCCCTGCTGGTGCTAAACCCATTTGCCCCGTTTCGAGCACGACGAACTTTCTCCCGAGGGTGTAGTCCACATATTGATCGTATGCCGCCAGGACGCTCGTGCCGCGCTTGTCAAACATTCGCAAGGGACCTTCTGGCGGCAATGTCAAGGTTTTCTCTTGCCACCTGTAGTGCTCAAAACTAGGCAAGACATCCGTTCTCATGAGATGTGCAAACTTGCTGTTGGAGGAGGATTGAACCTTTCGTTTGATAAGATGATCCCTTGCCATGGCCTCCAAGGATTTCAATGACGGCTCGCTAGGGGTAGGGATGTGTGAACTCGGGCTATTATCCGAGTTGCTCTCTCGAAGCTTCTGGAGGAGCTTTTGGTCATTCTCCATGCGTTCTGCTAGCATGTCTGCGGCCTGCTTGAAAGTGCTGTCCTGAACCTCATCATTCGATATTGCCAGAACAGCATTGAGAAAGAGATGTTTGCGACTATCCTCCGACTGATTTGGCGGAAGATTGACACCCTTCGCGGCGCTCAAAGCGGCTTCAAAGCTTGAAATTTGGAGCTCTAAATCCGTTCTCGCATCCTTGAGATTGTTTCCTCTAGACTTCCCGAGATTGTCGTGCATCTTGGTTGCCAAAGCGACCTTGCCAATCACAGCTCCCTTGACGTGAAGTAAGTTGAACCCGCCATCAGAAACTAAAGAGTGATGTTTGTCGTCGCCATTGACAGGATCAGTCGAAGTCGGCTTTTGTCGATTCGTCGGCGGTTTGACATCATGGGGTAGAATGTACACGTTGATCTCGGCTGACCAATCTGGAACCCATGATGGCAGGTTTTCAAATGAAGAACTCCTAGAGCTGCCGATCCCTGCGTATCGCAGAAAGGCGAAGGCATCTCCGGTTCTGACAAGTTCTCGGGCAACCATGGTGTATACAACCTCAGGCGTACTCTTGTCAGTATAGTCCGGCTTGATGTGCTGTGGACTGTCTTTGGACTGTTTTGTTCGATCTAAAATGCTGTGCATACCATCCACCATTTCGCTGAAAGACCGTGTCGCCTTTGGTATGGACCTCAGTAATCTGATTGTCTTTCGGCTCTGAAGGGGATTCGTCTTTCTCAGCCCGTCGGCAAACTCAACAATTGAATCCAAAGTGTCGAACATATCCTTGGCGGCTCCTCCCCGAGAAAAGATCTCTTCTGTAAAGACTTCGCTATGACGAAAATTTGGATGAAACAACGGCGCGTTGCGTTCTTTTATGATTCCTAGCAAGGCGAACACATTATCGACCGAAAGTGTTGATTTGAACCTAGACCCAAGTTTCAAAGCATCTTTCAGGGCAAGACGATCAATCTCGTCAACCTGATAACGCATATTCTCCATGATCAGCGCATTCATAAGATGTTCGTTGGTCAAGATAGATAGGTGGTCATTGTTTTCCGTTCCCGGGGCTAAGATCCGGCTCAAGCCTTCTGCAAAATCTTGCCAGTGTATCATGATATTTCCACTTTGAAGTATGGTTTCTTTAGAAGCAGCAATTTCTTGAATGATCCAGACTCTTTCAAACCAGCTATTGGTTAAGAGAGATAGGAGTTCTTGCCATCCGTAAAAAGGTGACGACTTCAAATTGAGGAGCTCTGTCTGATCCATCTGGGGCGTAGTCACAATTTGCCGGACAAGCTCGAATGCCTTCGTTGCTACTGGAGTTTTGCCCAGCCAGCCGATAGTCGATGTGGCCTCCTCGAAAATTTCTCGCATCAGCCCGACTTGTCGACTCTTCTCTTGCGCGTCGGCCTGGTCAATGCAAATGGAGTCAATCCATAGAAGCTGAGAAAGGCGCATCCTCCGCAACTCTATAAGGAGATCATGAATGCTTGTAGAAACTAGAAATGGCGCTCCATCCACGAGAATGATTTGTGATTCGTCTCCTGTGGATGCCCAGCGGTGAGATACTGCTCGATACGGGGGAGGTGAATCCAAGGTTGCGTGGATGATATCGCATTGCACTGGTGAGTTCCGGAAGCAGGGCTGAGCCCGAAGCCGAAGAATGCGAAATTCGTTTGGTCGTCGCAATGGCTTATGCTTGAACTTCGTCATTCGCATCGCCATTCCATACCTCACGAGATATATGCCCATTCCGATGAAAACAACAACCTTTAGCGAAGTGCTGACAGGGAGCACAAAAGGCTCTGTCCTAGCCGAGGTCGGATCCATCTCGAGGGCTTTGATGAAAAAGCTCGTAATCGCAAACCAGAGGCACCCCCGGCGCTCCATTCGAAGAATTGGTGAAGCCTCTCCACCATGATGTCGTAACCAAAACTCCTGATGAGGGTACTGGTTGACGAAGAGGTGCATTGTATAAGCTGCCTGGAAGGGAACACCCTTTGAAAGCCAGAAGATCGAGCATAGCAGCCACTCGACGGCCATCACAGGCTGCAAAAATAGGCTCGGCCCAGTGAACCATAACCAGAAGGAGTAATGAAGAACTTCGGGAAGAGTAGTCACACACGTCCATACGACTACAGCCATGATTATTCCCTGCCTTCCCTCCGGAACGAATCCATTGATTGTACCCCTTGGGGCACTGAGTAGTAAACCGGGCAAGATTGGTGCGACAGCGGTGGGCCAGAAATCAGAAGATCCCAAGACTGTTTCCAAAGCTACTGATATATCGCGGAAGTCGAATAGTTTTCGAAACATAAAACGTGCACCTGAGTAGATCACGGGCCTCAAGAAGAAACCGAGATCACCCGGCAAGCTGGCGTACTTGCAACGGATCTGGCTGTCGGCGAAGAGGGCCAAGGTGTATGGATGAAAGTTGATATTCGGAAAGTACCAAGCTATGAAGGCACTTAGATAAGTCCAGGGATAAATCTGGTTGCTTAGAGTTTGTCGGTACTGAAGCAAGAGAGTCTGATATAGCCATCTTTGTTGCGATGGCAAGCCTTCGTCGACAACCAAAGTAAGGAACGCAATCTTGATCATCTCGACCGCGTCGTAGACATTCTGCTGCAGCTTTTCTAGGAACTTTTTGTCGTAGTCATCGGTGTCAAAGTCCCAATCGGGATCAACATCCTGGTCGTCCTGTTCCTCATCTTTAATGCCAGCTCTCAGCTTTCTGAAATGCTTCACAACCAGTTTCAGCTTCTCCATCGCCTTTACCTTTGGCGGTAATCTCTAAAACCGTGATCGAGAAGTTTGCGAACATCAACGAAGGGTAACAGTTGATTTTAACCTTCTGATGAAACCGATTTTCTCATATGAAGGTCGAGTTCGGGAAGCCGATCATTTGGTGAAAGATAAGATATAGGCATAATCATCATACTCAATCAACCGTCTATGACGATACGTAAAGTCTTGGGGAAGTGAATCGACGAGCATTTTTGGTCGATAGGTAGCTTCACTTGCATGTTTATATGCCATCAGGTGTTCATGGTGGTATTGTGGCTTGCCAACTCGGATGGGCAAAAGACGGCTAGACTCGTGCGGCTGATGTGCATAAGCCCAAGAGGGTACAGAAACCTGCAGATCTGGACCTAAAGCTGTTGTGAACCATGCATACGGACTGGTTAGCACTTCTTTGCCCTCCGAAAATTGACGTTGATTGGATATGCTGCCGCCAAGGCGCTCACCGCTGCAATTGTTCCAGTTTGAAATGGAAATTTACCAAAAGCCGAAACATTGCTCTTTTTAGGCATCCGAGCTGCTTGCCTGCTAATATTAAGCACATTCAGCGATTGGCTTCGCGTTATCGTTCATCAGTCTAGAGAGGCTTTACACGCAAGGATGAACTGCCATCTTGAAAATCATGTTCGATTACTTTGATACTTAGTATTTAACACCTGCCCTGCACCTGAGCTATCGCTTGATCTTAATGTTTTCTCAGCATCCAACTCCAATGCGACCAAGGATCCCTTGCGAGATCTTCCATATCTTTGACGTGTCTATGATCTTCCCACAGGGAGAGAAGACCAGCATCGATCGCGAGGCTGGCATACTTGGTCGCAAGCCATGGCTCCCCCACACCGCTGTGTTCAATTGCAGCAAGCATGTAAGCCTCACTGAGGAAACTCCAGTTGTGCTCTTGGTGATAAAGAGATATAAGAAGCTCGGCCATTTGTGGTGTGGCCTTTGACTGAGGCGAGTGGTCCTTCAGCTCCTCAAGCAATGAGTAGATTTGTACGATTCGTTTGTCTGAGGCTTCAGTCATGAGATCGGATTGCTTGCAAAAGTGACAGCTGCAAATAAAGCCCCAGTTGGAGTGCAGGCGATTTTGCCTGTCATCACGAGATTGCAAAGGCTCAACATAACTGATTGTGAGCTCTTCGCCGGGGAAGATGTCGCGAAGAGCGGTTGTTCGCTGTGTCAGTGTCCGAGGATCAAACCAGTAGTCGATATTGGGGCGGCAATCGTGATTCAAGCGAGAAGCTAGAAATGTTCTTAGTATTTGATGGCAGCAAAACAACATGAGAACCAAAGGGTCCCAAGGGAAACTTACTTTGAGCGAATAATGCATAAAACCTGTCGTCGGTACGGCTGCTATTGGTACTGATTGAGAACATATTGTTCTTGGCAATTGCAGCGACGGTAGATACCTCATCTCCATGGTATCCGTGCGTGGACAGATTCATGACCTGATTCCGATGATGGTAATTCAACAGGCCTACTGCATGAGCTCGCATGATGTCCAGCTGATTCCGGGGCATCGATTCCAGTGCTGCGTAATCAACCAGTAGACTGGCGGTCTCTTTGAGAATCACCTCACCCCGGGCTATACGTTCAGTGGCTACCAACCCGTACTCTTTGCCAGGAATAGCCGCAACCTTGATCTTCCCCAGGATCTGGTTGGTGCCTTGGAGATAGCTTGGTTTGGTAAACCCCTGACTGTTGACAATATGACTGGCGGTCTCGGCCTCGGTAATGACAGCGATGCCTTTGCCCCCGTAGTCTTCCTTGATGTAGATACAAAATTCCGGAGATTCAAGCCCTTCTCTGAAGCATCGAGAGATCCCCGTCCAGAGAGAGCTTGTTGATAGTGCCGAAGAGTTGGACAGAACTCGGTCCCGAGTGGTGGTAAGCGGTTCTACAGCATCCCTGATGGTGCAGATCGAGGAGTGTGCGAGGGACTGTGGAAAGATGCATAGTGAGTCGGCGCCTGCACTTTTGGCATTTCCCAGAACATGGGTCAATCCTGTGCCCAGAAGTAGTAGATACTTCATCGTGTATTGTTGCGAAAAAGACGTCGAAAACGTATGCACTTCAAGGGCGTGAGACCACTTCTTCATGTAGTTTTGCCCACTCACTCGCCTTCATGCCTCCTCTCGGTCCCAAACATACGATGCATGAGCTTGATAGATGGTCCAGAGTAGCATAATCATGCCGACTAACAGATTGGCAAGCCAAGAATCATACCATCTAGCTTGTTTACTATCTGACTGTCTTATTACTGGCCATTCTGACTGCTCATCTAGCGGCTGACTAAATACCCCGGCAGTCTGCAACTGGACGGTTACATGCCCCACGCGTTAACCTTTCTGTCTCACACTGCCCATTCATGTGACTCAAAGTGCATTTGTGGTGACAGGGTCGTAGGTCCATCTATTCATTCGATTACTCCGCAGCTTGATGAAAAGTCAGCCCATTCTAGTTGTTGCTGCCCACTCAGAGCTATGTTGAAGAGGACCTGTGTGCTTTTGCGTGTGGTCGCACGGTTGCCCAAGCAATATTTCTCATTACAGTAGAGTAAGGTAAGTTACGTTGCTTCAATTTACACACCAGTCATATTGCTAAGTGCAGGAGGGGGGGCGGGGGGGCTATGAGCTTTTAGTACTTCAATCCATGAAATCTCTGAGATAACCAGCTACTACCTATATCTTGCGACACAAAATGCTGCGAAACATTGTTCCTCGACTCCCTCATCTGACATCTAGCGACATGTGACGTGAGATTGATCGCGCCTTTCATCTTACCGTCCAGGCGTATATTGTAAAATCGATGTGGTGTCTAATCCTCCAGATATTGAAGTGCATTTACTTGCAATTTTGTGTGGGGTTCAGGTCACGGAATGCCATTCCGAAGGTTATATGCAAAAGCAGCCGGTGGGAGAGGCTTCATAGGATGGCACACCGTCATCACAGGTGCGAATGCACCATGAGGATGTGCCTGCTCTCCATCCGACGAAGTGTGAGCAGTGAGGTTCGTGATTAAGGCCCATAGGCGGGGATACTAAAATGAGGCCCGTCATGTTAGCTGTCTGTCGGAAATATTATAGCATGCCAATGATACCTGGGAGCGAAGCCGTGAAGTACGAACCTTGTCTCTCAGGATCCACGCGATCTCGGGCACGGATTCCACCATCAACGGGTTGTCGAGATTCCCCATAAGTTGTTCATCCAAGTCAGATCTTCCTTGTTTGACTTCCTCAGCGTAAAAGCATTCAGCACCTCTGAGCATTTCATCGATGAACCCAGATTGTTCCCATCTGTTCCATGTATTGAAATGCTCCCTGATCTCAGAGAGCAGAGTGGGAAGTCGGCGCTCGCGACTGGTACTCTGCTCGTTTGAGAGCGCAGGTGACTCACTCAGATCGGCCGTATAGTAGAGAGATAGCACAGCATCCAGGCTGCTAAAGCCCAGAAGCTTCGCACAATGTCTCAGACAACTCAGTCTCTCACAAAGAGATGTGGTGCTTGCTATAGAGCCGACCCGTCCCCGTGGTGTTCTCGGCTCGTTCTTTCCAGCGCAAAGGTCACCGTGAATACCCATGAGCTCGTGAGAGCAGTCACGATGTTGAAAAGTCTCCGTTTCCGGCGGAGAGGAGAGATAACTCAAAGCGATATCGTTGTCCCAGCTGGGTATCTCGGCTGGGGCTAGTATTCCAAGCATTTGGTCCGAGGGACACTCAAGCCTTGCAGCCAGTGGATCTCCGCGGTCGAAACATCCTGGTGCCAATCCTTTATGGATGTCATTTGGTCTTCCCCCACCGAAGAATCCGCCTGGGCTCGCGATTAGTGGTGGATTCTGCGGTGTCTGGGCTAGGAAACGCCACATGGTCTCGGTGACTTCTGGAAACTGTGACGAGGGATCTTCTGGCAGAGACATAGATTCTCTGGATGTGCTAGTTGAGCTGAGAGGAGGCGCCGTCGATGGTACTGATTGTTGTCCTGGGGTCGTGGGTATGCTGAGCGAGCCTTTGTCCCGCGGCTCATGTTCGTTGGAGGACAGTTCTTTCTTTTCTTTGACCAAACTCTCGAGGACTCGAAGACGCTGTTTAAGCTTCTCCCCTGCCTAAACTGTCAGCCTGAGCTCCTGACGAGAATCATTGTCGAGACGAACGGTGAGCACGTTGCGCGATTCGATTTTGAATCCTCTTCTTCTCTCTTGGGTCAGATACTGTGGTCCAATCATCTTTGCCTGAAGCGGAAGCAGCCTTCTCCTTGTCCATTTTCCTACACGTAGGTAGTGTATTCGGTTGGAAAGTAGATGTCTTCAGAACAGCTTCAAAACGGGTCAACGAGTAACGCGGAGGATGTTACAAGGTAGTTCTGATAGAATCTACATTGAAATCAAAGGAAAATGACATTTTAAACCTGCATTTCTTGGGCAGTATTCCTACTTGAACCAAAGTCGCAGCTCTTTATCTACAAGTTCAGCGATTTGGACCAAGTGTCGCCTGCGAGGTTTATTCCCCGGGCTTGCAATCATCTTTTGCTACCAGCTCGTGTTTCTCCAAACTCAATACTACGTGAAGGACGTCTTTGGCCTATCCACTTAGCCATGCTGTCTCACCAGTTTACTTTCAACTCCTCCAACCCTTGTCGAGGTCTCCAAAAGACCCTCTTGACTCGTGAGATCTTGCTCGAGTATGGCGTTTGGTGTACTCGGATTCGCTGCCGAAATGTGCCCCGAAATCTAAGCATGGTCTGGGGGAGGAGATATCTCAGATATCATACCACAGACCCTTGGGATTTGCCTGAGCTACAACCCACTTGGCTTCGGCTTACCTTTTTTGAAGGTAGGTTCCGTCGGCGTTTACTGGTTTATTTGCCGCTTCGTGGCGATGCAAGTGAAATGCAGTCGGAGATCCACAAAGTGGACCATGAATAAGCCAAGAGTCGGCTACGAGGATGGCTGGTTTCACGTCAAAAAACCAACTTCTAGACGCCAAAGATATGGTCCGTTAGTCGAACTAACATAAGTTGACGTGGTATAATCATTGAACCTACCTCACTGTTCATGCTGCCTGGCAGTAAGGAGGCGGTTTGGCCGATCTAAATAGCGGACTTGGTTATAGACTTTAGAGCTGCGGGACCGAAGGAATTGTTCAGCCAGGACCATTCCGATGTGGCACTTCAAATAATCAGTGATACAAAGATCACTTAGTATGAGATCCCAGGATACCATTGCGGAGTTATTGCATCGGGTCATGGATTAGTTAGTGAGCACTGAGCAATGTCCGTCCGAAGCTCCCAGCCGCCAGACATGACTCGTACGGAAGCGGCCCGCCCCGCAGACGCCGGAAACCTTAATCGAGGATCCTTGCCTGAGAAGACGGAGTAGCAGAGTTCGATATCACGAACCATGCTTGTCTTTTAGTATTTTGCCAAATAAAGCTACTCTAGCCGATAAGTCGAATCTGTCCGGCAAGTCTGAATGCATCCTCCCGTCGGTTGGCCCACCGGGCCGCCTTGTGTAAAGCGGAAGCCTCGGGATTTTCCCTGCCATCCGGCCCTGGTCTTCGGCTTCGGGTTAGTGGAAAGAAGAGTGGTTGCACAATGAGGGCTGTCACTCTCTTCTCATCTTCTAGTCGTCGGGCCGATGCCCGTCTTCTGAACAATATCTATCATTTTTGGCAACCTCGCGTAACTTTGGCTTCGGGTACTCCTTAACCGCCCCATGGCCTACTGACCGTGCGTGCGTAACCCTGCATGCAATGGGCTAGGATTTCCTTGACAATTTGTTCCTTGATAGAAAGTTCGGTTTCTTGTGAACTTTATGCAATACTAGACCGCGTTGTTGAGTAGGAATGAGAGCACAGATTACTCCGTAATAGAAGGGGCGATCACCACGCAAATAGTCCTACCTAGCTCAGACATTAAGTCTTGTGCTGTGGGCACCTGCACAAATCCACAAGTGAATTGCAGATCGTCAAGCAACGCTCACTAGCTAGCTTCTCGACAAGACACGTGTATATTGATCTAAGCCCCCATCATCACATTCACTCCCACTTTGAAAAGTTACCTATGTTGTGTCCATAACCGGTGCGAGGACGTGAAAAATCGGAAGACTTTTCAACTTTTACGAAATTCATTGTTTTGATACAACTATGGGTGCAGATGATAATTCATTCGTGGAACCAGGCATGGGCCTCAATGGACAAATACTAGAACCTCCAACTCACACCCTGATGCAACATCATGCATATGCCATCAATATTTCCCCCTAATGTTGAAGCATACTATTCCCTCTCATCTCTGTACTCATAAAGTGTGGCGATTGACTCCTCGTCGAGTCGTTGTTGTCATTACAAAGGTGGCGTGATCTTGTTGCCCAAAAATGGATCGATTTCCTCGGTGAACACATAGTTGCCGTCAGAGTCAAGAGGGTACGACTTGCCTGAGTATGACGGAGACATCAGTATGTTTTACGGCGTACAAATTGTGCATCTCTTACCAAGGAATGGATGAACAATCGTGATATTGTCGTAAATATCGAAGTGGCGATCCCGAGCCCAGTTGTTGACGAGATCCCAATTGTAGCAGCTGTGCTCGGTTCTGAAGTTCGTCAGTGGCCTTCGATTGTTGTCGACCCAGTCATATGAGCCGATTGAGATGTCTGCTTTGCACATGAGAGCCATGCGGATGTCTGACAAGGATATCAAATGCATATTAGCAAAGTAACAGAATCATCGGTGGACATTGAATGCTTAAGGAAAGTCTTACTGTCAACGCAGTGATCAATGTGGTCTTCCAGATGACGCTTCAGCTTCACATTGCCCTTGAAGTAGTAGTCCGGGTATAGAGCTTGACGAACTAGTTTCAAGCAGTGAATCTGATGATGGACGTTCAACCCGCTCCAGTAATAATCAGTCAATTGACCAGACGCATCCGAAAGTCGAACAGAAGTTCGATTGATTTTCTTGAGGTCTTCTGCTGTGAGTTTGAGATTGCTGTACAAGACAAGCTCGTCCCATGCTGCGTCTAGTTCTGGTCTCGGCTTGCCTCGATAGACGTTACCATCTGTCACTTCGTTCATCCACAAGGATCGTTCTGGCTTCAGAGCCTTTCGAGCTGGTGCTATTGTCCGAAGATTGACGATCAGCACAAAATCCAGCACGATATGCCTAAAACAGAATCTACTTACACCATACCATGGTCTGATCGTCGGCGCATATCTTCTCTTCACCCTGGAGCGAGATGATGAAAGTGAGGAAGAGGGCGGTATAGAACGTAAATATCATAAGATGAATCCAAAGATAGGGTCGGCGGAGTTGATCTAATAATGTGCCGGATCCCTTGCGAGGACGCAAAGCACGCTTTTCGGCAAGTAGGTGCTCCTCAGACCCGGCGTCGGAGCCATTCTCGTTCATGATTTGGTACTCCGGTAGGCCAGAGATACGAGACCAAGGCCATTTGAGAAGGTTCATTGTCGTAGATGCGTAACGGTTGTGAGAAAATGTTTCAAAATGGATTGAGATGTTGTTATCGTGGTAAACCACGTGCAGCCGAAACTGAAGGAGCACCAGATTGGAGGCAGTTTGGTGGTCCTATCTCAAGACTAAACCATACGATCCTACATGTATGGCTATTTCATTCGGTCGCGAAAAGAGTATGGCGTTGCAAAGTTTTGCTTTCCCAAGTCCCCATTAATCAGGCAAGGTATATACAGACCAAATCTGACATAATACCTTGCGTAACATAGATCCAAGCTTCTCATATGACTAAAGTCTGCTTGAGCATCTGGCATGCCCACTCTTTCTGAGGACAGTGGCAGCACAATACCGTCTGACAACTGAGTCATACACTGACTATCCGACCGTCTTGACAGGTTCAGCTACTCGCGACTGTATCACAACATGATGACCTAAGGTTATACCTTGGCATCTAGGAGATGTGCCTCGATGGCATCGAACGCTGTTGCTGGCGGAGCTCACCACTTTCGAGCATGAATGGGACTCTGTCAGTCGAATGACAATGCTGGTTGATGGCGATGTGACGACCAGTCAATGAATTTACAGTTTACTGGACATCGAATGCCATCTTTGAGGAAACCGTGATCTGAACACAAGTATTTAGCTTCTTCAATCCGTCCGAGATAGTTCTCATATCAACCAGCTCTCTACACAACAGCTTCCATCGACCGCAAAGAAATCAAGTACCTCACAACCAACAACCAGCCAACCACCTCCACTTTCGAAATGAAGTTCTCCAACACTCTCCTCCTTGTCGCCCCCTTGACTGCCCTCGCGGCTGAGACATTTGGTAAGTCTAATATTCCCTGACCACTTCACCATCAATTGAGACGCATAAACGTCAAAACTCCTATCTCTCTAACACTTCAGTAGGCGCCCACGGTGGTGCGGTGGCTCAAGCTGGCGCCAAGGTCCATCAGCGCGAGGAGTCCACTGCCTTCAGCCCTGCTCAGGATGACGCGAAAGCCTACAAGCGCGGCCAGGACGATGCTAAGGCGTACAAGCGTGGTCAAGACGATGCTAAGGCCTACAAGAGAGGCCAGGACGATGCGAAGGCTTACAAACGGGAGGAGTCCACTGCCTTCAGCCCTGCTCAGGACGACGCGAAGGCATACAAGCGCGGACAGGACGATGCGAAGGCTTACAAGAGAGGCCAGGACGACGCGAAGGCTTACAAGCGCGGCCAAGATGATGCTAAGGCCTACAAGCGCGGCCAAGATGATGCTAAGGCCTACAAGCGCGGACAGGATGACGCGAAGGCCTACAAGCGTGGTCAGGACGATGCTAAGGCCTACAAGAGAGGCCAGGACGACGCAAAGGCTTACAAGAGAGGCCAGGACGACGCAAAGGCTTACAAGAGAGGCCAGGACGACGCGAAGGCGTACAAGCGTGGTCAAGATGATGCTAAGGCTTACAAGCGCGGTCAAGACGATGCGAAGGCGTACAAGCGCGGCCAGGATGATGCGAAGGCCTATAAGCTTCTGTAAGCGGGGTCTTTGACCAAAACTTGAAGTGCCTCAAGTAGCCTCGAACTGGTAAGTAATGATCATCGGAACCAACGCAATTGTTATTGAGCAATGAGACTGAATCAAGATTTCAGAAGCTGGCGAATTGTATGGGTTAAATAGCAATCCATGAGAATCATACTCGGCTACACCTTGCAGCATGACCTTGTGCAACCAGCTACCTTCACCCTATTGCTATTTGAGCTTCCCCATCATTTTGCAGATAGCTTTCCATCACTTACTCGGCGGGGGTTCGTCAGTCATTTCATGTATAGATCTTTAGTCTGTCATTCATTAGGTACTAGGTCAATACATTATTTCCCCCTACTTTGATGCTCGTTCGCTTGATTTGGCCACGAGTTTATCCACACGAGACACTTTACTTGCGTCCAGAAACAATGCATAAACATGATTTGGACAAAGCAGTTCAATTATTCCTGCTCGGAAGACTCAGTAAGTCTGAATATCTTCTGACATAGCTTTTGTGCCATTATAACCAAGGTAACCTAAACGCCTATCCATGCCATTGTATACACCACTTCATAAATGCAGTCGTATCCCCATTCATAAAACTAGCACCCTAGTTGAGCTTGGCCTCCTCGACGGCCAAGGGCGCCACCAAATCCGAAATCCAGGCCTGCTTCTTCTCGTCGGTGTATTGAGGGTAGGGGCGTCTGCAGTGGCAGCTGGTCAAGGGGTATCCGTGGGACTTGGCAACCACCCACTTGGTACCGTTGATACCGCCCTTGCCGAAAGCCCACTCCATCTGGGCCAGCTTAAGCTGAGCAGCGGAGGCCTCCTCAATCTTGCCGGCGTTGTAAAGGTCAAAGATCTTGATGCAGTACTAGGCCTCCTCAATCTTGCCGGCGTTGTAAAGGTCAAAGATCTTGATGCAGTACTTGGGGAAGAGGTTGGCGACGCCGGTGATGGTGCCGTTGCTGCCGACGGACATGGCGGGCACAAGCCAGTCACTCTGGCCTGCGAGGGCGAAGAACTCGGAGGGGTCGAACTCGGCGCGAACGCGAGCGACCTTGGCGATTCCGCCGCAGGTGAGCTTAACACCGACAATGTTGGCGTGCTTGCCCAGGCGGGAGAGCATGTCAGAGTTGACGTCGAGGCCGGCGGCGACACCGGGGAAGTTGTAGATGATGATGGGGATGGGGCTGGCGTCAGCGAGCTCCTCGAAGAAGCCGACGATGGCCTCCTCGTTCATGGCGAAGTGGAAGTAGCTGGGGACAAGGACAAGAGCGTAGTCGGCGCCAGCGGCCTTGGCGAGCTTGGTCTCTTCGATAACGGCACGGGTGGACTGGCCACCGCAGCCCATGGTGATGGTAAGGTCGGGGCGACCGGCCTTGACGGCAACTTCTCTTGTGGCCTTGACGAGTCTGGTCTTCTCGTCATTGGTGAGGGTGACAGCCTCGCCGTTGGTGCCAGCCAGGACGACTGCGATACTGTCAGATTTGACCCTTTAAGGTTCTAATCAAATTATTATTTACCTCCATGGAGTCCAGACTTCACCAAGAACTCGAGGTGTTTGGTCTGCACGTCCCAATCGATCTCTTGGCTGGCATCATTGCCAAACCAGGTCAAACTAGGCACGTGAATACCGGCGGGAAAAGTCTTAGCAGCCATTATGAATGGTGTAGTGGGTGTAGGATACGCTTGACAAAATGAACACAAGTGAGTTTAGGGTATCGATTGGAGGTTTAGGAATAAGCAGAAGAAAGGCCGACAGATTCAAATGGCAACAGTCGATACAAGTATATTCTGAACTCCGTGGGTCGGAGCGCTCAACCCCGCGGTGGGCATCGAGGCGCGGGGCTCTTCAAGGTGGCATGTTTCCGACAAGCCGACCTTCCCCACGGGCATGAACCGAGCATGCAAGGCGGGTTTCTTGTGGAGTCGGAGTCTCAGGAAGCGGGCAAGGTCATGAGTCGTGAGCTGCTCACTCAGTCTTCCCCACGGGCCAGGTCATCTGATTGAAGAACTCCAATACCATGGCGAAACCGAACAAAGAACCTGAGTTCTGAGAGTAACCGATCGGAGTGGATCGGCGTCGTGGCCGTATGTGGGCCTTCCGATCGGGATCCACACTGATCGGGTACGCTAGTGTCGCCCGTCGGTTGCAGCCGACGGAACTGGTCACGCAGCTTGCCAGCTCGGAATCTTGTCTAGCTCTCACTAGGACGACGATGGCTTCCGCGGCTTGAAAGAGCAGTCCATAGATCACTGGTGACGTAGGTAGATGGGACATGTGGTAAAGCTGTTTTGATTCAGATACTATACAATGAAAGGGGTATCAAACGCTGTTACGACTTGAGCTAGGGACGAAGCGAGCGAAGACTTCCAATGCTGAGCTGTCCTCGGCAAGTGCTTCAAGTTCAAGAAGGCCGCGAAGACTCATTGCTTAGGTACAGGTGGGTGATGAAGCCTGCCAAAGTCGTCCAAGGTCAGGCAGTTCAGACAATAGCAAAACATGAGTTGAAGATTGCGTGCATGACTGATCGGATGTCAACCCGGACCTTCTCAGCATCCTGCCTAGCCTGCACCTCTTCTAGAACTTGGGCAGTGATCTTCGCATTGCCGGCAACGCTCTCCATGCGCAGGATCTGGGTCTTTATCCATATCCTCTCCTGGGGGTCCTGCTCTTCCGACCCCAGCATCAGTAAAGGCCAAAGCATGTTGACCGGCAACGAGTTATCTGCATCCAGTGAATCAACCAGTAGTCGGGCTAGGCGTCGGATCTGATTGAGAGCGTCGTTGGCTTCTTTAGTAAGCGGAAAGGTTTTGTATGCCACCCTATGTAGGTGGACTTTACTTGCGTGATAGTTGGCAAGATAGGTTCGGAAGGCACGTGTGATAACGAACGCTAGGTGCGGTGAAACGTGAGGCTCCGTCAACTTCCCCGCCACGGCATAGTCCATGAGCGGGGGCCGCTGCTCGTATAAGGTCCGCAGATCCGCTGCGATGGCGGCCCCGATGTTCATGACCTCCGTCTCGTCCTCGACGGTGCCACGTGACCTATGCCAAGGGTCGATCTTCGATATTCGACCCATGAAGCTCTGAACCTTTTGGAAGAAGACAATACCGGGGTGGTAAAGAACTTGGAATAGGACATCCTCAATGTCACCATCTCCAAAGTCCTCCCTGGTTGAGTCTGCGCCTCCTCCATCGAAACTAGCTGGTGACGCTTCGACTAAGAGCAGCTCGTCATCTTTGGAAAGGAGCAAGCCCTGTCCACCAGCGGAAACGGCACGGGCATCGAGTAAGCGCATCCACTGCAGGAATTGCTTCTCGATAGGAGCAAAACTGCTCTTCTCGCCTTGCTGGAACAGCCCGTAGGCCCGCTTAAGGAACGAGTCTGCAGCCTTGATCTGACCTCGGAGGATGTCGACATAACTGAGGAAGAAGAGCGTCGCGAGGAGGTGCTCCCTGCGTGAGCTCGGATTGTCGGTCGCGGGCGACGACTCATCGCCACAGGTAGCCACTTCCGACACGGCTTTTTGATAATGATCCTCCGGACTGGCTAGCCAGGAGCCTTCGCGACGTGATAGCATCAGGTTTGAGAAGGCGAGTACCGACCACTTGACCATTTGCGACGCACCTGCCATGTCGACGACAACCTGTCGAACGGCCAGCCACTTCTTCTGCGTCTCGACTTCGGCAAGGATAGGAGGGACGACTACGCGGCTGAAGTAGTCCATGAGTCTGTCATCCTCAGTCGGTACATGTAATGCCATGGCCTGCTCTGACTGACTACTAGCATCAGGGATTGGTGATGGGTCTGGCAGCTCATCCATAGCAGTCCGATCTGGAAAGGTGAGATTCGGCGGGCTACTCATGAGCGGCGGTTGCCGGCTTCCAAGAGGCTGGCCCGAGAACTGGTTCCTCTTTGACAAATAGTTAGAAATACGAGTTCATGGGATGTAATTGGGATCGGGTTTGATGATGTCTTACGAGAACTTGCCCATCAAGGCTCATCTGCTGACCAGGTTCTGGGTTGACCTGCTGCCAGGCATCGCCAGCATCCCACAAGAAGTTGGCATAGTCGAATATCTCATCGACGGCCTGCATGGGCTGGAACACCGACGCCGCCGGCGAAACGGAGGCATCGGTAGCATGAGACGGGATAGCCGGACTACGGCCAGACCCGGAGGACCCTGCGGCTGCTAACATTGCGTGGGCGGCGAAGCTGCTCGACTGCGGCCGCCACTTGCACTCTAGATTCAGGCGCTCGCAATGACTGCACCGAGGTCGACTCTCATCACATTTGACTTTGCGGCGTCTGTGGGTCGAACGTCAGCAAGATGTTCATCCATCGGCACGGAGTACTGCCGGTGATTTCGGGTCTTTGGCTGGACCTCCTCGACAGTACCGCGTCGGGTGATTGTCCGACGACCGTCCATGGGCTGCCGGACCGGAGTCTCGAGGTACCAAGTGTGGAAGAAACTTACTTGCAAGTCAAACAACCTTCCCTGGACCTAACTGATCTCCTCGCTGGTCGGGAGTAACTTGGCAGAGCCGAAGTCCCACTATTCTCCTGCATGCTGGCGGTTGCGATCGCGTGCGGGCTCTTTGGCAATGGCGGACATCCTCTCCTTTTGGCCCCCTTCGAGTTTTTTTCCCCTGCTGCCGCTGACTGCTACTCGCACTGCCTTGTCTGCCTGCCTGTAATGGTTTGGTGTGGCCGCTGCTGCGCTGGGTTGGAGTCTGTGGATGAGCGCGCAACGTTTTGTCCAAAGCTGGGGGAATGGAGCGCGGGGATATTTTCCCCCCTTTCAACTCCACGATGTGGGGGGGTTGCGGAGGGGGTCAGATTCCTGCCCCTGAAAATTTTCTGCGCCGTTGCCGGACTGACTCGTACGCCTAAATGTTCTACACTGCGCGGTGGTCTTTGGAGTCAGTTCTTCGACCGATGTTAGTAATGGCAACTTGAACAACTGTGGAGATTCTAGCGCGCTTTTCGGAGCCCAAGCATGAGTGTTAGTACCGGGTGTTTGAGGATTGACTGCACCGCCACAAGCCACAGTTGGAATGCGTGACGAATTTGTGATCCCTTGAGTCTACTCTTATGCCATCAACAGAGGACGAACTGTATAGTCGACTCGGAGCTTCAGTGATGACACGCGTTTTGAATGAGTCCATCCTCATCTTGGGGTAAACGCCCTAACTGATGTTATCAAGGCAGACGTCGAACTTGAAAAAGAGTTGAACTCTCATGCTCAGGGACCAAATTGTAGCACATGCACCACGTTGACAATTAACAAGGTACACTGCAGACCAAAGTAACGGCGAGACTACCAGTGCCTCACACAACGATTATCTTTCGCTAAAGTATCCGAAGATGCTCAAAGTCTAGTTTTCGAGCTTTTATCCCCTCGCGGAAGTTGGCCGAAAGTGTGTGACAGCCAGAATGTGGCTGACTGCGTAACGCCATGCGCCACCGCCAAAATGCGTCAGCCACATTGAATCCAACGCAACTCAACTCATCCGGAGAGTTAATGATAGAATGATTCTTGTCCTATTTTAAAGACTTGGACGTCTAACATTAGCGCCAATCTCGTTTCAATCTCTTCGTTCCATGGTACCCACACAGAAGTCCATTTTTGGAATCCGAGAAATGTGTGAAGATGATCCTTTCATGTTCAGTCCATGAACTCTCTCAGGAGTCGGTAGGTTCAAAGCGGACTCAACTAACGACTTGTAGCCACCCTGATGAGTACATTTTCATCTACTCAAACGCCAGACCTTCTCCAAAACTGCGTGTGTAAGTAACATAGTCAAAAATTGAATTCGGGGTCATTTATGTAAGTCTCAAATCATATCATCGTCATTTGCAAAATTCCTCGGGAGATCAAGTCCTCTATTGTCATGCGACGCCGGTTTGAGAGATCATGATACATAAAAGAACTCATATTGAGTGTGTGTTCTCTTGGCTTGATAGAGAGGCTCGATGGGGGCTATTCAACCGACGGGGAAGCACCCGCGTGACCGGTGAGGATTCCGCGCCAAGTCGTGCAGTCCTCCATCACTAGCTTCCCAGACCCCAGGCCGGGGGTGGCTGAGCACAGCTAAAAATGTGGTATTGTATGATATCCAGCAGTCTGGAAGGTATAACCGATGTTCAAAGGTAGACGATGCCACGAATCAAGTCGAGCGGTGTTGAAATGATTCGGCGCCAGCGACTGAAATTTTGGAGATTCCCTCAATGCGGGGAGTCTCTCTGCATGCGCCGTAACATCACATGAGTCCTGCTGGCTATTGATTCATGGGTAGATAGACATGGAAGCTGTGAGTATTGGGAGCCTGAGAAGCATCTCGCCGCAGAACCAGCCCTGCATGCCAACTAGATCTGGGGCGACGCGGCGCACACAAGATAGACAGTAGCCAAGCCAGAACCAAGAAGCCATCATCAGTTTTGGGCTGTTCCGCCGAGGTCATTGGAGGTTATGAGTGGTTCCTGATGGAGCCGCTTCGTGACAGCGCAGCGGCTCGTGTGGTCTCGGAACTCAAACTTGACTACCGATGAGGAGGTTGGGGGCAGATCCAGACCCGCGCCGGGTACAGATGAACTGCCAGACGGGGGGATCACCCCGGTTCCGTCATGGCTTGTCACCCACACCTTGACCCAACTCCAGAGAAGAAATGCCATTTTGCACCTTCCGGTTCTTTGGGACCTGATGTTGCTCTCGGTAATCAAACGTCGGCTTTCAGCTCGTTATATCAACTTGGATGCACATTCGACTTACTGCGTCCGGTTCTCCCCGTTTGTTTTCGTCTCGGCATTCCTTCTGAACTAGCGTATTGCTTAGCTGGGCTTTTCATTTTTCTTCCTTCCATATTGAACCTTATCTCGTATGAAACTTTTCGGGAAGTCAGATCCCCTTTTTGAGCTGGAATTAGACACGTAAAAGTGGCTGAATATTTGGTTCGCTACTTCTGAAAGAGGGAAATTCGTAGAAAAGGTTATCAGACTCTGTGGCATTCAAACTTGGTTGTCAAGAATCAGTGTCTAAATATGACAGAAGCGCGGTTTGTTAGAATCAGGGCCACCGAGCAGTATCAAAATCCGTCCTGCCTCTTTTTGATGTCTTCGTCGGATCAGGATCTTCGATGGTGTTACCCCTCATCCTCGCGTGGTTCATGCATACAGTCAGTGGGCTGTGTAAGTGAATGTAACGGAGGAAACAACCTTGGCACACTTGCATTTGGTAGTGATGAATGGCGACAACAGTCCTGAGTTTTGATTGAGAGATATCAAAGTCAGCGCAGACAAGTAAGCCAAATGACATGAACAGACATGTTCGTTTTGTGCATCCCCTTACCCCCTCTTTGGAGCCATTCTTGGCTACTCCACACATCTGCTGACGCCAAGTGTTTGCTGCCCAGTCTGTCCAATTGTGCAGGGGCAAGATGTGATCACATTCATCACTGCTGGATGGTTGGTTGGACCGTGAGGATGAAGTTCTTTTATTGCCCCCTCCACAAACCCGACCCTTTGTTACGGGTCCCAGGCAAGTTTTGACGACTGCCACCCAGTTTTTTCCCATGGGGGTGTCGCGGGGTAAACACCGCCAATCCTCGACTGTTCCACGAAGCTGTTCCAAACACGGGCTTTCCATTCGATGGAAGGCAGTTCAAGCTTATTGTAGGGTGGAACGTCATGGCGGACTAGATAAAGCTTGCCTCCCCGCTTTGTCTCCACGATGGAATGGTCTGCCGGGTCCTATCTCTACCTCGCACAATTCCCAGGTTGTTCATCTATCTCTCCGCAGAGTTGTGATACGGTCTCTCCATCATTGCCTTACTCTTCCCATCAGCCTTTTAAATCTGAAAGCCCAATATGGGCTTCTTCAGTACCCATGCGTCCGGAACGCTTGATCCTCCGGAGGTGCGAAACTGGCGCATTCACTTGATCGCCCTCGTCGCGAGCATGTCAGCTTTGGCTAGTACGTGATTCTCTTGCATTTGCGGATCAACTTTGTCTCTACCTAGATGAAGGGGCACTTGGCATACACCACGTCTTCGAGAGCTTAGTGTGACATTTCTGGGTGCACCGCACCATGTCAATCCGTGTCAGTTAGCGAGCAGGGAGGTCTCTGGTTGAACTCAGAACGTTAGCATGACCTCCTTACAGATCACTTGCTAACTCACTATTTCAGTGGGCTATGACACTGCAGTTATTGGAGGAACAATGGCACTGGACTCGTTCCGGCGTGATTTTCACCTGGACGAAGTTAGCTCGACAACCCGCGATACCATCCAGGGCAACATCGTCTCAACATTTCAGGTATGCTTGTTGACAAGAACTAGGCATGGACTATTTCGTGACTAAATGGGTGTTCTAGGCCGGTTGCTTCTTTGGCGCCCTATTCACGTTCCCCATCGCCGAGAAATTCGGTCGCAGGAAGACAGTCATGCTCGCCGGAACCGTATTTCTCATCGGTGGCACTCTTATGACTGCAGCCAGCGGAAACCTGAACTTGATCTACGCAGGCCGTGCCATTGCTGGTTTGGGAATCGGGGCATCATCGTTGACTGTCCCCGTTTACATCGCCGAGACGGCCCCGCCTTCGATCCGTGGTCGACTAGTCGGCATCTTCGAAATCGCCTCCCAAGGAGGTGGTATGCTGGGCTTCTGGATCAACGTAAGTACATCCATCGTGATATCCTCAAATTCATGAGTCAAATATCTGACGTGAAGATTCTAGTACGCTACTGACAGGACGATTGATGTCGGGTCAAGGGCCCAGTGGATCGTACCCCTCGCAATTCAGCTATTGCCAGGCTTGGGACTCGCGCTAGGCATGATCTGGTGCCCAGAGTCTCCCCGTTGGCTCGCACGTGGAGACCATTTTGACTCTGCAGAGCCAGGCTTGGGACTCGCGCTAGGCATGATCTGGTGCCCAGAGTCTCCCCGTTGGCTCGCACGTGGAGACCATTTTGACTCTGCAGAAAGAATCTTGACCCAGATCCGTGGTCTACCTGCAGATCACGAGTACATTCGCCGTGAGATGAATGATATTCGCACTCAGGTCGAGCAGCGTACGTCTCAACGCATGACGAAGAAGCAAATGTTCCAAAAGCTTTTCCAAAAAGGTATTCGAAATCGCATGGGCCTGGGCATGGCGCTCATGTTCCTTCAGAGTTTCACGGGGGTCAACATAATTACATATTATAGCCCGAGAATTTTCGAAACTCTTGGAATCACTGGAACATCTACAAAGCTCTTTTCTACTGGCTTTTATGGCATCTCCAAGACATTCGGAATGTTCCTCTTCACCTTCTGGGTTGCTGAGAGAGTCGGTCGACGAAAGGGACTATTGTGGGGATCTGCACTTGGATGCATTCCAATGTGGTATATTGGAGGATATGTCATGGTACAATTCTTTCCGAGCTGTTTCTTCTCAAGCAAAAGAGCCGAAGCAAGATGTACCACCTTACATTTATACTAACACTCTGTGCAGAAAGCAGACCCTGCCACAGCTGCCGCGGCAGGCCAAGTCACCCAGGACGGCTGGGGCTATCTTGCCATGGCTTGTGTTTACATCAACGGAGTAAGTTGCTTTCTTATCGATATACTTATACCGACTTTTGAGCACTAACACTGAGATTATGACATAGATAATCATCTGCGCAACGTGGCAAGGAATCACTTGGCTGTACGCTTCTGAAGTGCAGACACTGGAAATCAGAATGCTGGCCGTCTCTATCACAACCGCCACAACCTGGCTAGGAAGCTTCATCATTGCCCGCTCCACCCCCTACATGATCTCCGACCTAGGATACGGCGCATACTTCTTCTTCAGCAGTGTCTTGATGCTCATGGGCATTTGGGCATTCTTCTTCGTGCCAGAGACCAAGGGTATGTTTACTTATCCGCTACATGGAAACCTGTGCATTTGCTAATCGAGATATGACTAGGCCTGACCCTTGAGGACATGGACGCTCTGTTCATGCAACCTACCCATAAGACAGTGTGGGCTCAAATGAGAGGTAGGGCAGTGGTGGCCCCTGGTCGTGCCAGATCTCCCTCCATTACCGATGAGAAATACGAGGCAAATATCGAGGCTGCTCAGATTGAAGAGCGTACCAGGTCATGAAACTAGCGACTGCCTTTCTCCGGCCCGACAGTCGGGGATGAGGCTCTCAGTACGTTTCTGTCACCTCTATTCATCTCGAAAACTTTAAGTAGTCCGTGGAGCGCCACAAGTCCTGGAAAGGTGATGTTGGGGCCAATGTGGGAAGGTCTGTGGATACAAGACCTGCTCACCATCTTTGGAGTCCGAGGCACACATTTCATCGCGGAAACAAAGACTATTATGCGCCGTGTGCGGCCTTGAGTTCTTATTGCTTGGTGATTCGCTTCTTCCTCACCTAGAAGTGAGACTGGTCTCTTTCTCAACATGGTAGACCACTGTTATAATTGCTCCAACAGCAAGTTCTTATGATATCAGTAAATAATTTGTGATATCTGTTTCCTGGATGACAAAAGCCATCTACGCCATCACCCAATCCATAAGCATACTATCCTAATGAGAGCCGAATGATAAACCCCAATGAGTGTTGGGCTCTTCATGAAGACCTGTGACTACGTATTTGACTCGAGCGTAGGCCAAGGTTGAGTTATTCGTGTATAGACTATATCATCTAACTTCAAGTGTTGCTTGAATCGTAACCTCAACATCGCCATCTAGGTCATCCTTGCTCAGTAACGTCTCGGGTATACGCTGGCAGCATCGTCGTCGGGAAGCTTGGAAAAGATCTTTTACGACAGTCGACAATGGAACATCTCATCCAGATCCCACAACGAGTTGTTCGCGACCAAGATGAAGGGAGCTTTGTGGCTTGCCGATAATCCGTCAATCTGGGCCGGACCGAAGTTTCGTAGCTGCGGGGCAATAAGGGTGACCACACAATGAAATTCGGCAGGAGAAATCTGGATAAAAGGCTGTGCATGAGTAAGTAGTGACAGAAATTCTACTTAGAAATCTGAATGGTCTCCCGAGAGATCACCTGTGATGTATTCAAATATTCTCCATCGAGCGATAGGTGCACTGGTGTTTGAGATATGTGTACGTACTCATATCAGGGGTAATAGCGAATCACACGATGGCCCATTTCTGTTTTCGCCCTACCTTATGTTCAAAGTAGAAAACCAACCAAAAAGCACCTGAGAACAACTGAAGAACATGTATATTGACGCCATCCAACACTCGTTGCTATCAGCATGGTCGACACCTTTTTTCTGGTACGTCTTGTTAAAGGGACCACTTTACTCCCATTGCGTGTTCTGAGGATGATGCTTAGCGGTGGAAAGTTTATCCTGGCGAGTGTATCGGCCCGCGTAATTACGAGCCGGGCCGGTGGGCGAGCACCAAAATCGTGCTGGAGCCGCGTCGTGCCCAAGTTCAATCTCGGAGATAGTGATTTCGATGGTCGGAGCGCTTCGGCAGGGACAAGCTTAAACATCAAGGTTCGAACGCCAAAGGGCAGAGTTCCAATTGGCCCAGTGACTTTCATCACGTCAGGTATCAACATACGACGTACAGCTATCGACATCCAAAGGACGTCCAATACTCATCTCCTTCATCGATGGCTGTCTGTGGCTATGTATCCATAGACCATCCGGCTACCATTTATCTTTGAGCACATTCTCGCATTCGATGCATGTTCCCACAAGTTCGATTGGCACAGTATGCAATTTGCCTGTTTCACCTTCACTGCCCGCTCCAGGGTATCGATTCAGGGTCCAAGTGTACCCACCCACGCTGTCAACGCAAGCTTTCATTCCCCCCCCGGCTGCTTGCTAGCGTCTAGTGACGTTCTAGAACTGGGTTTAGCAGGGGTTCGAGCAAGGCAATTTGTGATTGCGCCTGCAGGAAAAGGAGAGTAAAGTTGGCATGCAGCCCGTTGGCTGAAGAGGCTGAAGAAAATGGGAAATCAGATGGGAAATTTTGCCGATCTTGGCTCCCATTGTTGGTTCAACCATTGGGAATCATCATCTCTGGAAGCTCCTTGCTTGCGCTTTGGTGGTATTACGCGACACTTGAAGTGAGAAATGCGCGACACTGGTGAAAAGTCCCGCACTAACAGGACTCACTGAGCTGAGAATGTCTGACCGCCTTTTGTTGTCTACTGAATGGAATACCTATTGGAAATATCCGTCAATAGAGACTATACATCAAGGGGACTTTGATTGGGAACTAGACTTTCGTATGCTATGCAGCCACGGTCTCTCGAGTCTCTGTCAAGGTGTCGCAAATGGCTGTTTTCAGAGAGCACTGGCACACTGACACATGCTTTTTTGTCTTTGGGGTCGCAGACGGCAAGGAACAAAACCCCCCAATTGACGGAGGCTCTACCGAAACCCGGTCCAATGAGAAGCTCCAAAGGACAGAGCTCGTAGCTCTCTTCGGAAAGTCTCCAGTGGAAAGGGGAATGAGGAGACGTGAGGAGACAATAACAAGAACAAGCGCAATGGAAGGGGGACTGAAAGAGGTGGATGACATGAACCATGGGGCCCCCAACGTATTGGCAACAGGATTGAAGAAATATACGGCGCTCGCATGATGTTGCCGCCGCTTACGCAGCTCCCAGCACTATTTCACAACGAGATGGGCTGTTTTTTTCATTGCGGTTAGTCAGTGACCTCTGGAGACGCTGCCGGTTTCCCAGCGCAAGCGAAACAGAAACGCGACATGGGTTGAAGAGATTGGGTACCCGTAATAAAGCACTGGTCACCTCCTTTAACGGCATCGTGTCTTCCCACTTTTTTCATTTTTTGGATTCCCCTTCCCCGTTTTGAAGCCCCTAAAAAAAAAAACCCTTTCCTCCAGCTTCAAATGGGTTGAGTAGACGGGGGGAAATTCCATTGCTTGACCGACCGCCTCTCCTCCTTCTCTTTTCCGTTTCCGCTTCTCTCGATTGCATTTACTCCTTCTCATCGCGCGTGCGGGGTCTTGGCATTGAGGTTTTTTGAGATTTGGGATTCGAGACTTTTTTCCTTCCAGAACCCACATGCAATGAGTAATCTCATCGTCGCCCCAGACCTTACGGTTCACGATACTATCGTTCTGCAGAACCTTATCGACGACATCGAACGCTACAACGATAAGCATCTCGCTCCCACAGACGGCGACGAGGGGTATGCCAGTCAGGAATCCTTGGGTGAGAAGTCAAAGGATGATGAAAGTGAGCGAGCCTTTTCTTTCCCTTTTCTGCCAGCCCAGATCTCACTAAATTCTCACTTTCACTTTCACTCTCATCCTCATTCTCACTCACCTGCATGTTCTCACTTACTTTTCGAACATCCCAATTGACCCGGAATCTTAGCCTGCCGCGGAGTTTCAAACCAGAGAGACGCCAAGGACATCCGCAAGCTGAAAGGTCTCAACGACGCAACAAGTCAAGACTTTGAGCCATCCGTCTTCTCATCATTCGACCTGCGCGATCTCCCCCACAAGCTCCCAGCCGTCATCTATCAAAATGTCGTCGTCCCCTACGTCGCCTGGGGGCGCAAAATCGTCCGTCACGAGACCGACGTCATCATGCTCACACACCTAATCCTCTACTTCACCCTCTCAGTACCGAGCGCCATCATGCTCTTCCGCAACTTCAACTACATCCACGGCGTCGCCCACATGCTCATGCAGTTCTGGTTCACCGGCACCTACACCCTCATGATGCACCAGCACATCCACATGAACGGCATCCTCTCAAAGAACTGGGCCGTCCTGCGCTTCTTCGACGCCGCGTTCCCCTACATCACCGATCCCCTCATGGGCCACACTTGGAACACGTACTTTTACCACCATGTAAAGCACCACCACGTCGAGGGTAACGGGCCCCACGACCTGTCGTCAACCATCCGCTACCAGCGTGACAATATCTTCCACTTCCTGCACTACGTCGGACGTTTCATCTTCCTGGTCTGGTTCGACCTGCCGCGGTACTTCTTCCGCAAGGGCCAGACGAAGAACGGCCTCAAGACGGGATTCTGGGAGCTCGGCAACTACGCCTTCCTCTACACCCTGTACTGCCTCCACAGCAAGGCGACGACCTTCGTCTTCCTCGGGCCTCTCGCGCTCATGAGGTTGGGTTTGATGGTCGGCAACTGGGGCCAACACGCCTTTGTCGACGCCGACGAGCCGGATTCGGACTTCCGCTCCAGCATCACCCTGATTGATGTGCCGGTAAGCATTCGCCAAGGAGGGCCTCCCCTCCACACACCCCACATTGCCAAGGATGAAGATCGTTCTGAACGCTGACCACCTCAACAGAGCAACCGATACTGCTACAACGACGGCTACCACACGTCGCACCACCTCAACCCCCGCCGTCACTGGCGCGACCACCCAACATCCTTTTTGCAGCAGAAGAAGACGTATATTCGCGAAAAGGCGCTCGTGTTCCACAACATCGACTACCTCATGGTGACGGTTAAGCTGCTTCAGAAGGACTACCTGCACCTGGCAAAGTGCCTGGTGCCGGTCGGTGAGCAGATTGGCATGACGATTGAGGAGCGTGCGACGATGCTGCAGCGGCATACGAGAAAGTTTGAGGAGGATGAGATTCGCGAAAAGTTCCGGGACTATTCCAAGACGAAATAAGAGGTCTGTCCCTTGATTTTCCAGGACACCGGCATTTTCGACACCTAGGAGCCAACTTGAGATATCGAGGGCCTCTAGAGGAGGAGCGTAATTCTTCTCGGCATGGCCCTTACATGAGCATGTCAGCATTACTTCCATTTCATTGCATACATGGCGCAAGCGACTTCTGAATAAAGCAAGAGAAAAAACTGGGATCATTAGACGATAGACAAAAACAGGCCTGGAGGGGCTGAGAATAGATTTGAGAGACTCCTCGGCTCTGCTGAGGCTTTTGAGCCATCCATGAATACGCCATACCTCGATGTATAGTGACGTCGCCGGGATCGTTTCGACGATACCCAGTCTGTGCGGGCTATCAAGGTTCAGCCAGCTCCTCGATCGGAGCTAATGATTGATGGCACAATGTATTAGACAAGAAAATATCTTCTCAGGGTCCTCAGAGTAAGACAGGGGCAACTATCCCCAGCGGCAGAAGAAATGTTGTTAATTTCCCTCGAGACAGCTGTCTCGGGCGAGGCTCAACGGTCAATCTTTAACGATGCGGGTGGTCCCGTGCGCGTTCCCTCTGGACCTGGCTGAAAGTGGTGGCATGTGGGAATGAGATGAGGTAGGATAAGGTAAGGTGGTGGTATTTGACATTATTGTCGTAAGACGTGGGGGTATTACATGGTATCTCGTGTGGTATATTAACAGCATTTCCTGGCCCTTTTCATCAACGTCAGCATGAACCTATCATGAGGCACGTCCATACGAGTGAGCCAGCCATCAACAACGTCAACATGCCCCTGCTCGGGGCACCATTCTGTGTCGGCGATGGCGCCGCCAGGCTGGTACTATCCCCGGGACTCGACACCTTCTCGCCCGTCGATGCGACGACAACCTCCCCTGTGGGATACTGCACGTTATACACCGGCGCATCTTTCAGCTCCACCGGCATGCCGAGCGAGTGCTTGCACGTAGGCTGGTTCGCCGCAGGCCAATCCAACTCGCACTCCTCGTCGTATCCCCATGCGCAGACCGAATCCAGTGTATTGTACAGCCCAAAGTTCTTCGCCACCCAGCTGTCCGGCTGGTCGAGGCAGCTGGCGAGGAAGTTCATGCTGTTGGACGCGCTGAGCGGCAGCTTCTTGTTCTTGGTCTTGAGGAGCTCCTTGCAGTCGTCCGCCGGCAGCTCCTTGTATGTCATGGCCAGCGGTCCGCCCGCGACGGGCGCCTTCTTCGCGGAATTACCCGTGTACAGGTAGTTCCAGGCATCGTAGCTGACGTCGTAGGCGCCCTGGGATTGGTCAATTCGGAGGAGTTTCACGGTGCGCTTGCCGTCGGAGGAGCCGTCGTCGTAGGTGAGGGAGATGCAAAGGTTGGTGCAGTCTACGGATCCGGGCCAGTAGGCGACGCGGTCGGTATTGATCTTGCAGCCGAGGACGCCAACTGAGGAGGAGTAGCTATCGTGGGGCGTTGCCCAGACGGTGCCGTCGGCGGCGACATGGTTCGGCGAAGATGCGATCAGCAGAAGGAATAGTTGCGACAGCGATGAAAGAGCGGTGCTGCGCATTGTTAGAGAGAGTGGATAGGGAGGGGTCCCAACGGGATGCCCCCCTCTGAACTAATGAGTGACTTTGGTATGTAGTAAGGGAGCGATAATGATTGTGGCCAGCCGCAAATGCGGCCGATATGCGACTCAAAGGAGTGAGGTCATCGATGATCTGCAGCTTGCGCCGATGGTGTTGTGGTGTGGTGTGGGTTGCAAAGAAAAGAGAGAAGATGGGGGATTCGGATCGCGAACGTTGGGCGCGCGCACCCCCAAGACTCAAGTGCATCCCGTCCGATCCTTCCCCCGGGATTCCAGGCACAAGATGCCCATCTCATCTCGCTTAATTGGCGCTTGCGATTCGCCAAAGCACCCGATCAGACCCGCCACGTGCCCGTGATCAGCTTAAAAAATAGAAGATGAAACCTTAAATAGGGGTCCAAGGGACGAATTTCCGCTGGCGGTGTGGTTATGTCAGCATCTGCCAGTTGTCTTCCATCCCTTCGTCCACCTTTTCAATAAGTCAAGATCTCTCATTATGTCAAGGAAATGTTAAAATGGGATGACTTGATCGAGCCTCAGACTACCTCAATTCTCAAGGGCCTTGGATTATGTTGCACTTACTTACCTTGTAAACAATCCACTCGTAACTCGGACGCATCAAGCTTTGAGGACGGCACCCTCATCCCGGAATGATTACAATCCCGGGAACAAGATACGCGTGCGTTCCGCGGATAATCTATCAGTTGCTGGATTAACTCACTGGCAAATATGTTAGAGTTTCTTAGAACCTTACGTTACCAGCGCCATGTTATCGCATTCGCGTTAGAAAGTTCTCTATGACCCCAAGCCCGATCGCAGGTATCGTATCTACTGCGTAGAGAAGCCTATCATGTCACATGTGGTGCGAAGCGACACAGCTTCGCATATGAAACCACGTTTGTCATCCAGGTAGTGACTGCAGTCTTTGCAACTTGATCAGGTACTCAACGTATAAGGCACGCACAGAGAGTGGCCTTCGCTCTTTCTTGCCTACTAGTTAGTGCTTAAGGTAACTTGAGGTGAACTGGAAGCTTTCCGGTCTCTCCGTCGACGGAATTTATGATTATGGACAACTCCGGCTTGGCCGTACAACCAAAACCAGTTGTATATGTGCCAATATTGAGACCGACGTTTTGAATGTTTCAAGTGGTCCCGAATTAATTAACGACAGCATCCCACATAGGGGCCGCCAAGTGACTGGAGCACCTGCAGGGTAACTGACTCAACATCTCTAACAATCTATCAAAGAGAGTTCTTCTCGAATCTTGATAACGGAATGCGGATCTCTTAGTATACTGCTTATTTATAGCCCTAAAAGAATTCAACGAATACCTATAAATGGGGAAGCTTCAACCCTTCTCGATCGCCCCCAACACCCATACACTCACGCCATCCATCGACTGATCTCGACTTTCCTTCACCGCGTTCCTTCACACACGGCAAAATGCGTTTCTTCGTTCTCATCGCGCTCGCTACCACTGCCCTTGCAGTCGCTCTGCCCGAGCCCCAGAAGTGCAACCCGAGCATCAACTGCTGCACTTACACCGAGACAGCATGCAACAACCGTGGCGACGCCTGCACAGCGACCTGCAACGTACGTCCATCGCAGGAAGACAAATCCCCTGTTCTCAGAAACCTCTGACTAACCTCTGTGCACTCTACAGGGTCAAAAGCGCAGTGGTTCCTGCAATGACTTGGGCAGTGGCTCCCTCTCATGCGATGCTGCTTAGGATGTTGGAAATATGGAAGATTATTGTGACTGGGGGATTACAGAACGATTGCATGGCAATACAGGAGCGTTCAGCATTTGAAAGCGTTTAGATTTGATACCAGCTAATCAAGTGACAAAGCCTGTGGCTAAAACGGAGGTTCAGGAGACAAGACACAGAGCCTCAGAGGTGGTCGCCGCAAGCTGGTAAACAGCATGCGATGATGGCTAGCCATTGTTTATGGACTCAAACGTGATGTGCTCGTTCAATGAAGATTTGTTTTAAAGATGAGAATCTCGAGTAATTTGAATCCATTCACAGTCGTGAACATTATATTTTGAGGTTCCTATTGACTGATTGATCGTTTGTGTGTCAAGCTCGACTGTCAAGGCCGAAGCGCATCGAGCCTATGTAAAAGCTATATGTCTAGTCGTCAACAGCACTGAGTCAACGATCATCTACCTTAGACTAGATACTTGCCGAAGAACTCATTGAGCTTAGGGCCGGCAACCTCCACATTGTCATACAAGTCGGCATGGGTAAGTCCATCAATAACGAGCAGCTCCTTCGGCTCCTTGGCCTTTGCAACAGCATCCTCGCTATACCACTTCGAAGCAGCTTTGGTCCCAGTAATTGCCAAGAACGGCCTTGGGCTGATCAGCTGATTCCAGGTAAAGGCGTCAAAATTGCCCATGATGTCCCAGCTTCGCGGCAAGCAAAGGTTAGGGACTCGAGGGTGAGTCGCTGTGGCCCTGCTAGTGCAGTAGTACGAAGCCAGGTCGCGGAACGACTGGGGCATTTCGATAGAGGCGGTGGCCGGGTCGAACTCATCGAGTAACATGTGGATAATGTCAACTTTCTCTCCCGTAACGTCGCTGTTACGGTCTCTGGCAGCGGCCTCGAGCTGGGTGCGGAGCATGTCAAGATTGGATCCGTCCTTATCGAGACCGCGGCGCGCCATTGTGCCCGAGCAAACGCCGGCAGAGATGGCGACGGCCTTGATTCGGAGATCGGTCTGTGCTGCGAAGGAGACGTAGCCGCCTGATGCGCAGATTCCCAGTACGCCGATTTTCTCAGAGTCGATTTCATCGCGGCTGACGAGGTACGTGACCGCCGACTTGATGACCTCAACCCTCTGACCGGGGTCTTCGAGGTAGCGGAGCTCTCCTTCGGATTCTCCTTGGTAGGCCGCGTCATAGGCGAGGCAATAGAAGCCGGCCTGAGAAAGGACGCGAGCGTAGTGGGTGGGGGGGTGTTCTTTGACTGAGGTCCAAGGGTGGGCAATGACGACAGCTGCTCCAGAACGGGCGGGAGAATCGATAACAGGAGGGTAGAAGTGGCCTGCAAGTTTGTAGCCGCGAGAGGTGAATGTAACCTTTGCCGGGGTGGACAATGTCGCCGAAGATGATATCTTTCGGGGGTGAGATGCTTTACTCATAAGTCGAGTTGTGTAGGAATGAGGGCGAGAATGGAACAAAAGATGCATTTCGGGTGAGGACCGATCGCAATAAATAGTTAATTTTCCTTCTACTGGCTTCATCACCCCGGCGGGTAGACGAACGAGACTCCTTGGAGGAAGATCCATTGAGGAACACTTCCTCAGCCAGCACAAGCAACCCTGACCTACAGTTGTACATGCACCCAGGCGGAGCTGGTCTACGTATGACTTGAATTTTGAGGTGAAGGTAAGTCCGATGTGCATCCAGAGCCCTCTTTCCGTTTATGCCCGAAAACATTGCCGACGATCGTTCTCGCCGCGTCACGACCTGTTGTCTCAAGGTGAAGTCACCGATACCGAAACCGAAGCTTATTTGCATGTCACCGATGGTAACTAAATGCAGATTTCGAGAATTCTAGGGCTCCCAGCTTCTCCCACGCGGGTACAAATACATATGAGTACTCTGCGATGTTGTCGAGCCTGGTTTTCAAGCCACGTATTACACGTTTCCGTATCCACTAGGCATCCAGGGTAACCATGGAATAAGGAAGGATAGCTATAATCGGGCAAAAGCACGCTTCGGACTTAAGAATTGTGTAGAAAAAACCATAAGCAGCGTGCATTACATGGAATTGGCTCAGTGTATGAGGGACTCGACATCTAGAATATTCGAAAATTGCCTGACTAGAGAGGGTATAAGCCGACTGGTCCATTCCTTGACTCAAAAGTCACAAGCAAGGTGCATTCGACTACAGGGCTGAAACATAAGCAGAATGCATACACGTCCGGGAACTAACCGTATTTGGATGGCCACCCTCTCTGCTGCTGACTAGGTGGTTAAAGCCTCAAAACGTGATATGTATACTTACATCGCGGCACTCTCTCGTAAATTGGAGGCGATTTCCTTGCTCAGTTTCCTTGAGAACTGAAATTTTGATTCATTGCCTGGTTCCCAGATGTTCAGTTCTGCAAGAAATACCCAGACATATAGATTCTTCATCATCGTGAAGGCCAGTGGAAGTGGTATGACAACACATGCGGACGTCATCTCTTTCCCATGGATAACATGCATCATTAGACTGCAAATTTCGAGGTCCCTTCGTATACGATCGCATGAATACGATCACAACCACATGTACCTAGCCTTCGACAGGTGAATCCCGGTTTTCTCTCGTCCTCGTCGTCAAATGTCGTTTGGCCTTGCATGCCGGACCACCTTCTCTCAGGATGCCCAAGTAGAGCTCAACAAGTCATGGCTACTTCGGCTTCCCATCAATTGAAGGATTACTTCGCCTTGAGTTGGTTGGCGCCACAGGTTAGCCGGTCGCTTGATACTCATACTGTGAGTTCTACCACCGCCTCATACCTGAGCTGTGGCTGACGAGATTGAGCACAAGCATTCTAGCGGCAACGGAATTCTGGTGTACCCAAATGTCTGTCCATCACCGAGGTCCAAAGTTATACATACTCATGGACTTTCTCCGTGACAGCTCAGGCTTCCATCACCAAACCTAGGTAAGTACTTACCTTGTCTTTTCATAGGAATGCCAATCACTGAAGTAAGGTAAGCATAGATACCTACATCCGTTACCACATGCACTCTCAAGTTATCAAGGAACAACCTGAAACTCTTCGAACTTGATGATACTTTCCCTGCATTACTATAGTGGGAGCATACATCTTGATCCAACTGTCTTTCTCACACCGGCGGAGGTGTGTAACTTTAACAGGACAGCAACGCCATAATAAGAACAACAGCTGATGTGGTATTATAGGAAAGCAAGCTCAACTCAAACCTTCAGCCAGACGAATATTCACCACCCAGATTACCTTGCTGAGATCTGATGCCTGATCTCAACTTCTCAAGTTCTCCTTCAATTTCATGTAACATGTCGCATCAGTCACTTAGCCGTCATAACCCATTCAATCGACCGCATGCTTACGGTTCTGGATGCTCTGATACCCCTTGTGGTACGATGCCAACAGCATGAGGAAATGCTTAGGCCAACACCTCGTTATGGTTCATTCTCCTAGTATCTGGACTAGTTGAGATGTTCCCAGGGCATAATAACAAATATGGAGGCCCTTGTATCAAGAGATATGGTCAAATATCGCATTTGATCTTTCTCCAGCTAGGTGGACCGTTTCGAGCATCTTCCTGATGGTCTGTGATCTTGAATGGAGGAAGTCCTCTCGAAATCGACACTTAGCTCTAAGCTAGGAGACCCGATTGAGAGGCCATCCCTGGTGTAAGGATGCGGCTGCCTCCTACCCATCGTACCATACCTACCCTGTCTTGACTTGCGTCGTAAGTTCTCTACGGTCGACAGTTGTACGAGGTCAATCCGACTAGAACCACATCCCTTTATCTTTCGGGTCACTTACAGCCACGTTGCAGTGTTTGTCAGGTGCCCACGGATTACACAGCACAAAATGTGGGCAAGCGTGTAGGCTTTTTCAATGCGCACGGGTCCTCGGAGTACCTACATAGACCACAGCGAAGTAAGGGCAGTTCCAGTTCTCCACTCCCCAGCTCTTTCGCGACGATCTTTGACCTGAGTCATTCAAACCATTTTGGAGAAATGCAAGCGATCCATCACGCTGCAGTCGCAAATTTTTCCGCAAGGGGTTTAATGGGGATATTTAGCCTTGGCGCACACTTTGGCGGATATAGAAAATTGGGGGTTCTCAAATAGCTGCAAGCTGCAAGCGGAGCGAGCCAACATCTCAGAATCGACAGGTTGGGCGACGGATGAACCGTTGCTCGCACGCTTGAGCATCTTAGACTGAACACAGTCCTGAAGTTTAAAGTGTCTAGTGTGTTCGTAGCCGCGGGAGCTAGGGTCACGGCGCAAAACATGCCCGCACGTGGCGGATCATCTTGATCTTCAGTGTCAATGCACGTATGGCTAGCAGTTGTCAGGAGAATGCCTTTGTTATTGTTCCTGTCTATTCAACAGTTGACATCTGCGGCACTAAACTTCTTCGGCAACATTTGCGAGTTTTTCTAGCTCTTCGTTTGCGGCTCGGCCGTTTGATAAGGGTTCGGACATCTTAAATTAGTTCATCGGCTGTAGGACTACTTCCGTAGAAACTGTCTATCAAATACGTAACTTCTCAACAATTGCGGATACTAATTGTCTCTGCGCGAGTGATCTCATGCCCAAGCGAAGTTTTCAAGGAGTTCAAGGGAACTTTTAGAAAATTAGAGGTGATCCAGTCGCTCCCGCTAGAAACGGGATCAAATAATTCCATCTGTCGAGCAGGGAATAACTTGATTTTGCCCGAAATTCCGGCTCCACATATGTTGAGAAGCCGGCAATCTCATTATCCCCGCAACAATATATTAACTACTTTACCTTTCGCTATGGCGGTGAAAGATCCTAAACTGGGGTGGCTTTCTTGCGAAGATATTCCCACTGAACAAGCTTGCACGCAGAATGTGGAAGATCATGCACAACACATTTCTTCTTTCCGCCCCCTCAACGGCAACATGTGCCACGCCATTGCTCTTGGGCATGGCAGACACATGCTTAAGATGTCAAAGCATACGAGCCGCATCTGTATGTAAGACCATTTGCTGATTACTAGTAGTTCGGCCGAGGCTTTCGGACGTTTTCAACGTCCCGTCACGCGCTAAGTTCTCAATTCGGACGGAGAAGGCTCCGCGAGCTGATTTTGACGTGCCTAGTGCTCTTTGGCCGCCTCGTGTCCGCGGCCGGCCGAGGAGCAAATATTGCCCTTTCGGGACTATGGACACTGTGCCTCTCAGATTGTCAGCTCGTTTCTCTCGTTCCTCGCTTTCGGGAACTTCCATAACTTCAGTTGACCAGTGGACATCTTTGAGAATGAAAGATAGGTGTGCGTCCATATGTGTGTGTGCGTGTGCGTGTGCGTGTGTGTGTGATCAGACTCGCACTAAAGCACCCCGCCGAGATGCTAGTGTGATCCTGTGTGATCCCCCCATTGCGAACATCGTTCGAGTGGGTTCTGTTTTCGAGCTAAGATACTGGTGGAATATCCCGACCTATCCGCCCCCTCAACGGTTTTTGTATGTGTTGCTTGCCCGCTTCATAGATTGTATGCGCGGGTTCCACGGCTGCTTCTCAACTCGAAGAGACAGACTTCGATTCTTTCGCACATCTCTCGATCCGGAGCCCCACGCGTCTCGGGCCCATTACCGTGGTAGGATACCAAATCCGAAAGACTCGAGCCTCGTGGATGGCTGACTCCAGTGCCGGCGCAAGGATCCAGGTTGGCGATCTACATCAGCCGACCTCGTTTGGGATGGGTCCTTTTGGTGCTACTCCAACTGTCCAACAGAGATGGATGCGCACCAAATCTTGAACTTTCACCCCGCATTCCCCGACTAATACGAAAACTCACGCACTATTGGGAGCGTACAGCTTGGCTCTGCCGCCCGCGCCGTTTGTTGTGCATCGAACACCAGCTGTCCAGGGCGCCTATGCCCTCGACGGGCAGCCACCATCGCGGCCAGACACACGACAGCTTCACACCCACAAGTCCAAGATCAGAGGAACATCGATGCCTGATTGGGACAGAGTTCCTGGTTCCTGGTGTCCGTCGACATTGTGTCTCACAATCACATGCGCTTTCGATAGCAAGATTCTCATGCCGTTCCGTTCGACCAGACCGCCTCTACTCAGTCTTTCTGCCCCCCTTGTTCCCCTGCGCTTACATGCTTTCGACGTTTGCGACTAAGCTTAAGAATCCCACCATTTTCTGCCGCCCGACATACCGAGGCGGGAGCGCGGGGCTTGATTGTGACTCTGCGTATTCCCATGTGAATCTCGAGTCTTGTCCTACGTCAATAAGGCTGTTTCGTTTCGTTTGCTGTGCCGCAGCGGGATCACTGACATCCCCGATCAATGGGTATCTTGAACTGCCGTGGGTATTCGGCCGTCTCTTCCCGCGCAGAAGCGACCCGAATACGTCTCTACATCCCGGCAATAAGCCCCGCTACCCCATGGGGAACGTTGCATTCCCGGTTTGTTCACATCCAATATTTTTTATGCTGGGTTAGCTTGAGGAGTCGAGCACGAGTACGATACCCGCTCGACTAGTGAGGCCCACGACTCAGTCGGCGGGGACTGAGCTACTCCTCCTCCCTTGCCCGAGCTCCTGCTAAGCTCGCAAGTGCCCCCATTCGCAATTAGCTGGATGGCGTGGGCCACACTTAGACTAAAAAGAAATGCCAGGGGTGCGCAATCCGATGGTGGGTGCGGCTTTGAAGTTCACCGGTCAATCCACACTAGATCGAAATTTGCCCTGGAATGTCGTTCCTGGATCGTCGTGGAGAATTGACTTAAATAGACCGCGGGAAGCCCTCTCCACGATGGCATTCTCCTTTGAGTCGTTCGAGGCAGCTCATTCGGATCGTCTTCAGCCAAGCTCCATCGTTTGGGTCTATCCTGTGGCTCGCAGCTAGCTCCATCCTCCCTTTGGTTATTCCCAGTTTGTCCAGTGGATCTACCCGGCAAACATTCGTCTCTTTTCACACCATGCAGCTTCCCACTCTCGTCTCGTCCCTCTCCCTCCTGGGAGCCGCCTTGGCGGTTTCGGACCATGTCCAGCCCTTGGAAGATAGGGCGGTGGCCAACGCGACGGTCGTTCTCAAGACAGCAACTGTCGTCGGAAACGTCATGAACAATGTCGAATCTTTTGGCGGCATTCCCTACGCCAAGCCGCCTACCGGACAATTGCGATTGAAGCCTCCCGTGCGCCTCACGGACAACATTGGAACCTTTGACGCCACCGGCCCGGCGGCTGCCTGCCCGCAGATGGTCTCCTCCTCCGACAGCGACAACATCCTCTTCAACCTGCTGGGAGACATTGCGAATCTCCCTTTCGTCCAGAAGGCGACTGGCCAGACCGAGGACTGCCTTACCATCACGGTGGCTCGTCCCCAGGGCACCACAGCAGATGCGAAGCTGCCCGTGCTCTACTGGATCTTTGGAGGTGGATTTGAGGTATGCCCAACGCCATCTGAACTTTTGACCAATTCATCCAAAGTACTGACAAGGATTTGAACAGCTCGGATGGTCCTCCATGTACGATGGAACTGGCCTTGTCCAGCATGGTGTCGATATCAGCAAGCCCTTCATTTTCGTCGCCGTCAACTACCGAGTCGCCGGCTTTGGCTTCATGCCTGGCAAGGAGATCCTCGCTGACGGTTCCGCAAACCTTGGTCTCCTCGACCAGAGAATGGGTCTCGAGTGGGTTGCAGACAACATCGCGGCTTTCGGTGGCGACCCGGACAAGGTCACTATCTGGGGCGAGTCTGCAGGCGCAATTTCCGTCTTCGATCAAATGGCTCTCTACAACGGAAACAACAAGTATAATGGCAAGGCGCTCTTCCGTGGTGCCATCATGAACTCTGGCAGCATCGTCCCTACCGACCCCGTCGATTGCCCCAAGGGCCAGGCCGTGTACGACAAGGTTGTCTCAGAGGCAGGATGCGCCGGCAAGGCCGACACGCTGGCCTGCCTGCGCGGAGTCGACTACACTACGTTCCTCAACGCCGTCACGTCTGTCCCTGGAATCCTCTCCTACAACTCCTTGGCCCTGTCCTATCTGCCCCGACCAGACGGCAAGACTCTTACTGCAAGCCCTGATGTCTTGGCCAAGAACGGCCAGTACGCAGCTGTGCCCATGATTATCGGAGATCAAGAAGACGAAGGCACCCTTTTCGGCATCTTCCAACCCAACCTGACTACCACTGAGAAGCTCGTCACCTACCTCAAGAACTACTACTTCGCGACTGCCACCACGGCCCAGATCACTGCCTACGTTGCCACCTACGATGATGGCGTGACCGCTGTCATCAACGGCAGCCCGCACCGCACCGGTCTCCTGAACGAGATCTTCCCCGGCTTCAAGCGTCGTTCCGCCGTCCTTGGCGACTTGGTCTTCACCCTGACTCGCCGCGTCTTCCTCACCATTGCTAACTCCGTGCAACCCACTGTACCTTCGTGGTCATACCTCTCATCGTACGACTACGGTACCCCGATCCTGGGTACTTTCCACGGATCGGACTTGCTCCAGGTCTTTTACGGTATCAAGGACAACTATGCCGCGCGAAGCATCCGTACCTACTACACCAACTTTGTCTACGCCTCGGACCCCAACGTCGGCCTCAACGGAGCGTACCCGACCTGGCCTCAGTGGTCGCAAGGCCAGAACTTGATGCAGTTCTTCGCGGACAAGGCTAGCACCCTAAAGGACGACTTCAGAAAGTCGAGTTCAGACTGGATCTTGAACAACGCCGGAAGCTTATACTTCTAGTTACTTCTAGTCTAGCTACGTCGGAATGGCAGCTGGGGTTGATGGAGTCGGCAAAAAGGTGCAATGATTGATGATGATTGACGATTAACTGGGTAAATCCGGCTACTACATAATGGAATAAAATCTAATTTCTCACTGGGCATGAAAGAGTCACTTCATTTTTGCAATTGATGCCGTCTGGAAATCCAAGCGAAGAAGTAAAACATTTTCAATGCCCTGAAAACTTGACTAGACTTACCATATACATTGTTGATTGGTCTTCGTCTTAGCTACCAAGTTTGCGCCGTCGTTTCTATACTTCTACGGTCCAGGACCATCGTGTCGCAAAAAGAGGTCGTGACGAGGTCTCATTGAGTCATTGGGACTGCATCGGCCCTCGTTAGCCCGAACGCCCGAGCACAAGACACGATTTTCTCGTTGCCGGAACGTCGATCGTCTTGCGGGTGATGCTTAAAAAACAAGCCTTCCCCTTCATAGTTGCAAATAACTTTGTTGGTAAGACGTCTGAGTAGCGTTATATTAATCTCAACATTAACCACCATTTGGGTCCGGTCTTCGCGTTAAGAATTTGAGATGGCACAGAAACCATTTCTGTTGAGGTGGGGGATAATGGCCACCGGAGCCATGTCCGAGTGTATGTCCATTTCAACTATCCCCCTAAACCAGTCCAACTCTCTCACGCGGAACGATGTCGCTGACACATCGCAGATTTCTGCAGAGACCTCCTAACAAACCCAGCTATCCGCGAGGTGACTGACGTTAAGCATGCCATCACTGCAGTCTCATCGTCGAAAGACCCTTATAAGGCGATCGAGTTCCTCGCTCGCATTGATCACCCCGCACCTACTGAAGTTTCCATATTTGGATCGTACGCAGCACTCGTACGAGACCCAAATGTTGACATTGTTTACATTGCCACACCGCATAGCCACCATTTCCAGAACGCGATGCTGGCGCTGCATGCGGGAAAGAGTGTTTTGTGTGAGAAGGCTCTTACTGTCACTGCTGCGCAGGCACGACGACTGTACGACACTGCGAGTCAGAAGAAGCTCTTCTTCTTGGAGGGTGTCTGGACGAGGTTCTTCCCGCTAAGTGTCAAGATACGCCACTTTGTCCGCAGCGGAGCTATCGGCCAGGTTTATCGTGTTACTGCAGACTTGTCTCGAGCGAACGGCAGCAAAGATTCAGGAAGCGAGAGACTCAATTACGAAGATTCCCATCGCATGGTCAACCCTGACTTGGCTGGAGGTGTCCTCCTTGGACTCGGAATCTACCCACTGACCTGGGTTTTCCAAATTCTCTACCACCTTCAACCTGAGAATGAGAAAGAACCGCCACAGATCCTATCAGCTGTTCAGAAATATTCCACGGGAGTCGATGAGTCGGCCACAATTATTCTCCACTTCCCAGAGCACGGCACAGTGGGTATAGCCACTTCATCGCTTCGGGTTGCGACAGATCCTGGCAATTCCAGAAACCCAGCGATCCGAATCCAGGGTTCACATGGCGAGATACAAGTGGAACACCCGGCGTATAAACCTCAGTGTTTCAAGATAATCACTACATCGGAGACAGGAGCTGATGAGAAGGTTAATGAATGCCCTCAGCCGCAAGATAGCGAAAGGAGTTGGGGAAATGGCACATTCTGGGAAGCAGACGAAGCTGCACGTTGCATAAGGGACGGCAAGTTGGAAAGTGATACGATGCCTTGGTCTGAGAGCATACTCATCATGGAAATCATGGATAAGGTATTGAAGGACGCCGGAATATTCTATCCTGAGTTGATCGCCACAGACGAGTATGATCCTCTTAGTCCGCTCAATACCGGTGGATGATTGATAGTGAATGGTTCTGGTCACACCTCAGGCCTACATAAGTACTTATGTAGAAGGTGAACAGAAGCGATCTTGGACTTTACTGCCCATACCGTATGTGTGTCACAACAAAACAATCATTTCTCGCTTGGCCTTTGCCATCGAGGACACTTATAGAGCAAAGTAGTGCTTTCAAGTCAATTGGAGGTTTCCATACGAGACCGAACGAATATCTACCAAGTAGATACTAAGTTTATGGCCGTGACATTGACAGGTCTGGCAGGAGACCTGACTCTGACCAAGCTCAAATTGTACGACCTCCCTATTTCTAGCCAAATTGTGGGAACAACGAAACCCCACAGTATCGGAACCTTACTGAGAGCCCCAGGTCTTCTGCAGGTACTCCTCAATGGTGGTTGGTTTGAAGGCAGGAAGCAATTTGTTCCACTCATCAGTGGTAGCCCAAGTGCCTCGAGCAGTCGAGATCGTCGCTCCGATGACGACTACGTTTCTGAAGTACTCCTTCTGCTCCGCTGGAACGCCAGGAAAGTCAATGGCGGGGAAGAAGTCTGTCTTGACAATGCCTGCCTTGAGATCCTCAAGCTTCAATCTGTCAATCTTGAAGGGTTTTCCTGCAATGAACAGTTAGTTATTCAAATCCAGTTGCCAAAGTTGCAATGAACACGGTTGATGGACGAACCTCTGCACTTCTCTCCCAACTTGATGAGTTCTCCGATGGTGACCTTATCGCCGGTGATGCCGCCTACAACAGGCCATTCGCCTTGGTAATCGACGGCTCGTGCAGCCACTTCGGCGATGTCTTCGATGGTAGTGATTGACATTTCAGCACTCTCAGACCCCTCGAGAATGAACGCAGTGGCCTTCTCAAAATCGATGAAGGTAGCATAATCGATCTGATAGTGCTTGGTGGTCTGATGAGGATACCCCAGGTAGTTCATGAAAGCTCCAGGCTGGAACAAACTGTACTCAATCACCTAAGATTCGGTCAGAATATGAAGCACCAAGTATTCATAGCCCTCAAACCTGACTCACCTTCTCGCTCTTATTGATGTCTTCCAAGTACTTCTTGACTTCCAGCTTGTTGGCATACCAAGACGTGTACTCAATCACATCAGACAGGTCGTTGTTCCTTGAGCCCGAACTATCAGCAACCAGCAAGAATATCGAGGATGATGAAAGTAAGGAGAAATACTTACGTCGCCCACTCACTCGGAGCAAAGCGCTTCACCCCAGCCTTGATTGATGCATCGATAAGACGCTTGGCTGTTTCCGCATTTGGGTCGGTGTGGGCCACGATGAAAGAGAGAACAGTCTCAACATCGGTGAGAATTTCTACCAGCTCCTTCTCGTCTTGATAAGAAGTCTGGATGTACTTCACTCCCTGAAATTGTGGTAGAGATGAAGGGTCCTGGGCTATCGTTAGAAAAAGAGGACGGACATCTTGTGCCCAAGTAGACTGAAGCATTGATCGCTTGGAACTTCCTTCAGGGGTTCGATAGCTTACCTTGCGGACCAATCCAAGGATCTCATGTTTTCCGGCCGCAGCCAATCTGTCAATGACCTCAAGGGCGAGCTCTAAACGTCACTTGTTAGCCGTGACACTCGCACTCAAAGGAGTGGATCGTGGCTCTAGCAAGCAATTCGGAGAGCTCCAACGCTTGAGATTAACCCTCAACTTACTTCCGGAAGCACCAGCGATAGCGACTCTGACCATCTTGGTAAGTTGTGAATTTAACTAGAAGAAAGCGTTGTTCGTGAAAAGATTGTGAGCGGTTGTGTTAGACTGTAGATGGCTATAAGTTCAGATTTGTGCTTCTAAAAGTCAAGGAGGCTCTTATACTTGACAAAATTGCAGATACCAAAGTCCGTCAGCTTCATCAGGCAGGCCATGAACGTCTCCGCTCCGGAATCCGCTGGTGGTCTCTCTCATTGACATCATTTCTGGTCGTCGTGGTGCCATGCATTGACAAAGTAGAATAAGCAGGACTCATTTCAAACGGCACAGCAAGCCACTTCATCCTTTTTTGGGACTTTGTCCAAAATCTCCGCTAGTGGAAGAGAAATGGTCAACGACCCCATCGCGGAAGGATGTGCTACGCTCCGCGCTACAGGCTGGCGGGGTTCCGCATTTCCGCAGCCGTTCAAACTCCGCCGTCAGCATCGGCTCACTTACCCGGCCTATCTCCCCGGCGCCGGCCATATAGCCTCCAATCCTCCCGCACCGGCGGATCGTACACGCTTTTTTCACCGATGTTGCATTCTAGAACCTCAAAGTGTTAATAGCGGAGAGCAACATCCATGCGATTTATGTTTTCATTCGGACCCGTGGCCTTCAATATCGCCATATCCTATCACTGTGCTCTTCCTCTGACAACCAAATTGAGACGCAAAGAAGTCTTACGCCAATAACAGAGATAAGGCTTATCCTGTATTCGATTTTGCATACCATTCCGGCGTAGTTGGCCAATGCATGTTCTCACTAAACGACACCCACTTTGCCAGGAATGTCCACCCCAGAATCATTCCTTGAATTCATGCTTACACAACCTGTCAATCGAAGCTGCCATGCATATGGCGACTGAGGCCTGCAGCATACTACCTTAGATTATCTTACCTGCAGTAAAGAAATCCTATCCATACTATGCCGAACTCCAGGAGGTATGGTGTCGCTGCTGAGAGGTAAGGCTGATAGTTTGATGCTTGTCATCAATCTTCGAGCCGATCGGATGTGAGCCGCGATGAAAGGGACAAAGAATGCACGATTCGCGTTGGACAGTAAGACGACAAGCGTTAGCGCTTCCTTACCGCCTTAAATTGACCTTCGTTCTACCTTAGCCACATGTTAGTTTATTCACTCTGTTGTCACAAGTCCGTGTCAGCTTCAGAAATGCATAACTTAACATGGCATTTTGATTCACAATAGTAATGTTGGGAAAAATGGAACGGCACAAAATATCCTAGTGAAATAAGAGAGTGAATTCCTGGTATGGCATGATGTGACCTCAAGGGCCGATCCGAGCTTTCCTTTGTGCAACGAAGCAAACATGCATGTTTGTTGGCCAAGAGATCGCCCGGCTGCGCGATGCTTCGCGGCAATGCAACCCTTTTACGGCAGGGGCATATGCAGGATGCAGGTGTAATCTGTTTCCTGTTCAGCTCCTGAAGACCATCATGTTCACCTGTTCTTTCAGTGAAAGTAAGGTTGTCGTCTGCCATCCGCGCAAGCATGCATGTGGCGGTTGTGGTGACCGGTATTTTCTCTTAACCAGACCTCTTCTCTGTTTAACCGAATGTGATGAACAACAAACATTTCATACGAGATCATGCCCTGCTTCCGAGCAGTCATGGGGCGATAGGTGCAATATCTCCACCCTTGGGGGTCATAGATACAGTAAGATCCACACCACTCTTGAAACAAAGCACTGTATCTTCAACTTGGAAGTAGTCAAAAGCAGCAGCAGTGGCTTCTAGACTGAAGTCAGTTGGAGCACTATGATAGAATCCACGCTGTTCACAACGGCTAGGGTCCGGTGAGCCCGGGGTATCGCAACAAGCAGAAGAAGCATGAAAGGTTGCTGACCTGGGCTAATGTGCATACAGGTCTTGGTAGTGGAGTGAGCAGCAATCTCGTCAACGTGGCTTTGTACTCGCGCCATTGGTGAACATGGGACTTACCTCCAGGCCATCACCTCCTTCGTGTTTGATCAATCAGGTAAGTGGGAGCAGTTTGCTCCAGATTGAACTCAACTCCTTTATCACAAGTGGAGTAAAGAAACTCAGAACATCCGTATGAACAGCACCCGGGAAACCTCGTGCAGTCTGAACAGTGCTGATCCTAGGTCCCTCAGGAGATGCTGCTTGAGTGTGGTTTGGAATCTTCCTTCAAGCCACTGGCTACAAAAGTAAGTAAAGTATAAAGCCACTCGTTCATTTCCTCTGCTTTCTGCTACCTGCTACTTTACCCTTCATCTCATGATAAATTACATATCGGTCGCTTCAGATTACTATTGGCCTTACACCTCTGACATAATCCTCGTTCCTGGACCTTCAGGATGAGTGTACAAGGACCTGAAGCCGCGGTATGTTCGAATATTGGTTCTTTTGGCGTCCAAGTAATGTAGACTGAGCAGCTTGCTTGTATATCCTGTAATCCGAGCCGCACAGCCTTCAATGAAGTCATACAAGGCCGATTGACGAGAGTTCTGTCCTTAATCGTCGACACATTGCTGACTCAATTTCTAGTGCAAGAATCTGGAAGAAGCCGGGCTACAGCCGCGGCTTATCTACTCTTCTGAAGACAGATATCGCGACGAGGTGAAACCACACTGGTCACTTACCGCTCAACTCACGCCGTATTACGTTGTGCAACCCTATTCTACACATGAATTATCTCAAGCAGTCGAGATTTTGGCAAAAGCTGAGGATTGTATCTTTGCGGTAAGAGGTGGGGGACACTGCGCGTGGGCCGGTGCCAGCAACTGCGAGAATGGAATCTTGATCGACCTTTCTAAATTAAACGGCGTTCAGTATGACGCTGATCGCAAGATTGTCACTGTTCAAGCTGGTTGCATATGGAACGACGTGTATCAGGCTATCGAGCCCCATAGTGTAACCGTCAATGGCGGTCGTGATGCTGACGTGGGCGTTAGCGGACTTCTATGCGGCGGCGGCCTTTCTTGGTTGCTACCTCGACATGGCTTTGCCTGCGACACAGTTGTCAACTACGAAGTTGTCCTTGCCAGTGGCGATATAATTAACGCCAACAAGAGCGACAATGCCGACCTCTTTATTGCCCTCAAGGGAGGAGCCTGTAACTTTGGAATCGTTAGCCGCTTCGACTTGGAAGCGTTTGAAGCAACGGAGGTTTGGGGTGGACTGCATATTTGCAACACGTCGTCCACCTCTACCAGCATCCAAAACTTTGTCAACTACGTTCATAATATTGAGGAGGATCTAGACACTTCTTATGGAATCATGTGGGGTTGGCAGCCAAGTTTGAGAACAAACATGCTTACGTTTGTGATATGCAATACTCAAGGAGTGGCCAACCCTCCGATGCTGGCAAAGGTCCTGGAGATCCCGGCTGTAGTGAGCACAGTCCAACATCAAAGTGTAGCAAGTCTTGCTCTGAACATGAAGTCGCCATTCTCATATCAGTAGGTCATCATGTCTAAGCTAGATGCCCCCGAAATCCGGCACTGAGTCTGACCGGAACATCTGATTAGTAACAAGTGGTTATCGGCTACGTTCAAGAACAGCACAGAAATTCTTACAAAAGCAGCCGAGCTCCATGCAGAGTGCGTCACCAAACTCAGTGCGACGATTCCTACCGATGGTTTTAGCACTATGTGCTTTGCACAGGCTCTTCCTACACTCTACGCCAAACGGAGCCAGGAAAGAGGTGGCAACGTTCTCGGTGTAGATCTGCTGAGTGGAAATTGCATCACCTTCCTTGCTGCTGCGCATATCAAAATGGAGGAGCATGTGGAAGATGGATTTCGTATCTTGCAGGAGTGGCACGATGATCTAATCCAATATGCCAAGGACCGGGAGCTTTTGGAGGGGTGGCTGTACCTCAACTACGCGGACAAGTCGCAGAACCCGCTGCGGGCCTATGGCGAGGAAAATATTAGCAAGATCCAAGCCGTGGCTCTCAAATACGATCCAGACCGTGTCTTCCAGGAAAAGTGCCCTGGTGGATTCAAGATCACAAACATCTAGACTTCTGGCCGCTGAATAGCCATCAGAAAACGCCCAGCATACTAAGGTTGGGGTCGGTATCATTTCCGTAACATCAGATGCAGTGAGGGTGGGTGGATTCACTCAGGACTCTTGCTTTGCGCTCAGTTAAATAGACATAACTTTACGAAACTACAAATGCGCGGCACTGATCTCGTATACGACAATTGGGACTCCACTACTACCTTGGTTTCTTTGGTCAATCCAATTGGGGATGGTGGTTAAACATTGCAGTCTTAGATGGCAACATCAAAGACAAGCGAGTTAATATCCTTAGTGCTTACAGCTTCGAGAAGAATGGTTGACAGCGTGACATCGGCTGGATACTGTGGCTACTTGGAGGACAAGGGCCGTCCCACCGGCCGGCCGGGCCCTGGTGTCTGTTGATTTTAGCCCATGGGTCGTCCGGGGTGTCACACTGGGGCCGTGATAATCAATCTACGAACTGCCCTATGGGAACGCCTAGGACTGCGGGACAGAAACCTATTGCATCGGATTGCTTTGCCACATCTGCCGCTCCCCGGCTCTTAGCACACTGCAGTTTAATAATCCTTACTGATGACCCGTCGACGACAAGGCCTTTTGGGCCCGGCGGGGTTCTCGTGCAGAAGCGCACCGTTGAACAACATGCGATCAATTGGACTAGGCGACGTTTGTGCAGTAGCCCGAAGGCAATGGACTAGGATGATTTGACCGCAGTCCGTTGGGTCCGAGCCTTTAAAAGTTTGGAAATGACCCTATTGTCTTGAGAATGATTCTCCTTCGATTGTTGTGCGCCCTATCATTCAGACTGCCGACTCTCTCGACTTTGTACAATGGCTATCATTCGTGGTCTGAAAGCGGCGGCTTTGATCGCCCTCGTCTCGAGCCAATCTCAGCTTGCGATTGCTGCACCAGCAGCTGCCAAGTTCGCCAAGAGGAACACGACGGACCTCCATGACTCCTACGACTACGTGATTATCGGCGGAGGCTTGAGTGGTCTTGTGGTTGCCAACAGACTGACCGAAGATCCAGAGGGTAAGCGAATGATGCGCTCTTGGGATAGCGGACTGATTTGCTGCTAACCGACATTCCTAACAGTGACTGTCTTGGTTGTCGAGTATGGAGACTTCGACGTCAGCTGGGACGTGGCTATTCCCTACTACGCTTCTAACCTACACCCCAACGATTTGATTCAGTTCTTGTCCATCCCACAGCCTGGTCTGAACAACAGAACTTCTGGTGTTCAGACTGGAACAGTAGTTGGGGGCGGGTCTACGGTCAATGGCATGGCGTTTGATCGCGGCTCGAAAGCCGACTACGACGCGTGGGAGGAGCTAGGAAACCCGGGTTGGAATTGGGACAGCCTTTTCCACTACTTCAAGAAGGTTTGCAAAGATCGATGGTTGACACGAGGCTCAAATACCAGTGCTGACTTGGTTTCCCAGTCATCTACGTTTACTCTTCCCGCGCCCGAGTATGTTGAGAAGTACAACTTTAGTTACGACCCAAGCACCTATGGCGATGGTCCTCTCCAGGCCGGCTTCCCCTCGTGGCAATGGCCCGACAGAGGTTCGTGGAAACCTGAACTCCTTCCCCTGCTTAGTACAAGACTTTGAGTCGGAACTAACACGAACGCTTTGTGCCTAGATCTTCAGAGAAAAGCCTGGATTGAGGACATTGGCGTTCCTGTGCTCGATGATCATGGTGCAGGTGGGAACAATGTTGGCTTGGCTCAGCTCCCCCAGAATCACGACCCAAAGAACGTAACTCGGTCGACTTCGAGAACAGCATACTATGAGCCTATCGCCGAAACTCGCAAGAATCTCAACCTCATTGTGAAGCACTATGCTTCAAAGATTGAGTTTGAGGATAAGAAAGCTGTCGGTGTGAACATCATCTCTCGCGAGACTAACGCCACAACACTGGTGAAGGCGAAGAAGGAGGTTGTCCTTGCTGCCGGCGGCGTTCAGACGCCAAGAATCTTGCTCCAAAGTGGTATCGGTCCCGCTGGACTGCTGAAGTCTCTCGACGTCGATGTGGTCGCCGACCTCCCTGGCGTGGGTAGCAACTACCAGGATCACGCATGGATGTTGATGTTGTACACGTACGGCAATCCTCCTGAGCTTGGTAGCGAGGCTATGAACGATCAGGCTTTCTTTAACGCATCCGAGGCCGAGTACTTTGCCAATCGAACTGGACCCTTCACTCACGCTCGTGGGAACAACATCATCTTCAGATCTCTCCAGGATCTTACTCCGGAATATGAGGCCCTAACGGCGTCTGTCGAAGCCCAGAACGCGCTCGACTTCCTTCCTGAAATCTACTCAGAGCACCCCGAGCTTCTCGAGGGCTTCGTCGCTCAGCGTGAGGCTCTCACCAAGCTGTTCAGAAACCCAGAGGCAGGCGTGTTGGAGATTCCCTTCGGTGGCTTCTCTGGTGGTGCAATTGCTTTCCAGAAGCCTCTGTCTCGTGGCACCATCAAGATCAGCTCGACCAATCCTGACCCTGCTAACCCGCCTGTCATCGACTTTGGTACCCTGCAAAACCCTATTGATGTCGATATCGCAGTCCTCAGTGTCAAGGATTTCCGCAAAGTCTGGGATACTCCCACCTTGGCGATTAGGGAGGCTGTTGAGATTTCTCCCGGCGTCAACGTCACATCTGATGAGGCCATTGCTGAAGCTGTTAGAAACGCCCTTTTTGCCAGCTTTGCGCACCCCAGCGGAACAACGAGTTTGCAACCTTTGGAGCATGGTGGCGTTGTGGACCCCCAACTTCGTGTCTACGGCGTTCAGGGACTGAGAGTAGTTGATGCCAGTATCATTCCGCTGATTCCTGCCTGCCATTTGCAAGCTACTATGTATGCCGTGGCTGAAAAGGCTGCCGATATCCTGAAGGAGAATTAGCTCCCACAAATACATATTTGCCGAGGTATCGTTCACGCATCTGATATCCGTGCTGGCGAGGAGCTTTTATTGTCACATATTACGATATTTCAATGATCCTGTTTGACAATGGGATTGATAAAGTGATGATGAGTTTGATCGCCGTCTATAGTTGTTCTAAACATGCCGGACCTGCATTAGGCATAGACCAGGAACGCCACCAAGCCAAGGCGGATGATACGTCGCCTGGACAAAAGACATGTGAAAAGAATATCAAGTCCAACGGTCCTTCCACCAATTGAGTTTGTGATACAAACGCGTCCAGATCCTCAGCTGTGGTCGATCACAGCCACATGGCTTTGCCCGAGAGAAACCGACCGCACATCTTTCCGTTCGCAAGCAAGCCGAGTCACTGGCACCATGGAGCGACCGCCCGCATTCCACAAGCCCGGTACGCAGGGATTTCTTTCACAGCTGAACCGCTGTGTGTAATGTAATGAAACCAATCTCGTCATTGCTTTGATGAAAGAAAGCAGACCTCGGATATCGCCACGCGAATGTCCCCTGAGATTTCCATTCTTCTTCGGACTCTGTGGCTCATATATCTAAAACCTTCGTTCTTTCGATCTGGCTGCAGTAGCCGTTAAAGTTTCCTGAAGCTTTAATCTTGAGCAAAGATGAGGACGTTTGGGGCATTTACTGTTCTGTTATGCAGCATCACAGTCGCAGCTGGTGCCATACCTAGCATCTCCGATTATCCTCCTTGCGCAGTGAGAACGCCCGGATTCTCTCACCGTAAGTCTCAAGCTAAAAGGTGTAGGTTACCTGCATAGTCGATGCACTACCTCAGTCCCCATGTGCTGGTCTCAACCAGACTTGTCTTTGCGCCGACCCGATCTTCAACGATAACGTTGGGGCTTGTGTTAAGAATGGATGCACAGTCAAAGAGGGCCTCAGTAAGCACAAAATCCAAGTTTTCTGGAAGTTTGGTTCGACGCTTACAACGATACAAGCCGTAGCAAACATGACTTGGGCAAACTGTGGCTTTCCATTGACCGACAACACGGCGATACCCCGATTTCTAACAGGCACCCTCTTCATCCTACCATTCATCTTTATGTGTATACGACTCTTAAATAAACTTGTTAACCCATCACCTTGGGGTGCTGATGATGTTTGCATCTTCATCGGTTTTGTAAGTCGGCATCTGGGCTGGCAAGCGGTTATACGGATTCTGACCTCCAAATAGGCATGCGCAACGGCTTTGGTGCCTATTGTGTATCGATGTAAGTGCAAACCTTACTCATTTGTCAAGCCGCCCAAAGTTCCAATCGGTTAACGTCGGTTGCAGTACTATCTATTGGCCTTGGAAGGGATATCTGGACTCTCCAACCATACAAAATCACCGAATTTCTCAAGGTAAGATCTGAACATTACTTACGAGAGGAAAACCATCGATACCCTTCGAGTGCCGCGATATCTTTAGAAAACAGAAACTAACCATTGCTCAGATTCTTTTTAGCACCCAGATCTTTTACATCACTGGTTTGAGTACCATCAAAGCATCCATCTTATTCTTCTACCTTCGCATTTTTCCATCTCTTCGCTTCCGCAGAGTATTATGGGCAACACAAGGCTTCAATGCTTTGTTGTTATTCTTATACCTCATCCTCACGTTCACTCAGTGTCGTCCACTCAACAAATACTGGCTTGGATGGGATGGAGAACAAGCAGGCGTTTGCATGGACTTCAACAAGCTCGTCTTGACCCACGTTGGCTTCAATATTCTCTTGGACATTTGGATGCTGGCTCTGCCACTCACACAGCTTTACAAACTGAATCTCGGATTCAAGAAGAAGATAGGGGTCATCATGATGTTTTCTGTTGGTTTATTGTGAGCTTGAATACTGGCATGAGAGAAAGTATAGTCAGACTGCTAACCGTGTCGAATCAGCCTTACCGCAGTCAGCGCTCTTAGGATCCAAGTCTTGGTCCACTTCGCGACCGCCAACAACATCACTTGTAGGTTTCATCTCTATAGTTGTTCCAATGTTGTTTCCAGAAATCTTCCAAACTTGCAACTGACTCTCTCAGCTGAGGCCTTATGGGTCTATGTCTGGTCCCTCGCGGAACTCGATGTTGGCGTCTTCGTCGCTTGTATGCCTAGCGCAAGTCAACTCTGGAGATGCACCTCTTCCAAGATCAGAACGCTCTCACGCAGATCTGACGAACGGTCTGGGTCAACCACTAAAATGATTCCGTCACCAAAGAGGGCCAGTGCACCAAAGGCTCGGCACTTGTCTCTCGAGTCAACGTCGTCGATAACGAACCGGTCCCCGGTCTAAAGACATTTTAGACGATTGGCCGAGCAGGACCTTCATATCTTAATGCTCAACGCTAGTACATAAGACCGATAAGGCTTAAATTGAGGTTTTCTATTCAGCGTACATTAGTATCCTATTATTATAGTTATAAAGACTTTATAACCGCTGTAAAATACACATATGTATCGATTTAACTTAACATCCTGTCGTATAGTTACAATAGGGGCATTAACGTTAAATATAGAGAACGGTTATCCATTAAAAGTAAGAAATAAGCACGAGGTTCGCCCTAAAATAGAGGGTATAAGCAAATATAAACCTTAATAATTATATAACCGAGGTTATATAATATATAATAAAGCTATAAATAGTTAAAACTATCATAATATACCCCCCTAAATAAATCCTTATTTAGTAAAAGCGCGCTAAACTACTCGTATTATTATAAAAAATATTACTAAATACGTAAATCTAAATAATATTATATAAGAATTTATTTATAAAAGAATTATAAAATAAATTATATTATGTATTAAATTATAAGCGTTAAGTAAATAAATAATAGTTTACTAATTATATTTATTATTATAAGTAATCTCTAAACTCTTTTATTAATAATAAATAAGACTAAGGAATAGCTTATTAACTAAATAATTAATTTATAATTTAAGATAAGTAAATAAATAAATTCCTTATAGCTACTTATTATTTTTAACTTTTTTTCTTTTTAATTTATATTATTAAACTAATTATATATATATACTCTTATTTTTATTTTTATAATTACGTTTGCGCACATATTTATTATTTAAAACTATAAATCTTAGTTAATATTATTATTTAAAATAAATATTTAAATAAATTTAGGTTAAAAGTACGCTTATTATTATAATACGCGAAGCTAAGTACTTTAAAACGAACTTAAAGGAGAGTAGTAGCTCCTCTATTTATAATAATAATCTATCTCTAAGTACGTAATTTATCTTTCGTATTAAATACTAATTAGTATAATAATAATATTATATTATAACTTTATTTTAAATTTATTAACGTTCTTATTTATAAATAATAACTACGAGGCTAAAAAAATTATTTAAAAATAAAGGTAATTTAGAGCCCCTCCTTACCCCTCTTAATAAGTATAAAGCGGTTTTTATAAATATAATATTTATTTTTAATATTATTATTTATAATTCTAATTCTTAATAATATACCTTTCTAATACCCTTAGTACTAAAGGACTTCTTAAGTAAGTATTACTATTATTTAGTTTTAAATACTTAGGTTATATTAAGCGCCCTTAATAAACGAACGGAGGTAGTACTTCCTAAACTTAAATATTAATAATAAATATATACACTACTAAGCTAATAAAAAGTCTAGTTACGTTCCTTAAAAATATATACGTAAACTAAATAAAAGTTTTTATATTTTAAGTAAATAAAAATAAAAATAGGGTAGTTATATTATAAAAATTAGTTTTTATATACCGTTATTTTAAATTAATTACTAACTATTTTTAAGCCTAATTTGTATAATATACGCGTTATATAAGGCCTTAAAACTAATAAGCTTCTAAATAAAGTTAAAAGTAAAGTAGCTTATATAAATAAGGCTAAAATAAAAAGCGTTTATTAATACTCTCTTTTATTTAAAGCTAAATTAAAAAATTAATTAAAAACGTAAAAATACTAAAAACTTTATTTATAAAAACTAATAATATTTAAATTAAAATTAATACCTTTATTAATATTTATATCCCCGCAGACATAGTACTTATTACGGCCAGCTAGTCGTAGTAAGTATATTAGTAAAAGTTAAGGCTACAATAACTAAGTAAATAGTATCGTAGTCGTAAATAGCTTCCCTAAAACTATATCTATAAATCGTAAAGTAAGTAAAGCTTCGGTAATTAATCATAGTCTTATTAAAAGGGGTTCTTAATAAAAATAGCTAAAAGCGATCGTAAGATCTAATACTAAGTTAATTACTAAAAAAACTATAGAAAATCTATCCCTAAGCCCGGCTTAAGTTTATATTATATATAAGTCTCGTTCCTAAATATATCCTTTATCCGTATGTTTACCTAACGGCTCTCGTATTCTAAATATACGGGTTTCGTATTATAAAAGGACGGACTCCGTATTTCGAATATACAGAGTTCCTTATTTTTTATTATTACGTAACTTATTTTATAATTCTTCTATCCCGAGAGGAGTCACCCTAAGTTCGTACTCCCCCGCATATATAGTATAATAACTACCGTAAGTCTTATAGAGCAGGCCCCGGCCTCGTTATACGTATTAAGTCGTAATATTAGCTTCTCTTCTTAAAAGTCTAGTCCCCTAAGCCTATAAATAAGTCGCTCGTTCCTAAGCTAGGGAATCGTTAAGTTTTACCTCTTTTTAGCGTAATATACTAATACGATATTAAGTCGTATTAAAAAACGTTTTTTAAAAAATACTATTTTAAAACTTTAATTAGCTTGTAACGACGTATTTAACTACTTCGGTTCTAACGACGTTATACTTTATACTCGGTACTTTCGTACTAAGCGTTTATACTAAATAGCTAATAATACGAAGACGTACTAGGGTTATAAAAACCTAAAGCGTCTTTATAATAGCCTTATTATAGTATTAAGTCGTAAGTACTTTGCCCGTTATTTTAGTTTTTAGTTAATAGTTTCGTAATATAATAGCTAAGTAATTAGTATTAAGAATAGGAAGAGAAAGAAAAATAAGCTAGCGATACTTTACTTAATTTTTATAAAAAACTAGCTCAGATATAGTCCGAGGTTGTTAAAGTAGTAGGTCGTTTTGCTCGTATTCGGGCAATTCAGAAAAAAGTAAAAGAGAGGTATATAAAAACTTTTATTCGTAATATATAAGAGTTAGAAAAAGAGGATAGCGTTTTTTTTACGCTAAACGCTTATAAACGCTAAGTTATAAGCGATTTCTAGGTTACTAGTATTTTTAACGATACTAACTAGCCTTCTTTTAGGATTAGTAACGAGTTTGCGTCCCTAGGGCTATTAGTATCGTTTTCTAATAATCCTTAAGAAGTTATTAAGAGTTCTAGAGGTTCGTAATAAGTTCTTATATATTTTCCTCGTATCCGTAGTTCTTCTATTTAATTAGAAATTCTCGTATTTTATTTCTAACCCTGTAGTTAATAATTTATTCAACTTCGTATTTTAATTTATTAAGTTCTACGATAATATAATCTTCTATGTATAAACCCTTAAGTACTAGTTTAAGAAATAAAATATAAAAAACTAGATAATACTTTATTATATCTAGGAGTCTTAACTTATAGTTAACGTTTAAGACTTTTTGGATAATTTCGAAGGGTCTAAGTTTTTTATAGTCTAATTTATCGCTTAGTTATTTCGTTTTAATATTATAGCAAAGAAAATAAACGCTATTTCCTTTTTTTAAGGTTAGTTCTCTAATTTTTAATCTATTTATATTTTTTTTTATACGTTAGCATATAAACTCGAGATCTAAAGACGCTTTCTTCTAGATTTCCTTGAGTTTCGCTACGCTTATTACTATTTTAATAGCTTATAGTCCTTGTTATGCTTCTCTATATATTGTTAGTTAGTATCCGTAGTTTAGATAGAACGGGGATTCTTTTGTGCTTTCGCTAACTATACTATTATATACGAATTAGGCTATTAGTAGTAATATTACTTAGTTATTTTAATTATAGTTTATATAATAACGGAGGTATATTTCGAGAATCTAATTAATTTTTTTTATCTAATTATTAGTTTACGGGTAGAAAAAAGTTAATAGTTTATGATCTATACCGAGTTACGAGATTAGGGATTTCTAAAACTTTAAAATAAATAAAGAGCCTCTATTAGAAATAATTTCTTTCGGTTTACCGTAGTTAGTAATAACGATTTTAAGGAACGTATACGCTAACTCTTTTACGCTACTAGCTTCTTTATAGGGTATAAAGTAGGCGAACTTAGTAAGTCGATCGACTACAACTAAAATACTATCGTACTATATATTCGTAAGTAGTTCTTTAGACTTCGGTAATTTAACAATAAAGTCCTATAAAATTAATTACTATACTTCCATAAGTAGTTATAATAGCTATAGCTCGCTATAAGGTTTATATAAGCTATTCTTATTTTTTTTATAAATTGCGCAGTCCTTAATTACTTTTACAATTTTTATACGTATAGCGGATTTATTATAATGCTAGCAAATCCGTTTCTACATTTTAATAACTCCTTAATAACCGTATATAGGTACACTATAAATTTCTATAATAAGCTTAGGGGTTATTTTTTTAGTCGGGCTAGTATTAATCCTTCTAGCTATTATAAAAAGTTTCGTAGTTAGTATAAGGCTACCGTCCTTTTCTTATTTAAAGATGATTTACGTTTCTTTAGGGACCATAACTTCGTAATCAGGTCTTCTACTAAGAGCGTCTACTCTACTATTTTCTAAACCTTTCCGATAGATAATTCGGAAATTATATTCAGATAGGAATTCGCTCTATTTAACTTATCGTTTATTTAGATTTTTATTTATTATAAAGTTCATAAGATTCTTATAATCTGTATAGACTATAACTTCGTATTTAGTTCTAAATAACTATAGTCTCTATTCTCGAAATACTTCGATAATAGCTATTAATTCCTTATCGTAGATTTACTAATTTAATTCTACTCCGTAAAATACTTTAGAATAGAAATAATATAAATAAAGCTTTCCTTACTCGTCTCGTTATCCTAAAACCGCTCCTATAGCAAAGTCCGAGGTATCGGTCTCGACTTCGAAAGGTTTCCGGGGGTCTAAAATCATAATAACTAGTTCGGAAACGACTATATTCTTAACTTTAATAAATACTTCTTTATACTTAGGGTCCTAAATAAATAGGGTGTCCTTCTATATTAGGTTATTAAGGGGT